ATGGTAGAGTTAGAAACATAGCAGGGGATTCCAATTCAATCCCATCAAGGTGGCATGTACCAATGCCATCTCACTATTCCAAGTGATCAATTTCAGTTCACAATTGATCATAATTATGGGACTGAGAGCCAAAGGGAGCACATAAACAAGTCTAGTACCTGCTAACACTAACCGATAGAATAAATAAAGGGGAGAGTGATCCAACATGGGAAGTGAGATACTCAGCAGACTCATAGAATGGCAGATGTCCTAAATAGCACTCTGGCCTCAGAATCAACCCTAAAGGCATTCCGATCTGGCTGAAAAGCCCATGAGAGTATTTCAGGCATGGAAAGCCAAGACACTCTGGCAAAAGATCTCTGTGAGTGAGATCCCAGTGGAAAGAACAGGTCTTCAAAGAAGGAGGTACCTTTCTCTGAAGGGAGGAGAGAACCTCCACTTTGACTATGACCTTGTCTAAACAAGATAAGAGTCGGAGAACTCACAGGGCTTCCATAGCCTTGGAAACTCATGACTGGAGCATAAGGAGATTACTGATGCCATATACAGGAGTGTCAATTGGTAAAGTCAACAACAGGAGTCACTGTGCACTTACTCCTCATGTAGGATCTCTGTCCTTAATGTGCTGTGCATTGAGATTTAATGCTATAACGAGTACTCAAACAATATATTTCACTTTGTGTTTCTATGGGGGTGCAAACTGTTGAAATCTTTACTTAATGCATACTAAACTGATCTTCTGTAAAAAAAAAAAAAGAAATTATCAATTCGCAACTTGACTCTCACTGGGATTAAACATGACAATAGGTCTGATCTGATTTCATCATCATTTAAAAAAATCATCTATTTTTCACTTTATGTTTCTGTGTGGGAGCAAACTGTTGAAATCCTTACTTAATGTATACTAAGCTGATCTTCTGTATATTAAGATAATCGAAAATGAATCTTGATGTGAATGGAAGGGGAGAGGGAGTGGGAAAGGGGAGGATTGTGGGTGGGAGGGACGGTATTGGGGGGAAGCCATTGTAATCCATAAGTCGTACTTTGGAAATTTATATTCATTAAATAAAAGTAAAAAAAAAAGCTGAATGATGCGACTGCATACCCAATGCAGGAGATATGTTACCCTTAAGGTTGTCAGAATTAAATAAAGTATTTTGTGCCTTGTTAATTTAACAAACACTGAATAAAGAGCTCTTAAATCAGGGAACTCACTGGCAATATAAAGTTTAAAAGTGCATATTATCTTGTTACGGAACTTGGCAGGTTGCCAGATAGTAGAGGCTACACAGTCATTTACTTTCCCATTCAGCAAACATTTATTCCATGCTCTATGCACGAACACAATACCTTGAAAGATTGGTTTGATCATCATCTCCATTGTATGAGTGAGGAAATCAAGTCTTAGAAAGGTTAAGTAATTTGCACAGCTGTGGTACCTGTCAACATTCTAGCATCTTGCATCCATTAGCTATTTGCTCTGCACAGCCGCCAATGGGGAAGGTACTTTTTCGTTAGCTCTGTTTACATACACGACAGAGTAACTTAGACCTAACACCAATAAATAGCAAAGCCAGGATTCAAACCTGGACAACCCAGTTCCAGCATCTATACTTTAAAAAAAAAAAAAAAGATTTATTCATCTACCTGAAAGTCAGAGTTACACAGAGAGAGGAGGAGAGACAGAGAGAGGTCTTCCATCCGCTGGTTCATTCCCCAGATGACTGCAACAGCCGGAGCTGCGCCAATCCGAAGCCAGGAGCCAGAAGCTTCTTCTGGGTCTCCCACATGGGTGCAGGGGCCCAAGGACTTGGGCCATCCTCTACTGCTTTCCAGGCTTTAGCAGAGAGCTGGATCAGAAGTGGAGCAGCCAGGACTCAACTGGCGCCCATATGGGATGCTGGCAGTGCAGGCAGCAGCTCCACCCGCTATGTCACAGAGCCGGCCCCAGCCTCTGTACTCTTAATCACCATGTTATATTAATATATCCCATTTTGGGCTTCTAATTCTCTGAAATCCTCCAAACATTTTAGCTTATATGCATTTTTCTGAGAATTTCAGCTTTTTTAGACTTCCATGAGGGATCTATGTCCTATAAAAAGCTAAGAACCATCTAAAGAAAAAAAAAGACATGGCTAATTATTAGTCTACTGGAACCCAACTAAACATTGAGCCTTTCAATATATTATTATTAAAAAATAAAATTCAGGGGCCAGCGTTGTGGTATGGAAGGTAAAGCCTTCCTACATCACCTACTACACCAGCATCCCATGTGAGTGCTGGTTCATGTCCCAGTTGTTCCACTTCCAATCTAGCTACCCGATAATGGCCTGGGAAAAGCAGCAGAAAATGGTCCAAGTGTTTGGGCCCCTGTCACCCATGTGGGATACTTGGATGAAGTTCCTCATTCCCAGTTTTGGCCTGGACCAGAGGTAGCCATTGCTGGCCATCTGGGGATTGAATGAGCAGATCAAAGATTCTCTGTGTAACTTTGCATTTCAAATAAAGAAATAAATCTTAAAATTCATAAATTCTATATAGCCATTAAAATATTTAGAACTGGGACTGGCATTATGGTTTAGCAGGTAAAGCCATCATCTACAGTGCTGGCATCCTATAATGGGCGCCAGTTTGAGTCCTGGCTGCTTCTCTTCCAATCCAGCTCTCTGCGATGGCCTGGGAAAGCAGTAGAAGATGGCCAAAGTCATTGGGCCCCTGCACCTATGTGGGAGACCCAGAAAAAGCTCCTGGCTCCTGGTTTAGGACTGGCCCAGCTCCAGCCATTGCAGCCATTTGGGAAGTGAAGCAGCAGATGGAAGACTTCTCTCTCTCTCTCTCTGCCTCTCTGTAACTCTTGTCTTTCAAATAAATAAATATTTAATAAAATAAAATAAAGTATTTAGAACTATGTGACAACAGAAAATGCTGCTATAGTGACAATAATAATAATCTGAAAGTATTACATCTACTTCAGTTCCTTGCTGTGATTCCCACCTCAACGAACTCAGATTATGCTTCCTTTGCTGCACTCTAGACCGTCCATCAGAGACCTGCACCTGTTGGATCCATCAGCTTTTTTCTACCCTTAGCATTCAGTATAGTTGGCCACTGGCTCTGCTTCCACACCTTGGCTAGTCCATTTCTACCTCACTAGCTCTATTACCCAATCACAAATACCTCATGCTTGAGGCAGATGGATGCATTTCAAGTATTTAAGTCACAACTCCAGGCCTGACTGCTACACTGAACCTTCTACAGTATTGTATCCAATTGTCTACTTAACATCTCTCCTTGACTATCTCACATGTAAGCGCCTTAGCCTAATATTTCCAATCAGAATTATCAATATTATAGTCTTGTTTATCTTCCATAACAATGCGTAGCCCATAGTAGACTTTCAAAAAATATTTATTGAATCAGTCAATGTTATGAAGGGTGGTTATGTTTAAAAACTTATATACACACATATATAAGTTTTATTTAAGTTTTAAGTTATATTTAAAAACATATATACACATATACAATTTTCCTTAACAACATGCTATGCATAGAATATAGTAAGAAAAACTCCTAAACATACACAGGTTGTGAAATTAAAAGAGTTTTCTATGGGGCCAGCACCATGGCACAGTAGGTTAAGCCTCCACCTATGGTGCTGGCATCCCATATGGGCCCTGGCTGCAGTCCTGGCTGCTCCACTTCCAATCCAGCTTCTTGCTAACAGCCTGGGAAAGCAGTGGTAAATGGCCCAAGTGCTTGGGCCCCTGCACCCCAGTGGGAGACCTGGACGAAGCTCCTAGCTCCTGAATGGCCCAGCTCTGACCATTGCAGCCATTTGGGGAGTGAGCCAAGGGATGGTAGACCTCTCTGTCTTTCCCCCTCTCTGTCTATAACTCTGCCTCTCAAATAAAGACATAAATCTTAATTTTTTTTCTAACAAATAGTTTTTTTTTTCTTTAAAGCTCCTTTTCTATTTTTCAAAATATGAAATCCGAATGAAGACTCCCAATTACCAGCTGCACAATTTTGGTTTCCTCTTGTTTCAAAGGGTATTAAAAATAGACCCCCTGCAGCAGGTTAACGCCCTGACCTAAAGCACCGGCATCCCATGTGGGCGCCGGTTCTAGTCCCGGCTGCTCCTTTTCCAATCCAACTCTCTGCTCTGGCCTGGGAAAGCAGTAGAAGATGGCCCAAGTCCTTGAGACCCTGCACCCACACAGGAGACCAGGAAGAAGCTCCTGGCTCCTGCCTTCAGATCAGTGCAGCTCCGGCCCTTGCGGCCAATTGGGGAGTGAACCATTGGATGGAAGACACCTCTCCCTCTATCTCTCTCTCTGCCTCTCCTCTCTCTGTGTAACTCTGACTTTCAAATAAATCTTAAAAAAAAAAAAAAAAAAAAATAGATCCCCTGCCTCTCCTCTCTGTGTGTAATTCTTTCAAATAAGTAAATAAATCTTAAAAGAAAATAAGATAGACCCCCTTTAGGGGCAGGCGACACACCCCACATTGAGTGCCTGGGTTTGATGATTGCCTCTAGCTATTGGCTCCAGCTTCCTAACACTGACCTTAGGACACCAGCAGATCTTTGCTCAAGTAGTTGCATCCCTGTCACCCACAGGGGATCTCCAGATAGCTTCTGGCTCCAGGCTTCAGCTCAGTCCAGGCCACTGGGGACATCTCGGGGGCGAACCAGCAGATGAGTGATCTCTGGCAGAATTATTAAAATATACACAGCTCTTTTCTATTTGTCTAGCGTTCACAGTGAGCTTTTCTGTAGAAATATGAAGGGAAAGAGTTTTCGCGGGGTTGCACGGTACTAGTTACCGGCAGTTAACCGGCTAGTGATGACGACAATTACGTTTTAGTTTATAATGAAAACACTCTTTCCTTCTCCTGATGTACTGGAGTGAAAAGAACGCCCCCGCCCACGTACCCGCCCACGCCCCTCTTCCGCAGCCGGCTCCCGGGCCGGGCGCGCCTGCTCCGTCCGCTTCTTCCGCACACGTGACTCGCTCTGGCTCCTCCTACCGACAACATGGCGGTGCCCAAAGGCTCAAGCCGCACGTGAGAGAGTGTGGGCGTCTAGGGCAAGGAGAGTACAGCGTGTGGGTTATATCCCTTCCACCACCGTTCCCGAGGTTCTTGCAGGTCCCCGCCGCACCCCCGCAGCCATGAAGACAAAGCCTGTTTCGCACAAGACGGAGAACACTTACCGGGTGAGCACGAGAGGTTGGACCGGGACCCTCGGGTCTCCGCTGGCTCAGCGGTGAGACGGACTCGCAGCGGGGCTCCGGGGGCTGCGGAGTGCTGGACCGAACCTGAGCTTGTCCCGAGGCTCTGGCAAAAGTGGGAGATGCCGTGTGTAGTGAACACGGGGTGGGGCAGTGAAGTCTGAGCCGCAGGTTACGCCTGTCGTTAGTAGGATCTGACCCGTCCTAGGAACTCCCTGAAGGCCGGAGTTAGCGTTCAGTTACCTGAGAGCCTATGACCGATTCTCCCCTACCCTTTTTTCTTTAAAGACCGATTTTCGTGTCTTCAGCTAATGGCTGGTATAGCTCTTTGCTCCATGATAGTTTCTTTTCAGATCTTCCTTACGATACAACTGTAGGTCTGTACATGTTTAAAAAGACTGTTAGCTTGATCCCTGGGCATGTAGGATGAAACCTAATAGAACTAATGAGACCAATCACACATGTTCACCTAGGTTCACCAGCCTTACCACAGAAATTTTATTTGAAATGACGTAGCTGAAAGAACTTTTGCAAACATACAAAAGTATTCATTATCTTTGAACGTGGTACTTCGAAGACCCTATGCCTTCTGTTTTGTTTTTGTGTCTTTTGCCATTCATCGGGGATACCTACTTTTAGTCTTAAAACTTAGATGCATGTTTTTTGAGTGATAGAAAACCCAAGTCTGAAATGACAAGCAAAGCAGACCGTTACTTGTCAGGATAGTACACAAGGGGGCTTACTGAAGATTTCAACTTCCTATTGTTATGAGGAAATTACCTACATGTGGTGCATACACAACACTCAGATATTCTAGGTACGGTATATATTGAATGATAATGTGCCTTAAATATGCTTTCCCTCCCAGTTTCTCACATTTGCTGAACGACTGGGCAATGTGAATATCGACATCATTCACCGTATCGATAGAACTGCCAGCTATGAAGAGGTAAGAGAATGTGTTATTAGTTTTTCAACTATTTCAACTAGTTTTCAAATATTCATAGTTGGTTGTTTGCTTCCCCTACTAGTAGAAGTGAGGTATTTTTCAAGCCCTTCCTTTGTGAACATGAAATAGATTAGACCTGGGCTCTCTAATATTGTAACCACATATGGCAAATTAGATTCACAGTAAATTAAAAATTCAGGTGTTTAATCGCCATGTGGCCTATTGCTACCACCTCAGACAAGTGCAAGTATGGACATTTCCATCATTGCAGAAAGTTCTCTGGACTGAGCTGTGTAGACAGGTTCATCTGATACCCAGCTGCCTTGGTGATGTAGCCTCTCCCTTTCCCATGTGCATTCTGCACTGCTGCAGCTCCTATTCCTGCCCTGTGATTTTAGTGATTTTGGGAAGTCTATTTTCCTGGGGCTTAGTTTCCTCTTCTATAAAAAGGAAAGGATGAGGCTATGCACTTTTTTCTGCTTCTAACCATACTTTAACTCTGTCATCCTCTGCAGAAATGTTTTTCTTTTCTAAATTTATGGACACATGCAAATGTTACACAGCAATATAATAAATAATAAGTCATGTATACCGTGTTAATGAACTAAACAATATAGTAGTGAACTTAGAAAGATTATTATTTCATTCCTCCCACTCCTTATTGCCAAGTAAACTAGCATTGATAATGTGGTATATCTGTGTTCATCTGTTTTTTTCTGTCATTTCCATTCAAGTATATGTAAATACTCAGAGACTTGTTTGTTTTAAAGAAATATGGAATCCTACCATACACTTTATTGTGTAACTTTTATCATCTTGGTGGCATAGCATCAGCATCTTTCTAATTCAGTATAGATAAAAGTATAAACTAATGACTATATAATATACTTTCATATGTCTAAACTATTAGTTACTCTAACCATTTTCCTATTTTATTTGGGCTGTTTTATGTTTCTTCTAACTGAATGGACATCTTTGCACTTCCATGTTTGCACATTTTATAATATCTCCAAGAGTAGAATTGCAGGGTCAAAGGAAATACATGTTTTTAATTTTAGTAGAAGTGTTAGTTTACTTCTGCATAAGATTGTATCAATTCATATTTCTAAAGCAGAAAGAACTGTAAGCAGCACATTTTTCTATGCCTAAAATAGTAGAATATATAGAAAAATTTTTCCTTAATGTAAGTATTATACGGGCTTTAGAATGTTATTTGCTGTAAACAAATCAATAAAAAATTGGTTTAATAAATCATTTGTTGATATTATATTTCTGATTGCTTTTTAAGTATACTAGTTAATGTCTTAAGAAAACAGGGGTTTTTAAACTTCAATATCTTTGTCTTAAGATGTTAATAAATCATTATTCTATACTTTGATCCTAATTTTCTTGGACTTACCTGATTAATGGACTGCTTTACTCTTGGCAGGAGGTTGAAACCTACTTTTTTGAGGGTCTGCTGAAATGGAGAGAATTGAACCTTACAGAACACTTTGGTATTTTTTAATTTGTTTTATTAAAATTTGCAAATTAGCTGTTCCATACAACTAAAATAGTGGTGTGATGGAAAAGCAGAACATGTTGTTTGTTCTTTTGTCCAGGGAAATTTTACAAGGAAGTTATTGACAAATGCCAGTCATTCAATCAGCTGGTATACCATCAAAATGAGATTGTTGAGAGTTTGAAGACTCACCTACAAATTAAGAACAGTTTTGCCTATCAACCCCTTTTGGAGTAAGTAACATCTTGAGAAATAACTTGAAAACTTCTCTGAATTTTAAGAAAGGTTATGTTCCATAGCTACAAATGCCTTTGATAAATAAAGACTTTGTAATTTAAAATCAAGAAGAATTCACCTTTTCTTCTAGACCAAAATATTTGGAAAAGATGCATTACCATAAAGTAGAATGTTAGGGGTACGATTTTATATTTGGTTTGTACTCCTCATGGAACCTTGTTTTTCTTTGACACTGTAGGAACAGTTGAACACAACCCATGATGCAATGTGTCTTTCTTGCTTGATTTCTTTACTGAACTTTTAAGACTTGAAGAATTTTGCATCATCCTAAACTTCACGGTTTCATTAATCTCTTAAGATGTTAGGCCATTTTACTTTTGTTAAATAGATCTGCAGAACCTTTTATCTTTATCTCCCTAACCAGTTGCTTCTTTCCAAATCCAGTTTGGTTGTACAGTTGGCACGAGATCTGCAGACAGATTTCTATCCACACTTTCAAGATTTTTTCCTTACTATCACCTCAATCCTGGAGACTCAGGACACAGAGTTGTTAGAATGGGCTTTTACCTCGCTGTCTTATCTTTACAAGTACCTATGGCGACTGATGGTAAAGGACATGTCCAATATATACAGGTGAGTGTTCCTGATTTTTTTTTAATTGTCTTTTTCTTTTTTTCCCTGGCTTCTCTGTGACTCCAAAATACCTTTCCAGCTCACTGCTTAATTATTTCCTTATAAAAAGTTGCTTCTCCAGCCAAAGTGGTCCAGAGTCTGGCCTGCTAGTTTATGTTAAGTTCTGTGTTGACCTTACCTTCTGTCAACACCAGCTGTTGAAATTGTACCTGCCCCTCAAAGCTTGATTTGGATTCTGTAACCTCCACAGATATTCCCGGCCATCTTAGCTGGAGTGAAAACTTTGTGTTCTGTTTTCTTTGACATTTTCCACCACTTATATCTCCCAACGTTCGTTCTTTCTTTTTCTTTCTTCCTTTCTTCCTTTTTTTCTTCTCTCCATCATTTATTTGTTAGAAATACTCCACATCCTTGATTTTCTAGGTCACAAGTTCTTTGAGACAGTGCTGTCAGATTTGGCCAGTTGGAGAGTGTTTCCCAACTTTCTACTTGTTTGTTTATAATGTAATTCTGTCCTCTAATTAACCTGTCAACTCCATAAGAATCTTAAACATTCGCATTTCCCAGCTGCTAATACACTTACTAAGTCAAAAGAAACACTCAAAAGTTATAAAATTGCAAAAAAGAAAAACAATTCAGTGATAAGTACTTATGAGTAATGTAGACAAGGAAAGGGAATGAATTCCATAGTGGCTTTTCACTTAAAATAAGGGAAGGATTGTTTATTCTCTGTTTAAATCTGAGATTTGATGGAATTTTCCGTTTGGTCTTCTGATTATTCCTATATATTGTAATTGCCACAGGAATATTTAAGACCAGTAATCAGCCCTTTACCCCTCAATTAAAGGCATGAGATAGGTATGAGATAAAACAATAGATTTTGTTTTTTTCCCACCCCTTCCACCCTGCCCAGCTTTCTCTTTTAGGAATTTTGAACAAAGAATAAGAAAGAGATGTTTTACCAGTCATTACTAGTTCTCTGTGAAGCTTTTGATGAAATGTGTTAGAACCAAGATTACTACATTAAACCACCAACAGGGTCTTTGAGGAAAATTTCTTTGTCCCTCAATATCCATAAGGGAATAGCTCTAGTACCACCCCTCTCCCAACAATGGAGTCAGTAGATGCTCAAGTCCCTTATATAAAATAATGTAATATTTGCATATAACATTTGTGCATCCTCCTGTGTACTTTAAGTCACCTGTGGATTAATTAAAATGCTCATTGCAATATAAATATTAAGATAGTTTTTAAGCTGTACCATTTAGGGAAAAATGACAAAGAAAACTCTACATGTCCTGTACAGACAGAATTCCTCCCCTCCCCCCACCCAAATATTTTCAGTTTATGTTTGGTTGAATCCACGGATGGGGACCCTGCAGATACCAAGGGTTGACAATGGTACTTGAGTTTTGTGATTTCACCTGTCAAAAAAACTGTCATTTGTATGTCTCTTAAGTTAGGTTCTTCAGTTCTACGTTTATTTGCTTGTGTGTGACCTGTCTTCAATGGGCTGGATAATTGCCCTTATTACAGAAACCAGACTTAACATATTCCTCTTTAAACCCAGTTGTCTTCCCTTTTTATCCATTTATGTGCTCAATAAATTTGTGTTAAGTGCCTGCCTTATGCCAGGCCCTGTTTTGTCGCCATCTTTTGTCAGTGGTAGCAACATTTCTTCTCAGGGCCATCTTTGAATCTGTTGTATTCAGGGACTCCAAAACCTCTTGTTTCTGTCGGGCATGCATTCATTCTGTAAATACTTATTGAGGACTGTTTGTTAGCCAGTTGAGATATAATAACAAAGCAGGTAAAAATCCCCCTTCTTCCAAAGTTTACAATTTAGCAAGGAGAGAACATCGTGGGCACATGCTGGCAGGTTCAAGGAAGAGCAGCGAGTCTTGGGAGGTGGAGTAAAGATAGAGTAGCTAGGCAGTGACACAGAAGTGGGAAGGAGGTCAGATCGTAAAGGGTCTTGTGGACTAATGTAAGGTATTTGACTGCCTTGCAGGGACTCCTGAAGTGTCTTTTTGGTCTGTCTTTAGTTACTTCCTTTTACTATCAGCCTCTTTCCTACCTGGTTAGCCCATGCTTGAGTGATGTAGGCAGCTTTCCAATTGGATAACCGACTTCTCTCTGTGTTTCATCTTGTATACTATTGCCAGATTAATCTTTCTGAAAATATTCATTTATCATCCAGCCACTATTTATTAATACCTACTATGAGCAAGGAACTGTTAGGTACTATAGGGATGTGGCAAAAAGTGGAGAATATAGTTTGTCATTATAGCTACATGGCTATACTATCTTGAGCAGTTTGCTCTGCCTTTCTGCCTCAATTTCATTGTCTGTGGTTTGAGAATAATAATAGGACTCATCCCTTGGAACTGTGGTGCTGATTACATACAGGTAAGCTAGTGTCCAAATTCTTCTTCTGTTCTGGGCTGCATGTTTATCTGGGCAGCTTTATCTGCAGCTGCCCCCTGCAACCACATCATCCTTGTTTAAATGGGCTAGTTCATTGTTATCCTTTGACTGTGGTCATTTCTCTCTGCCGCATCTTTGCTCTTCCTTTTATCCTAATATGCACACCAGTCATGATCTGAATTCTTCCTGACATTTAGAGCTCCCTACAGGAGTCAGCTCTACATGGAATCTTTCCTGTAAGATCAGTGCTACCAGTCCTAGGACTCTGTGTCTGGCTGTCAGCCTTCTGTTCAACATCTGAGTATCCCAGTCTTAAACTTGCTTTATACCTGCCATATATTCTTGCATACCCTGCATATCTTTGACATATAGTACATATTTATTAAAGTTATATATTTGGTTCATTAAGCATGTCATTTTTCTTTTTTTGTAGCATGTACAGTACACTCCTGGCTCATAAAAAACTGCATATAAGAAATTTTGCAGCTGAAAGTTTTACTTTTTTGATGAGAAAGGTTAGTCTGATATTTTAAATGTTTATTGCTATTAATCATTAAGAATCTGATGAAAGAAGCAGATGTCTTTTTTTAATGTTATTATGGACTAATTTTATATATATATATAAAATATGTGTGTGTGTGTGTGTGTGTGTGTATACACACAGAAATGGGGCCTGGCATTGTGGTGCAGCAGGTTAAGCTGCTCAGAATGCCCACATCCCATGTCAGGGTGCCAGTTTGAGTCCTGGCTCCTCCACTTCTCATCCAGCTTCCTGCTAATGCATCCTGGGGGGCAACATATGATGACCCAAGTGTTTGGGCCCCTGTCACCCACGTGGACAACCTGAATGGAGTTCCATGTTCCTGGCTTCAGCCTGGCCTAGCCCTGGCTGTTGCCAGTATTTGGCATGAACCAACACATAGAATCTCTTCTCTCTCTTTTTCTGTCATTTTGCCTTTCAAGGAGATGAAAATAAATTAATAAATAGTAAACCAAAAAACCCTGATGCACCTGTTACTATTTTGAGTTTATCTCATCTATCTCATCATTACTTTAGTATGGTATAATTTGGGTTGCTTTTTTTATTATTATTATTTAGGTTTTGGTGGCTTTTACTGCAAACTGAATTTAAATGAGTACGTATAGGAATAGTGAAAGTAAAAGGAATATTTGTGATAGTTTCCTGGAAGAAACTAGTTGCAGTGTCATTTAATGTCTGGCTCAAATTCCCATCGTAATTTAGAGGGTTTTTGAATAAAACAAAAAACATCGGTATTAAATTTCTTTAAGCTCATAAAATGCAATACATCATTTAGTGTAATAGAATGATATGTTGTGTGGCTTTTCTTGACATATATATATATACCTTTCTATGACACTCAAGAATTTCTCATTGTTATGTGACATACCCTTTTTTTTATAGATTTATTTATTTATTTGAAATTATTAAATTTCTTTAAGCTCATAAAATGCAATACATCATTTAGTGTAATAGAATGATATGTTGTGTGGCTTTTCTTGATAGATATAGATATAGATATAGATATAGATATAGATATAGATATATACCTTTCTATGACACTCAAGAATTTCTCATTGTTATGTGACATACCCTTTTTTTTATAGATTTATTTATTTATTTGAAAGTCAGAGTTAGAGAGAGAGAGAGATCTGCTGGTTCACCCCCCAAATGGCCACAGTGGCCAGAGATGGACCAATCCAAAGCCAGGAGCCAGGAGCTTCTTCTGGGTCTCCCAAGTGGGTGCAGGGGCCCAAGGACTTGGGCCATCTTCTACTGCTTTCCCAGGCCATAGCAGAGAGCTGGATTGGAAGAGGAGCAGCTGGGACTCAAACTGGTGCCCAAATGGGATACTGGCACTACAGGCGGTGGCTTTACCCACTACACCACAGCACTGACACTTGTGACATACTCTTACATGAGGGTATGTACCGTAACAGTAGCTTGGGATCATTTTACCTTTCAGAAGTCATTCTCAAGTGTATTTAAATATGAATATGAAGAATAACATAAGGCTTCTTCACTTGGATGTACTTATGTTATAAATTAATTTTCCTTTTTAGGTTTCTGATAAGAATGCACTTTTCAACTTAATGTTTTTCGATCTTGGTGAACATCCAGAAAAGACAGAAGGAGTTGGACAGTTGCTTTTTGAGATGTGCAAAGGAGTTAGAAATATGTTTCATTCCTGTACAGGCCAGGTGAGTAATAGGGAAGAATGCATGGGGTCTTCATAGAAGGATTAAACAGAAAATAGAAAAGAGTTAGGCAAATGATGTGCAAAGAGGTAGCCTAAAATAGACAAATCATCAGTGGGAGGTGTTAGGGGTTTAATAGCAATGCTTACTTAGTGTGGGCTCTGGGCAGTTAGAATTTTTACTTAGAAAATCATTCCTGTCTTCATGCTGGATACTAGGAGATAACATAAATTGATTAATGTTGTAGGGTGAATGGGGAGGGGAGAGTTGCATGATATTTTCCCCATCCCAGTTTGGAAATTCATTTTGGGATATGTAGTTAACCATCAAAGTCACCGTATCCTTGATTATTCCAGAACAGATTTTTTAAGGTAGCTGCTGTAACAAGGGTGGTCAATCAGTATAATATTTGAAAATGAGAGCTTATTTGTTAATTTTAATGGCTTTGTTCCCACAGGCAGTGAAGCTAATTTTGCAAAAGTTAGGACCAGTTACAGAAACAGAAACTCAACTATCATGGATTTTAGTTGGAGAAACACTCAAAAACATGGTCAAATCCACTGTGCTCTATATCTACAAGGAACATTTTGGTACATTTTTTGACTGCTTACAGGTGAGTTCTAATTTTTAAAGGTGAATACGTCATGAGAAATGTAAGGATTTACTTCTGTTGCTCTTAGTTCAGCAGAGCACCTTTGAAGATTGTATTTTATCAGTGTTTGCAGTTGGAGCCCATTGTGCTTAGTCAAGTAAGCCAGTCCCAAAAAGAGGAATCTCATGTTTTCCCTGATTTGTGGTAACTAATACAGAGTACAAAAAAGGTTAATATATGTGAGTGAAATTGACATTTTGAAATTTGATTATTATTAATAGCCTTTATATATACTCCTGAGGAAGAGTGGTTTTTCTACTACCAAAAGTTAATAATAATAATAATTGTTTTCTTTATACTTCCATAAGTATCTTAAAATTTTACTTCACTTTACCCCTAGATATTTTTTTGTTTGGTATCTCTTTTAAGAGTTTATTTGGGGCTGGCACCGCGGCTCACTAGGCTAATCCTCCGCCTGCAGCACCAGCACTCCGGGTTCTAGTCCCGGTTGGGCTCCCGGTTCTGTCCCGGTTGCTCCTCTTCCAGTCCAGCTCTCTGCTGTGGCCTGGGAAGGCAGTGGAGGATGGCACAAGTGATTGAGCCCTGCACCTGCATGGGAGACCAGGAAGAAGCACCTGGCTCCTGGCTTCGGATCGGCGCGCTGGCCATGGCGGCCATTTGGGGGGTTGCCGCTCCCTTGCCCGCAAAGGAACGACACTGTTCGCAGCTTATCGGTCTTCAGCAGACTTTTAATGGGAAAATAACAGGGACAGAGAAAGAATGAAAGGAGGAGAGTGGACAGGAAAGCCCCCTCCTTCCTCAGCACATAGCTTATATACAAAATCTGGCCAATTGCAAGCGGGCTCAAGTCCATGCACGGAACACTCCAATCCGCTGTCTGTTCACGCAGTGTGCACGCGTTCTTGGGCCAATCAGATGAGGTGTCACGCAGCAGGCAGGCTCACCGCGCGGTCCTCGGCGCCATCTTGTTGTTTACAACATTCTCAACTCCTCTGGAAAGTCCCGACCATGGGAAAGCATTGCCCTAACCGAAACTAGCAACATCTGCCTTGTGATAAAGACACAGCAACAGCTATCAGACCGACCTTGACGTGGGGGCTCCATGGCTGCGCATCCCATGGAGCCCCACAGGGGGTGAACCAGCAGAAGCAAGACCTTTCTCTGTCTCACTGTCTAACTCTGCCTGTCAAAAAAAAAGAAAAAAAGTTTATTTGAGTGGCAGAGAGACAGAGACATAAAATTTGAGTCACTCCCCCAATATCTATAGTGGCTATCCTTGAGCTGGGCTACAAATGGAGGCAAAAGCCAGGAACTAAATTCAGGTCTCCAAGTAGATGGCAAGGACTCAGTCACTTGAATTATCACCTGTTGTTTCCCAGGGTGTGCATTAGCAGGAAGCTTAAATTGGAGCAGAGAAGCTGGGACGCAAACCCAGGCACTCCAATACTGTGGGTGGGTGTCTCAACCAGTGTCTTAATGTCTGGACCAGATGATGCAGTAGATTGTGGTGGTTAAGCAAGATTCTGGAGCCAACTGTCTGTTTGAATCTGGGCTGTAACACTTGAGCTAATATGACTAAGAAAGTTAGTTGGGGGCCGGCGCCGTGGCTCAATAGGCTAATCCTCCACCTTGTGGCGCCAGCACACCGGGTTCTAGTCCCAGTCGGGGTGCCAGATTCTGTCCCGGTTGCCCCTCTTCCAAGCCAGCTCTCTGCTATGGCCCAGGAGTGCAGTGGAGGATGGCCCAGGTCCTTGGGCCCTGCACCCGCATGGGAGACCAGGAGAAGCACCTGGCTCCTGGCTTTGGATCAGCGCGATGCGCCGGCCGCAACGTGCCAGCCCTGGCAGCCATTGGAGGGTGAACCAACGGCAAAAGGAGAACCTTTATCTCTGTCTCTCTCTCACTGTCCACTCTGCCTGTCAAAAAAAAAAAAAAAAAGAAAGAAAGAAAGTTATTTGGAGTCGCTAGTCCTCAGTCTTTTTTATCGGATACATGGATATGATAATATTCCCCACCTCCACTGGTTCAAGACCTGGCTGCTCCACTTCCAATTCAGCTCTCTGCTATGGCCTGGGAAAGCAGTGGAAGATGGACCAAGTCTTTGGGCCCCTGTACATGCCAGGGAGGGCCAGAGGAAGCTCCTGGCTCCTGCCTTCAGATCAGTGCAGCTCTGGCCATTGCGGCCAATTGGGGAGTGAACCATTAGATGGAAGACACCTCTCTCTCTCTCTCTCTCTCTCTCTCTCTCTCTCTCTCTGCCTTTCTTGTCTCTGTGTAATTTTGACTTTCAGATAAATAAACAAATCTTAAAAATATATATATGTATATATTCCTCACCTCAAGGTTGCTGTGAAGATGGTGAGAAAGTACATACAAAGAACTTAGAGCAGTGCACTCAGTGTTGGCCGTCATCATTAGTGACTCTGGGTAAAGATGTCTTTCTTCTAGAGCAAAACTGAAAAGTTGAACTCTGTCGCACAGTGTTTTCATTATTAGATTAACAGATGAGTTGGATATTTTATGGTTATTGTATTTATTAAGTTGTTTGTTTGCAGGAATCACTCCTGGACCTACATACAAAAGTAACGCAAACTAACTGTTGTGAAAGTTCTGAACAGATTAAAAGGTTGTTAGAAATATATCTGATACTTGTGAAACATGGAAATGGATCAAAGATAACCAAACCTGCTGATGTTTGTAAGGTGAGTTCCTAACTTAATCTTCTTTGAGAGTCTGTTTATTAAAAGCAGGTTGGGGGCTGGCACTGGCATAGCGGGTAAAGCCGCCATTTGCAGTGCCAACATCCCATATGGGCACCAGATAGAGTTCCGGCTGCTCCACTACCAATCCAGCTCTCTGCTATGGCCTGGGAAAGCAGTACAAGATGGCCCAGGACCTTAGGTCCCTGCACCCGCATGGTAGACCAGGAGGAAGCTCCTGGCTCCTGGCTTTGGATCGTTGCAGCTCCAGCTATTGGGCCAATTGGGGAGTGAACCCGCGGATGGAAAACCTCTTTCCCACTTTCTTTGTCTTTCCTTCTCTCTCTGTGTGTAACTCTAACTTCCAAATAAAAAAGTAAATCTTTAAAAAAAAAAAAAAAACAGTTTGCTAAGTGTCATTGGTTTTTCTTTTGTTTTTGCAGGTGTTATGTCAAACATTACAAATAGCCTATCTCTCCACATCTTGCCGGAAGACCCTCTTGGATGTAATTTCTGCTTTGATCCTTGGAGAAAATGTTTCCTTACCAGAGACGCTCATCAGTGAAACCGTAGAAAAAGTAATTTACTTAAGCAAATATTAATTGAGTAGTTAATAATGTCTTTAGCATTGAGTAAGCCTGCTAAAGAATACAGATGAAGTGTGACAAAGGCTCTGCCCTACAGGAATGTATTTTTGTTAAGGAGAAGTGAATTGCCTGTTGTAATGGAAATAAGCACTGTAAAGTGTGATAAAAGCCTAATTTATACAGTAAATATTTAACAAACCTGTATAGCTCATTCAGTGCTAGGTATGAACTAGAGATTCCAGGTTGAATGCTGTGATGCCTATGTTTTTGATTATTACTGGGGAAGGGGGTCTGAAAGTGAGCACTTGTAATCTGGTGAGCTAATTAATTGCAAGTCTATTTAATTATGGCTATTGATTCTTGCTAGAGTTGACAGAGAATGCTTTTCAAAGGACATACATTTGGGATAGTCCTTGAGGGTTCCATTGCCATCTGCCAGTCAGAGAAGAAGTTACAGACATTAAGAGAGGGAATAGCAAATATGTATGCTCATAAAGATGTGCAGGCAGGGCACATGAAGTATGGTGTGATATCTGCAAAACTGCCTGCCCTCCAGAAGTTGGGTTGGGTTTCATCCAGCCAGTAGTGAAGGCCCTGGAAGAATTCTAAGCAGGGTCATAACTTGATGAGCTTTGCGCTTTAGTGAGTTTGAAGAATGGATTGCATTGAAGTAGGATTGCGGATAGGTCGGTTCCATTCTTCTTGGTTTCATGTAGTGCAGCAGGTATAGAGAGTGTATCACTTGTTCTTTCATGGTTCTCTGTAGCTGGGAAAGGACTGAGCAGCTCCTGGTCAGGGCCAGGTGTGGGCACTGTGTGTATAGTGCCCTTCACAACTGCTTTGGTACAGGCTGAGCATTCGTAGAGAATACTTGAAGAAGTGCCTGCCGTTCTCTGTTGCCTCAGATTCCGGGGAGTGGGGAGAATACACCCTGTGTACTTAACACTACTAACAATATGTTTTACCTGTGGTCTGCAGATTTTTGAGAGTGGATTTGAAAGACGTTTAATTTTGGATTTTTCTGAAGTCATGTTTGTTATGAAGCAGTTTGAGCAGGTAGGTGAGCTAATAAGTTTGGTTTTTTTGTTGTTGTTGTTGATGTTGTTTTATTAATCTGTCATGATAAAATAAACTTGAAATTTTTGATTTTTGTTTTTCTTTTGAGAGAACTAGAACAAGTGCTTCATGTTTTAGTTTTGAGACATTATGTTCAGTTCTAGGTCACAAGTGAAACCTAATTCCATATGCTAAGGCATTTAAAAAGACATCTGGTGGCCAACTTGTTTTTTCATAATCCTTTAGGTAGTTACAGAACCAGATGATGAAACTGAACAGTTTAAGGAGCTGTTATTTGAATCATAGAAAATAGTTTCTGAAATAGCTATGATGGACGAAGTTTAAGAAATTATTTCAGAGCTACAGAATAGATACAAGAAACTAAGTAGAAATCTTTCTTGTTGGGGCTGGCACTGTGGCATACCAACCTAAGCCTCTGCTTGTGGTGCCAGCATCCCATATGAGCGCCATTTCTAGTCCCGGCTGCTCCTGTTCTGATCCAGCTCTCTGTTGTGGCCTGGGAAAGCAGTAGAAGATGGCCTAAGTAATTGGGCCCCTGCACCCACGTTGGGGATCTGGAAAAAGCCCCTGGCTCCTGGTTTTGGATCAGCCCAGCTCTGGCTGTTGTGGCCATTTGGGGGAATGAACCAGTGGATGGAAGACCTTTCTCTCTGTCTCTCCCTCTCTCTGTCTGTAACTCTACTTCTCAAATAAATAAAATCTTTTAAAAAAAAAAACACCTTGAATTAAAAAAAATTAATCTTTCAAAAAAAAGAAATCTTTCTTGTCAAATTCTGAGTTTATTTTATCACCTCCATCAAATATTTGTCACTGTTCCTAACTAGTAACCCTTTAGCATACTTCACGGAAACCTATCTGTCTTTTCATCATTCTCTTTAGTTCTCAATTTTATCAATATATATAGTTATACATATATTTATATATATATATTCCCAATTGTCTAGGGAAAAGCCTGTTTTGTTTGTGTCCTAGATCCTGTTTCTTTCTGTTCCCCAAGGTCTCTTTATCTTACTTTGGTTTTCTTAGCAACTGTACCTTTTCTTTCTCCCCTGTCCTCCCCAAACTTTTTTAAATCTAATTTTTATCTTATTTTTGCCAATAAGGCTAAAGGTAGTCAATTGTCTTCCATTTGTATCTTAGTCACCAGCAGCAACCACATCTAATGATTTTTAACTAATTTTTTTTCCTGGTATTTTTTATTTTTTAATCACCTGAATAGTCACTGCTTTTCCTTAATGTCTCAGTTCTGGCCCTCATTTAGAGAGTTCCACTGTGATAGATGAATTTCAGTTCTTTTATACCCCTCATCTTCCCAATAAAGTTACATCACAAATTTTGGTTGAATCCATATTTACTGTAAACTTAATCCTTATAAACAAGGAGTATTTTATGATTGCATTTTTTCCTAATAACTTTTCATTTGTTTTCTGGAATTGATAAATTGCCTCATTGTATATAAACAGGAAAATGTTTTATTTAAAGAGCTAGCTGGTTAGTGAGTCCATCTACCAGCAGTGTTGCAAATACCTTTCTCATGGCAAACTGTCAGATAATTTAGCAACTCATTTTTTTTTTTTTTTCTGCTGCTTTCTTGGAGACATTTCTCCACCCACAGTACTGGTCTAGTCTGAATGGGTTATTTTCTCAGCCACTGCCCACGTTACCTGAGGACATCCTTTTGCTTCTCTCCTATTCCCTGGGTCTCATGTTTTCTCTCATTAGAATTTACTCTCTTGATAGAATATATTTCCCAGAGACTCCTAAGAAGGGGTATATGGAGGTAAATTTCTGAGCTTTGCACATCTGAAAATACCTTTATTTTTTTCCCTTATGTTGCACACTTTTAGTAGGCAGGGTGTAGAATTCTAGATTCCAAGTCATTTTTCCTTCACAGTTTTAAGACATTGCTTCATTGTCTTCAGCTCCCATTGTACCTTTAGAGAGATTTGATGCCATTGGTTCTTGAGCCTTTTTTTGTTTATCATCACTGTTTTTTAAGTGTTAGAATCTTCTCTGTATTAGGTTTTCTGAGATTTAAATCCATTAGTAAATATGATTTCCCTCCTTATTTTCAGCTTTTCCTACCATGCTTTCTCTTGTATATTGAGAAATGCTTTTTGGTTGATGACTCTGTGGTCAAAGGTGAGGCTCTGGCCATTTTGGCCAAGCTCATTCTGAACAAAGCAGCACCTCCCATGGCTGGCTCAATGGCAATCGAAAAGTACCCCCTGCTTTTCTCACCACAGACCATGGGGTAAGTTCTAAGTCTTTGTTGTCTGTAATGTTAGTAATCACACATTTAAGAATAAAAAGTGAAAACCTACGTATATTAATTGTAAAGATGTCTGTGCTAAATTATGTGAAAATAGCAAGTATGGAACCTTATACTTAGTATGTACAGTATGATCTTATTTTGTGAAATTTAAACAAAACATGAGGGTGAGCTTTTGGTACAGCAGCTAAGTTGCAGCTTAGGAAGCCTACAGCCTATGTTAGAGTGCCTACTTCCAATGTTGTCTACTCCACTTCTGATCCAGCTTCCTACTGATGCACACCCTGGGAGCAACAGTTGATGACCCAAGTACTTGAGGCCCTGCCACCTATGTAGGAGACCCAGATTGAATTCCAGGCTCTTGGCTTTGGCCTGCGTTGACCTTAGCTATGGGGACATTTGGAGACTGAACCAGCAGATAGAAAATCTCACCCTGTATATATGTGTCTCTCCCTGTCTCCATTTTTCTCTTTCAAATAAAATAAAAATTTTAAAAAATTTTAAGTGTTTATAAAAGTAGAAAAATATAGAAGGTTATACAAGCTTATTAATTTTGTTACCAGGAGGATGGTTAAGAAAAGGGAGAGGTGACTATTAACTTTTTAACGTTTTATTTTAGAATAATGGCAGTTTACATACAGTTGCAAAAAATATATCTGAAAGGTTCTGTGTATAATTTATCTAGTTTCCCCCATTGGCAACATCTTGTATAAGTATACTGCAGTGTTGTAACAAGCAAATTGGGCTTGGTACAATCCTAGTCTTGTTCATCAGTACTATGAACTCTCCTCTCAGTGTGTATAGATAGGGATATATGCCTCTGGCAGGGACAGCACTGGGCAGGAGAGTGGGCTGGAAGGAGGGAGGATAGGGTCAAGCTACCTAAGGCCTTTCAGGATCAGGAAAGAGTATAGATTTCATTGAAGGGGCTCAGTAAAGAGTATAGCTTTTATTGGTAGAGGTCACCAACAGGTGACAAAGCAGGGGAATGAAGTAGCAACTAATGACTCACTTTTTAAAAAGCATCTCAATAATTTTTAAGCTTTGCAAATTGTTGAGTCATGGTAACTACTAAAAAGACTAGATATCAAGATATGGTAATTATAAGGAATTGACAGTTCATTTCATAATTCCCAAACATTCAGTATTTTGAGAAGAATGAAACAAAAGAGAATATAACCTTTTGATTAATTTTAATGATAATATGGCACAGGAGAGAAAACTGATATTCCAGTTCTATTACATAGCAAGCTAACCAAGCTGGACCTATCAGATAAACCATAAAATCATTTTATTTTATTATTCTGTGACTTTTCTTTTGGCTAGGTATCTTTCAGATAGGACTGAGGTATAGTACATGAGGTATAGTCCACTGGCAGAAAGGAAAAGAGCCCAACAAGAATAGTAACAGTGTAACAATACCTGAAACAGTGCCGTATCGGAAAGCGTCAATGAGTAGCCATATATCAGATTAAAGCAACAGAAGAAAATTACCTGGAAATAGTTATGATATTTGTCAGCTTCACCATGGCAACTTCATGTCCAAAGCAAGGGATAGTGAGAGTGGAAGAAATTGTTCATTTAGGGGATGTCACTGTGGCGTAGCGGATAAAGCTGCCACCTGAAGTGCCGGCATCCCATATAGGCGCTGATTCGAGACCAGCTGCTCCACTTCTGATCTAGCTCTCTGCTATGACTTGGGAAAGCAGTAGAAGATGGCCCAACTCCTTGGGCCCCTGCACCCGCATCGGAGACCAAGAAGAACCTCCTGGCTCCTGGCTTCAGATCGGCGTAGCTCTGACCATTGCGGCCAACTGGGGAGTGAACCAGCAGATGGAAGACCTCTCTCTCTGCCTCTCCTTCTCTTCCGTAAATCTAGCTTTCAAATAAAATAAATAAATCTTTAAAAAAAAAAAAGAAGAACGAAATTGCTCATTTAGAGTAGTGCCAATTCTTAGAAACTTGTCCTGCAGCACAAAATTGAGAAGTAACGGTTGAAACTAGAAGTCTCAGGTTAAGTTATGAAGCAAAGTAAAATAAAATGAGAAACAGGTAGAAGCAATGGAGTTGAAAGGCCTTTCAGTGAAAATTGTTTGGTTCTTTAAATTCAGTCACAATTACCAGTTTCCTCCTCCTGCAGTGCTCCCCAATGAGAAGAAACCAGTTTTATTTTGGACTTTATAAGGCAAGAGCCATTATATTCTCTTCTGTTCTGAACATTTATCTTTTCGTCCTTCAGGTACTGTTTAAAGCAGAAGAAGACTAGATCTAAAGGAGGAAAGGAACTGTTTCCAGTATTGAACCATCTCTTATCAATAATTCAGTCACCCCCAAAGAAAGATCCCACTTACCTTTCACAGTCTTGGGCAGCCCTTGTAGTGTTACCTCATGTTAGGTAAGGGAATAAACTATGTTTAATTTTGAAAGAGATGCTTAACATGCTGATTAAAATATGTTAACCATTCCTTGCCATTCTGTGAAAAAATCATTGTCACTTTGAGCTTTTCCCTTTTTCTTGGACAGACCTCTTGAGAAAGAAAAGGTGATACCACTGGTCACATGCTGCATAGAATCACTGCTCAAGACTGTTGACAGAGGGAGCTTTGGAAAAGGTCAGTCACAATCACCATTTGTTCTCTTTTCTTCCTTCTGTGACACATCCAGACTAACTGTAAACACATGGGATATCAAAGAATAATACTAGCATTGTGTTCTGGCATGACCTCCTCTGTGTGATAAATACAGAAAGAAGGTGAGATGCACGGTTTCACTGGTACCCCGTAATGTGGTGACCAGGTCAAGGTGCCTTAAACATAAGGAAGATCAAAAGGATGTCAGGAAGTTGAAGATCATTCATGGTTAAGCCCCAGCCTATGTCTTGTTTCACATCTCTCACACCCACGCTACTCATGGGATACACCTTATGCTGCAGGCATTTCCATTTGCTCACCCTAAGTTAGACACATTCTTTAAAACTGTCTGGCCGCCCTTGAACATGTGATCCCTCTGCCCAGAGAGCTTTCTAAGTCTTTGTCGTTCAGTGAGTTCTAATTTTCAAAACTCAAGAGCAACACCTGTAGGAAGGCCTCCATGCCTCCTCTTCCAGTCAGAATTAGACTGCCGTGCCACAAACACCATTTCCTATCGTATACTCCTGCATCTACCCCAGTAGCCTGAGAGCAGCATTGAAAAGCAAGCATTTTATTTCTTTCCAGTATTTTTTTCAATACATGTATAAAATATAGTCATTCATTCACTTAAATGTTAATGTGCTACATTCTATGTTAGATGCTAAGTTGATAGACAGTAACATACACTTTCCACATCTCAGGTTCTCAGTGGTTATATGGGACTTAGTGGTTGCCGTATTGGATTGTGGCTACATAGCAGCACAGGATTTCTACCATTGCTGACGGTTCTGTTAGCCAGCACTAGCCACTGGACATGTGACTACTTATAAATTAGAGAAGTGAAATCAATATGAGTTTTACACAAAGAGAGTTTCCAAGCTTTTTTAAAAAGTCCAAATTTGTTCTACTCAAAAGTGTCTAGCTTTAGAAATGCTGGAGGGTGAAACCATTATACTTCATCCTCATCTTGGTTAGTGGAACATAATGTATTATTTGTTTCTGAAAAGATATTTTTGAATATCTTAAAGCAAATAAGATATAAGACTTGGAAAGTTCTCTTTCCTGCTCCTTTCTGTTACATTTGGAATTTGACATGTAATTCTGTAGAAGATGCTTTAAGAACTTCCTGTAAGTAGCAAGTGCTAGGTAATGGGTGTTTGATAGTTATTATGTCAAGGAAGTAAGTAATGTGGGTTTTTCTGTTTTTCTGAGCTTAGGAAACTTATTTGTTCTTTGCCAAGCCGTAAATACTCTGCTAAGTTTGGAAGAATCTTCTGAACTACTTCATTTGGTTCCTGTGGAACGTGTGAAGAATTTAGTGCTGTAAGTAAACATGCCTTTATTTGACTTAATAATGAGTGTAGTGTGCAAGCCTCTGTTTTTGTAAGATCTTGGACATAAAGATCACTTTGGTCTATTTTATACCTGGATTGCGTTCACGTAGTAAGATTTAACATTGATTTAGATTTTCTAATTACAATAAGTATGATTTTTGACAGTCTTTAAGGCAGATTCATCTTTGTAGAGGGGTATTTTTTTGTATGTGTACATTAGTGTTGTAAAGCACAAAAGGTTTCTAACTCTGATTATTCCCGGCCATAGTATTACTCAGTGTTCTCCTTCCATAACTTCTTTAGTGATTCCAACACACACCTTCCCACTGCTTTCATAGTCTGCCTCAGCTCATCCTGAGCTACATTTAAAAACACTTGTCTGCAGTCATTTTTCTGTATGCTGAAACAACTCCTTTTTGGTTTATTTGTTTGATGTTTTAGGTTTAGCCAGCCCTTGACTTTGACACAAAGCCATTATTTTTTTTTTAAAGATTTATTTATTTGAAAGAGTTACACACAGAGAAGGAGAGGCAGAGAGAGAGAGAGGGAGAGGTCTTCCTTCCATTGGTTCACTCCCCAGTTGGCTGCAGCGGCTGGAGCTGCAACAATCTGAAGCCAGGAGCTTCTTCCAGGTCTCCCATGTGGGTGCAGGATCCCAAGGACTTGGACCATCTTCTACTGCTTTTCCAGGCCATAGCAGAGAGCTGGATCAGAAGTGCAGCAACTGAGACTCGAACCGGCACTCATATGGGATGCCGGCACTGCAGGTCGTGGCCTTACCCGCTGTGCCACAGCACCAGCCCTGACAAAGCCATTATTGAGGAGCCAGTAATTCACCCTTTCTAAGAAAGAGGTGAGGCCTTTTGAAAATCTAATGAGCTTGTTCGGTTTTTCTGGAATCTAGCTCATTTTACTCCTGTGCTTTTTAAAGCAGATTTACTTATTTTAAATCGGATTTTACTTAATCAAATAAATCTTTAAAAAATTCATTTGCTTTTCTCATGTAGCAGGTCTTTTTTAGGCACTGGAAAAAATAGTGGATGAAACTGACAAAATTCCCTGCCTTCATGTTCTAGCACAAAGAGACACTAAACAGAATGAACAAGTAAAATATGCAGTTTTTTAGAAGATGCCACGTGTAGAACAGAGACAAGGGGAAAGGAATCTAGAGGTTAGGCTCAGTAGCGGTTTTAAGGGTTTTAAGTCACGTAGGCCTTACCAAAAAGACATTTGAGCAGAAGCCTGAAGGCAATGAGGCAGTAAGCAGTGAGCACAGCTGGGGGTTGGGGATGCTGATGGGTGAGTGCCTGGCTTGAGGAGCAAGGAGCCCATTGTGGAGTGAAGCCAGCAGGTAGAGAGAGTGATAGACGAGGACATAGAGGTGGGGGTGGGAGACTGAGCGACCTTTAGATCACTATATTCAACTGAGTGAAAGGGGAGGCCACAGGAGGATTTTTAGCAGGGGATAACCTGAGACTAAACTGCATCACTCTGGCTTCTGAGTCAAGAAAAGCTGGGGAAGAATAAAGGAGATCAATTAGGAGACTTAATGCAGTGAAACAGATTATATTTCCGCCTCTGCATGAAGTTGACATTTCCCCGTGGCTAATTTAATTGGTTTGAATTAACTTGCTTCAGGGAGGGTTATTTATCATATTTTGTATCCCCTTTGTCTTGACCAGTCTGGTTAAACTTCCCACACTTTTGTTTTTTGTACAAGCAATTGACTGTGACTCTAGAGGTTTGAACAAAATGCACACATAGCATGACCCCTGGAGACCTCCGAGTGACACTTACCCTCAGAGGTCCAAAAATCTCCCGACAGGAGTGGGACAGTTTTTGAGGGTTGGGGTGTAAGCTCCCAGTGTAGATGCAGGACTCCGAACATGGTGCTGTCCTGGTTTGCTGGTGGTGCATCTCACTTTCACAGCCAGCCAGCCTGGGTTCAGTGTCATCTTCACTACTTTCTAACTCTTTATACCCTTGCAGCCTTGAGTGAGTGAGTTAGCCTCAACTGTATTATTGTTAAAGAGAATAGTTTTAAAAAAAACAGGTGATTAAAAAGTGCAATGCATGCAGTATTAACAAATTATATTTGCTGTGTCTTATTTTGTGCCAGTCACTGTTCTGAGTCCTTCACATACATTGTTTAATTTTATCCTCACAACAACTCCTTGATGTATAGGTACTGTTACTGCAGATGAAAGAAGCAAAGCTTCAAAACAGGACCCTGGCCGAAGCCGCCATCTCTGGGTTATTGTCCCAGCCTCCTAATGAGCGTCATTGCTGCTACCCTTGCGCTGCTGCTCTCTGTTCTGTACCCAGCAACCAGAATGGTTCTTTCAAGTGTCACACAGATGGTGTCACTCCATTGCCAGCACCCTTAGTACAGTGTTTCTCAGCTGAGCGCATTTGTAGAGGACAGTTTTGGTTGCCACAACTGGGAGGGACAAGAGGACTGCTCCTGGAATTTAGTGGGTTGAGGCCAGCAGTGGTGTTCAGTAACCCACAGTGCACAACAGAGTTCTCCCGAGCTGCTGTTGGGAAACCGTGTTCTTGCAATATCTCATCCAGACCTTCCTGCTCCTCGGGGCTCTGTGTGACCTCACTTGGCTCCTTGGGCCATGTTCAGCCACTCTTCCTTGTTAATGCAGCTCCAGCCAGACTGACTAGTTGGTGTTTCCAAGGATGAGCACCCCTCAGTCTGGGACTTGGCTTCACTGTTCCCTCTACCTAGAGTGCTTTCTTCCACATGTCCTTTTAGCTCAGTTGTTACCTCCTCAGTCTCTGCTTTCCATGACTACCCTGCAGGAAACTGCCTCTCCCATCCTGCCTGTCCTGCACACCAGCCTCTCTCTCTAGCCTCCTTCTCTGGTTTACTCTTCTCCACACCACTCATCACTGGCATACACAATTAATTAATTAATTAATTAACTAACTATCTTCTACTAGAATGTAAGTTCAAGGAAGATAGGGACTTCGTCTTTTGTTCACTGCTGTGTCCACAGTATCTGCAAAGTCAGTGGCACATGGTAGACACTCAGTAAATATGAGGGTATTTAAAAATGTTTCTAAAAAATGGAGTGAAAGATAAGTTTATATGATGCAAAACATTTTTGAAATCCATACATAGTGTCTTCCTAATATGTGTTTTTCATTATCATTTTGAACACCCCCTTGTATACATGATTTCAAAATGTGTTTGCAACATTACAAACATCTTTTACTTCCATTTCCTGTGAAGTCTTGGAAATTCCCTATACTTGTTGTGGGAAGATGGTGCATGGCAGGTAAGCAGCTTGCTGTGGTCATGTCACTGATGAGTGATGGGGCTGGGTCCAGACCAGGGCTGCCTTAGCCCAGGGGTTAGATGCCAGACCACTCTTCGGTATTGCTTTCCTCATTGGCTCAGTGCCCAGCCTGTGGCAAACACTTGTGACTGTCATTTACAGCTGTGTGGAGCCTTGGATTTATAGTCAAAATAGCATATTCTAGTCCTACTGGTGCCTCCACCCACCTATGTCCTTGAGTATACCACTCACTGTTACTAGGCCTTGGATTCCTCTTTTGTGAAATGATGCCAAATGTCTATGTGTAAAACTTCTATGTGTTGTCTTTTTTTTTTTTCTTTGAAGATTTATTTTATTTATTTGAAAGACAGAGTCACAGATACAGATAGAGCCAGAGAGACAGAGGTCTTCCATCTGCTGGTTCACTCCCCAAATGGCTGCAACAGCCAGCGCTGAGCTGATCCAAAACCAGGAGCCAGAAGCTTCTTCCAGGTCTCCCACATGGTGCAGAGGCCCAAGCACGTGGGCCATATTGTACTACTTTCCCAGGCCATAGCAGAGAGCTGGATTGGAAGTGGAGCATGCGGGACATGAACCAGCACCCATTTGGAATGCTGGGTCTGCAGGCTGGGGCTTTAACTTGCTGCACCACAACACTGGCCCCTATATGTTGCCTTTTTTTTTTTTTTTTTTTAAATGTTTATTTGAAAGGCAGAGTGACAGAGAGAGAGAGAGGGAGAAAGGTCTTCCATCCAGTGGTTCAATGATCATATGCTTAAAACAGCCAGGGCTGAGCCAGGCTGAAGCCTGGAAATGGGAATTCCATCCATGTCTACCTTGTGGGTAGCAGGGACCGAAGTACATGACCCATCACCTGTTGCCTCTCAGTGTACAAATCAGCAGGAAGCTAGATGAGAAGCAGAGTAGCCAGTAGTTGAACTAGCACTCTGATATGGTATATGGGCATTTCAAGTGGTGTCTTCACCACTTGAAACAATGCCTGTCTCTGTGTGTTACCTTTTATGCTTTTTTCATCAGTGATAATTTTCCAACGATTCTGTTATCTAAGTATTTTTAGTGTATGGAACAGTTTGAGTCTAACAAACGTCTTATTGCAGAATGTTTCCTTCGGAGCCATCTGTGTTGCTGTTGGCTGATCTCTATTATCAGAGACTCTCCTTATGTGGCTGCAAGGGGCCACTTTCAGAAGAAAATTTAATGGAACTATTTCCCAAGTTGCAAGCAAACATTTCAACAGGTGTATCCAAGGTAATGCTGTTTCGTGGTGTGATCTTAGTCTCCTCCTTCTGTTTCTATTTGTATTACCAGTGTGTATTGGCATTAATTAGAAAATGCTGCTGTGGGATGATTTCTGTTTAAAGCAGTGATTCCTGAACACTGCCTACAAACTGATCGCAGCAGGATTATTTAGGGAGGTGAATAAAAATACAAATTCCAAATCCCTACCCACAGATATTCTGATTCAGTAGAATTTGGGTGAAACTGAAAAATCTACATTACTTTTGACAAGTCCTCTAGGTGATTCTGCTGCTCTCAGGTATATAGAAATACCAGAATACAATACTTAGGAACAAAAATGGCCAATTTCTCTTGAATGGTAAGGTTAATCAGCTTCTTTGTCTTTAATACAGAGATGTACATAGTGCCATACAGTTGTGCATCCATGATCCGAAATCTGAAATACTCCAAAATCAAAATTCTTTGAGCAGTAACTCAAAAGTTTCTGAGTTTGGAGATATGTGAATCTGAGGATTTTTTTGTTTGGTTGATTTGGTTTGGTTTTATTTATTTATTTGGAAATCAGAGTTACAGAGAGAAGGAGAGACGGATACAGAGATCCTCCATCTGTTAGCCCATTCTCCTAACGGCTGCAACAGCCAGGGCTGTGCCATGCCAAAGCCAGAAACCTGGGCCATCCTCCACCACCTTCCCAAGCACACCAGCGCGCAGCTGGATGGGAAGTGGAACAGCTGGGATTCAAACCACCTCAGGCTGTGGCTCAACCCACCATGCCACAGTGTTGGCCTCTGATTCTAAGTTCTGATTAAGGATGTTCAGCCAATAAAGTCTGCATAAATATTGGAAAGTCCTGGAAACTCCAAAATCTGAAACACTTTTGTACTCAAGCATTTCAGAAAAGGAACAGTCAACCTGTAGCCAGACACACTACATGGTATTAAGGCCAACCTCCTAAGTCTAGGCTAGTCTTTCTTTGTTCTATGCACTGTTTGATTAAGGTATTAGTTGGTGTTAAATATGAAATAAGGTGTGGAGTATACATATAGGAGAATACTTTGGAACGTTAATGGAAAATGGAATTCAAAGAGTTGTTGGGGCCAGCACTGTAAACCTGCCACCTGCAGTCTGGTATCCCTTATGGGCACCGGTTCAAGTCCTGGCTGCTCCACTTGGAATCCAGCTCTCTGCTATGGCCTGGGAAAGCAGTGGAAAATGGCCCAAGTCTTTGGACACCTGTACCCCTGTAGGAGGCCTGGAGGGAACTCCTGGCTCCTGGCTTCAGATCGGTACAGCTCTGGCTGTTATGGCCAAGTGGGGAGTGAACCAGTGGATGGGAGACCTCTCTCTCTCTCTCCCTCTCCCTCTCCCTCTCCCTCCCTCCCTCCCTCTCTCCTTCTTCTCTCTGTGTAACTCTGACTTTCAAATAAATAAATAAATCTTTAAAAAAAAAAGTTTGTCACCAAAATAAAGTTGAAATCCATGCATACAGCAAATCTTGAAAAAATTCATGAAAAATGTGTATTTCAAAAACCATGCGTGGATTTCAAAATTTTGTACATCAAAATAAATGTCTTTTAATTCCATTTTCCATGAACTTTATGAAATACCTTGTATTCACTATCTCACTGATTGAATCAGTGTCTTTCTGTTGTTCAACTTTAGAATTTGAAACGTGTCTTTTACTTTCTCTAGATTCGACTTTTGACAATAAGGATCCTAAACCATTTTGATGTTCGGCTTCCAGAAATGAAGGAGGTATTTTAAATATTTGGATAGTTTTTAAAAAAACATAAGTCTACAATATTTTTAGATGTCCAAAATATCTGCAGAAGATTAACTTTATATATAATTGTCATAAAAACTGATATATTTTGTGATGTTTACTCCCACCTGCTAACAAGACACCAGTGAGCCGCGGCGGCCATTGGAGGGTGAACCAACTGCAAAGGAAGACCTTTCTCTCTGTCTCTCTCTCTCACTGTGTCCCACTCTGCCAAAAAAAAAAAAGAAAGATTATACAGACCACCAGTGAAAATCCACTTAATTGTTGAATATTCTTTCATATTTTTTGTATATACACGTGTAATTTAAATGGGTCATGTCAGGTTTTCCTCATTTCTTTTGAAGTTGGCATGGTACTCCACAGTTCCAAATATCTTAGCCAAGTCCCTGTTGATGGATAATTAGGTGAGTTTTTATAGATTTTCAGCATTTCAGACAGTATTGTAGTAAAAAATATTAGTAGGTGCTAATAACACTGCCATACAGATTATTTTTGTGTAGGGAAGTATTCCCATCCTGTAAATTACTAGAAGTAAAATTGTGTAGTGAAAGTTAGAGGGTATTTCAAGAAGTTTATGGGAAAATGGAATTGAAAGGTAAGTTTATTTTGGTGCAAGAATTTTTGAAATCCATGCTGTTTTTTCATGTGTGTTTTTCCATGAACCTTCTGATGATCCCTCATATATTTGTATTTCAAAAAAATTCTTTGGGAGCTGGCACTGTGGCGCAGTGGGTTGACTCCCTGGCCTGAAGCGCTGGCATCCCATATGGGCGCCGGTTCAAGACCCCGCTGCTCTACTTCCAACCCAGCTCTCTGCTGTGGCCTGGGAAAGCAGTGGAAGATGGCCCAAGTCCTTGGGCCCCTGCACCCACGTGGGAGACCCAGAGGAAGCTCCTGGCTCCTGGCCTCGGATTGGCGCAGCTCCTGTGGTTGCAGCCAATTGGGGAGTGAACCATCGGATGGAAGACCTCTCCCTCTCTCTCTCTCTCTGCCTCTCCTTCTCTCTCTGTGAAACTCTGCCTTTCAAATAAATAAATCTTTAAAAAAATTTTTTGCACCAAAATAAACAACTTTTAATTTGATGTCCCACAAACTTTTGACTTACCCATATGTATATATTCACTTTCTTTATTTCAATGGATGTTAATGCATGTTGCCAAGCAATTTGAGTCATTTTGAGAATGACTTTCCTGTTTTCTATTTGTCAGTTGTATATCACTTTTATGCCTGAAGTATCTTCCAAAAAAAAAAAAAAAGTAAGAGGTATGAAGAAAAAAAGGAATCACTTAGAAAAACAAACAAGAAAGGTGTAGCTTATTTAATTTAAAACATTAACATAATCTGATTTTTTTTCTCTTTTTAGACCTTTGGTCACATTATATGTTCTCTTTGGAAAATCAAAATCGTAACCTATGTTTTGGGTTTCCCTTACCGTTCAGGATGATGGGCTCTCAGAGCGGCAGTCCGCCTTTGCTATATTACGTCAGGCTGAACTTGTGCCAGCAACTGTGAATGATTACCGGGAGAAGCTTCTTCATCTGAGAAAACTGAGACATGATGTGGTGCGGACTGCAGTCCCTGATGGACCATTGCAGGAGGTGAAAAAGGATCCTTTTTTCCTGTTAATTTATATTTCAAATCCTGTTTGTGGAAGCATTTTAAGTAGTCACCAAAAAAATAAAAAATAAAAGAGGTAGATCCCCAGTCTCTTAGATGTTTTGAGTCAGACAGCTCTGCCAGCCTTTTAAACAGTGGAAATGCTTTAGTTCTCTTGTAAGTATGTGCAGGTGTGAAGCAGTTATAGCCAGTCCTCATTCGGTTTTATTCTTGCTTTTCCTGGTACAACAGAGAAGTGGCTACTTGAGCAGTTTGTTTCACTTAGGTAGAGTGTCTCTGGGCCATCTTATTGGTTACAGCATGTTGCATTGGAGCATTTTAAGATGTAAGACTCCATTTTTAGAGCTTCTCGAGCTTCATTAGCCTCTTAATTGCTTCATTAGCCTCTTAAACGGTAATGAATTAGATAAGTTTGCAAGTTAACCCTTATCACAAAAACTCTTAAACTGGTTTTAGAGACAGTGCTTTGAAAATGCAGATTCCATTTTAAAAAGAAAAATAAATAAATAAGTGTTTAACCTAGTGGTTAAGATGCTTGCATTCTTTGGGGCTGGTGCTATGGTGTAGTAGTAGGTGCCAGCATTCCATATAGGCACCAGTTCAAGTCCTGGCTGCTCTGATTCTGCTCCAGCTCCCTGCTAATCATCTGGGAAAGCAATAGAAGATGGCCCAAGTCCTTGGGTCCCTGCTACCCATGTGGGAGACCTGGAAGAAGCTCCTGGCTCTTGGTTTCAGAACAGCCAAGCTCCAGCTGTTGTGGCCATTTGGGGAGTGAACCTGCGCATGGAAGACCTTTCTCTTTATCTCACCCTCTCTGTCTATAACTCTGCCTCTCAAATAGATAAATCTTCAAATCAAATAAAAAGATGCTCGCATCCCACATTGGAATGCCTGGATTTTATTTCTAGTTCCAGCTTCCTGCCAATACAGACCTTAGGAGGCATCAATGATAGCCCAAGTAGTTGGGTCTCTGCCACCCACATGGGAGGTGTGAATTGAGTTCTCAGCTCCAGGTTCCAGCCCTGGCTCAGTACCAGCCATTGCAGGCATCTGGGGGAGTGAATCAGTGGACGGGAGAGCTCATGTGCTTTTTCTGTGCCTTTTGACTCTACCTCTCAAAGAAAAGTTGAGAAAGGAAAAAGTTTTAAAGCTTTTAGAATGTAAATGATTTTAGTCCAGGGGTAGGCTGTGGAAATGTATTAGATAAAGCAGAACTGAAGATTTTATTTATTTATTGGAGAGGTAGAGTTATAGAAAGAGAGAGGGAGAGACCAAGAGAAAGGTCTTCTCTCTGCTTGTTTACTCCCCAAATGACCACAACAGCCAGAGCTAGGCGGATCCAGAGCCAGGAGCTTCTTTCAGGTCTCCCATGCAGGTGCAGGGACCCAAAGACTTGGGCCGTCTGTTGCTGCTTTCCCAGGCCATAGCAGAGAGCTGGATTGGAAGAGGAACAGCTGGGACATAACCTGGCACTCACCTGCGATGCCAGCGCTGCAGGCGGAGTCTTAGCTTACTATATACCACAGCCCTGGCCCTAGCTATTATGATTATTAAAATTAACCTTTTATTTGAGCCGGCGCCGTGGCTCAATAGGCTAATCCTCCACCTTGCGGCGCCGGCACACCGGGTTCTAGTCCCGGTTGGGGCGCCGGATTCTGTCCCGGTTGCCCCTCTTCCAGGCCAGCTCTCTGCTATGGCCAGGGAGTGCAGTGGAGGATGGCCCAGGTGCTTGGGCCCTGCACCCCATGGGAGACCAGGAAAAGCACCTGGATCCTGGCTCCTGCCATCGGATCAGCGCGGTGCGCCGGCTGCAGCGGCGGCCATTGGAGGGTGAACCAACGGCAAAGGAAGACCTTTCTCTCTGTCTCTCTCTCTCACTGTCCACTCTGCCTGTCCACAAAATAAAATAAAAAAAAAAAAAACACACATTTAAAATTAACCTTTTATCTAACGTAAGTATTGACCACCAATAACTGGGTGCTCATGATGCAAAAGCCCAGCCCCTTCCTTTCAGAAAGGCTAAAGTCTCAGCGCCAAAAAGGACTAGAAAACATATCATAGCATAAGAATATTCAGAAAGGACCAGCCTGTGGTCTGTATTTACAAAATGCTTCATGAATTTCCTACTCAGTATTCTGTTATACATTTAGCCATTTAGTAAGCATTTGCTATGTTTTGGTCATCAAATTGGACTTTAGGGATACAAAGACAATTGAGTACATAAACCTACCTTAAAGAGACATAAAGCCTGCTAGGGACTCACAGATATGTAACCAGTAAAGCATAGTGGGGTATAGTCCAGAGTCTTCACTGAGAAAATCACTCTAAAGCGGTGTCCTGTCAAAGGATTACATCTCCAGAAACTCAAGTAGGAAGTGTGTTTCAACCAGGTGGCGCAAGAGAGGCGCAAATGATGTCAAATAACAGGTTTATTCAGGGATGCAAGCAGCTCTATATGTCTAGATGGCAGCTGCGGGGGGTTGGGGGAGTGAGGGTCGTGATGAGATAACTAAAGCTCACGTCTCAGAGTCTGGATTTATGTAGATTTATAAGCCACATAATTATCTACCTGAGCCTTTGTCTTCAATATCTGCACTTCTTCTGGACACTTCTTAGGACAAGATGCCATTAATTCTTTCAGTTGTTTGTTATGTTTTATTTATAGCACTTCTGAAGTATCAAGGGTTATGTGAAGTGCTGGTTTTACAAGCGACAAAACTGACATAGGCCTTGTCTAGTGCTTCTGATGTTAGCTTCTAGATCAGTAAAGAAAGGTGATGAGATAAGTAGTTGATTAAAGGAAGAGTGGGGCATTCAGTCTTTATTATCATTTCCCCTTTTCCTTTTGTTAGAAATACTATTACTCAAACACATGGATGAAAAGTGAGCTTCTGGAACAATTTGAGTTGGAAGGAGAAATTCAAAGGCTATTTGAGTCAACAAACTGGGTTGAGATTCCTTGGCTAAGCCATTGTGAACTTTGCTAATAGGAAATCTGTTGAAATATACTTCATTTTAACTCCCTGGTTTAATGACCAACCTTCTGCTTATCCTTTGGGGACAGAAAAATGGAGCCTGCCAAAGGGAAGTGCCCAGAAATCTAGTTGCTGTTGTTTTGATTTCTCACTGGGGATTGAGGAACTAAGAAAAAGTAGCTATTCATTATCTGAAAATTAATTTCTATTCTTAAACAGTGCTGTGCTGTGAGGGAGCCATTTCCCTAGCAAGCATCAGATTGCTACCGTCTACTTAGCACAGAGCCACAGTACAAGGGTCACTGGGGATTCTATTTGGAGACTCGCTTCAGGCTCTTATGGAGCACTTGTTATATGTGCCAGGCACCACTCTCAGGGCTTTATGTGCTTAACATATTTCATCTGCATAGTTGTCATAGGGGGCAAGTGCTGTTTCTGTGTTCATTTTACAGAGATGGGAACTGAGGTACAAAGAGGTTTAGTAAACTACTGAAATGCATTTAGTGCAACTATTGAAATGCTGCTTGGGATGCCGACACCCCATATCATAGAGCCTAGGTTCGAGTCCTAGGTCTGCTCCAAATTCTAACCACTTGCTGATGAGCACCCTGGGAGGCAACAGATGATGGCCCAAGTACTTAGGTCCCTGCAACCCACTTTGGAGACCCAGATGTAAATAACATTTTAGGGAAAGGAGAAAAATTAATTATTATACATTGAATTCTGGACTGGTATTGATACCTGTTTTGTTACAGCACAGCTTCTTTCCGAATTTCAGATTATTGGTAGGGGTGCTTGCATTTCAGTACTTCGGTTCTGCCTTTTTGCTGTAGCTCATGACCCATTCACTAACCTAGTCTCCTGTGATTGCAGGTGCCACTTCGTTATTTACTAGGCATGTTATATATTAACTTCAGTGCACTGTGGGATCCTGTTATTGAACTTATAAGGTGAGCATGGGATAAATGGATGAAGTTATTACCCATTAACTGCTGCAGAATGATGGGGCCAGAGTTATAATCCAAGTTGTGATTTAAGTGAGTGGGTATGAGCAGTTTATGTATATTTTTTGTATGCATTAAAATAACTTTAGAGTACTTTTACTTTTTAATTTAGATCATACTTATACATTGAAGATTTTTGCAGTTGATATTTTTTACAGTAAGAAAGTTATAAGAATTGTACTTTTATTTATATTGAGTTATTGAACCATATTTTAAATTAAAAATTAAGAATTTTTCAAAACTGGTGCTGTCCAATATCTAAAATCTTTCAGCTCTGAAAAAAAACCCTGAAGTTCACACAGAAAATACATATATTGGAGCAGGCTCCCAATTCCAGCTTCCTGCTAATGCATACCCTGGGGGGCAGCAGGTGATGACTCAAGTACTTGAGTTACTGCCACCCATATGGGAGACATAGATGGAGTTCCAGGCTCTTGGTTTCCACCTGCCCCAGCTCTGGCTGATGTGCACATTTGGGAAGTGAACTAGCAGATGAGTGTTCCATCTGTCTCAGTCTCTCAGCCTCTCAAATAAATTTTAAGAATTTAAAAAAATAAAAACCAAATCTCTTACCAATTTGGTCTGCCTTTTATTGTGCTTTGAGAAGACAGGGAGAATCTGCTGTGCTTGTGACCAATAGCCCCGTATCAAAAATCCTTCAATTATTGAATCTCTTTAATGGTTCTCCATCGTGGTTGTGTTATCTTCCTGTTGAGCACATCTTTCTATTCAGAAATTGTTTTTCCATGTATGATATACAAGATACATAGGTCATGTCTTGTGTGAACTTTATGCATATTTGGAAATTAATGACAAAGAATATAAAAAATTCACTTAGGATATCAGCTTTATAAACAGTTTATATTATTCATCTAATATGCCCTCATTAAGTTCTGAAAAGTATTTCATATAGTTAATGATTATTTTGCTTTTGTGTTAATAAGTACATTTTAATTTGGTGGAAGGAAAACCAACATTTTTAAATTAGTTTCGAATAGTCTGACTTTTCTCTCCAGGCAGATGCTTTTATTCCCTAATGCCCTATTTCCAATACTGTGCCTTTAAAAATATTCTTTTCAAAGAGAGCTATTGAAAATTTTTACGACTATAAAAATAGTTTTTGCAGTGCAGGCATTTTGAAAAATAGAAATGCAAAAATTGCTTACACCCTAAAATTAAAGGATAAACTAATTAGCATTTTAGTAATATCCATTTAATTTTTTCCTGTGAGAGGTCGCAAAATAAGAATCATATTATGTGCTTTGTTTTGTGATCTTTTTCTCTTAGTTCTCATGCACATGAAATGGAAAATAAACAATTTTGGAAAGTCTACTATGAACATCTAGAAAAAGCAGCTACACATGCTGGTATGTAAGGGGGCATGAGGGGCTGGGAAGAAAGGTGTTTGTGTAAGTATTTAATCTTTGCTGCTTAATCGCACATGAAATTAGAAACAGAAATGAGGCATGTATTATTTTTTATAACCTTTGGATATGTGTTATTCTTTCCTTATGTATCAGAGATGGAAATGTCTTCTCTTGAATTGGAAATATGGGACAGAAGTTAATATTTCTCTAGTGGTTATGACTTGTTTCTCTTGCAGAGAAAGAACTACAGAATGATCTAACAGATGAGGAGAAGTCCATTGGAGATGAAAGTTGGGAGCAGACCCAGGAAGGGGATGTTGGAGCTCTTTATCATGCACAGTTAGCATTAAAAACAGATTGTCGGGAAAGACTGGACCATACCAACTTTCGGTTTTTGCTCTGGCGAGCTCTAGCAAAATTCCCAGAGAGAGTAGAGCCACGGTCCAGGGAACTCTCTCCACTTTTCTTGAGATTTATCAAGTAAGTGTTCTCTTGATAAGATAAGAAGTATGAACCTCTAAAATTGGTTGAGTTCTTTATACATCTGTCTTTTTTTTTTTTTTTTCAAATTTACTTTACTGTAACATAGCAGGTAAAGCTGCCGCCTACAGTGCCAGCTACCCATATGGGCGCCAGTTCGAATCCTGGCTGCTCCTCTTCCAGTCCAGCTCTTGGCTATGGCTGGGATAGCATTAGAAGATGGCCCAAGTCCTACGGCCCCTGCACCCATGTGGGAGACCTGGGAGAAGCTCCAGGCTCCTGGCTTTGCATTGGCCCAGCTCAGGCCATTGTGGCCATTTGAGGAGTGAACCAGCGGATGGATGACTTCTCTCTGCCTCTGTCTCTCTGTAACTCTGCCTTTCAAATAAGTAACTAGGTCTTTAAAAAAATAATAAAGATTTATTTTATTTATTTTAAAGGCAGAATGACAGGCAAAGAGAGAAAGAGTTTCTATCCACTGGTTATAGATAACTGCAATGACCAGGGCTGGGCCAGGTCAGAGTCAGAGCTCCATCCAGGTACACGTGGGCGCTCCCCTGCTGCCATCCCAGCATCATTAAAAGGGAGCCATCTCAGAAGTAGAGCAGCTAGGGCTCAAACTGATGCTCCCATGGGGGTTGCTGGTGCCATAAGCAGCGTCTTAGCCCACTGTTCCACATTGCTGGCTCCAGTTTTTTCAAAACATTGCATATCTATTAAGCATTGGCTTTGTCAATAACAAACCAGTTTTGGTCGCCACTTAATTTTAGCCCACATTATTAATAAGAAATTAATAAGTATTAATAAGGTATTAATGTTAATAAGTATTAATAAGAAATTACAGTTTATAAGATAACGAGGGCCAAATTGAGGCTGATCATTGTACAAAGGCCTTGCTGTTTCCTGCCCTGTTTGTTGTTTTATTGCCTGTTCAGAGCTTGAAGGTATTTTACTTTGAACCAACCTGCTGTTTTGAACTTCTTGATGGCACCCATGATGCTAAGGAATGTGCTGGCAAAGAATAGGAAAAGCTTTCTGGAACATTGTTTTGTTTTGACTGGATTTGATATGTGAAAGTGTGATTGCTTTAAACTCGAAAGACAAGTAGTGTGTTGTGCAGAGCAGAACAAAGCACTCAGTAGAGAGTGTGTCTTTCTGTGATAATTTCATCATGTGGAAAGATACTCTAGGGATTAGGTTTAGTGGACCATGAACCACAATATGCTTGGCTTGTTGAAGGAGCAGCAGGGACATCTGTGTGGCTAAAGCAGACTGATCCAGGGAGGAAATGAATGGAGATGAACAAAAAGTTAACAAGAGACCAAATGTGGCTACTACGTTAAGAACCTTGGTGAAATGAGAAGCCATTGGGAAATTTGAGCAAAAGGATGAAATGACTTAAGTCTTCTTAAGGATATTTCTGGCTGCTGTGTTGAGAATAAACTGAGAATGGTAGTGATGAGCATAGAGAGACCAGTCAGATGAGATTGCAAGATCGGCAGACAAAAAAGCAAGAAATGATGGTGACTAAACCAAAGTGATAACAGTGAAAATGGTTTTTTTTGAAGGATTTCAATTCAAAAAGATACATTTTTGAAGGATTGCAACTGAATCAGCCTATGAAATTTGCCAGCATGTCAGATTCAAGATTAGGTGTGCATGGTAGTATGAAAATAAGGGAAGAAGGGCACATAAAGGGTAAAATCAAGAATGTTTCTTAAGGTTTTGCCTTGAGCATCTAGAAGTAGAGAGTTAGCATTTACTGAGATTAGGAGGAATGCAGGAAATGCAGGTTTGTGGGGGAGAATCAAGAATTTTTTTTTGTAAGATTTATTTATTTGAAAGTCAAAATTACAGAGAGGGAGGGAGACAGATCTTCAGTCTGTTGATTCACTCCCCAGATGGCTGCAATGACCGGGACTGGACTAGGCCAAAGCCAGGAGCTGGGAGCTTCTTGGAGGTCTCCTGTGTCGGGGACAGAGGCCCAAGTACTTGGGCCATCTTCTGCTGCTTTTCCAGGCCATTAGCAGGGAGCTGGATTAGAAGTGGAGCTGCCAGGACTCGATCCAGTTCCCATATGGGATGCCAGCATTGCAGAAGGCAGCTTTACCCACTATACCACAACCCCAGCCCCAAGAGTTCATTTGTATATGTGTTAAAGTTTGGAATACTGAATAGGTACATAACTAGAGATGTCAAGTAGCCATTGAATTTAGAAGTTTGAAATTCAAGGAAAAAGTTTGCTCTGGAGACAATAAATTGGGAATCATCAGTACATGGATGGTGTTTAAAATCGTCTGGCAAGGAATGACATCACCTAGGGTATAATGTAGAAACAGGACTTCCAAGGACTGACATGATATTGAGAGGTCGTTAGACAAGGATCAGGCAAAGGAAACCAGCAAAGAGGGATAGAAGAACCAAGACCACTTGGTATCCTGGAAGCAAAGTGAAAAGTTAAGTTCAGTAAAGGAGTATCAGTTAAATCAGATATTTCTGGAAAGCCAGTGAGATCAGGAGTAAGAACTGACCATTGGCATTGGAGGTGACCTTAAGAAATGTTTTGGTTAATCTAGTAGAGATGAAAAGCTTTGTTAAAATCAGCTCAGGAGAAAATAGAGAGGAAAAAATAAAAAACAATAAATGTGTACAGTTCTTATAAAAAAAATAAGCAGATGTAGAGTAGTAGATGGAAGGAAATATGGGTACAGAATGGGAGCTTCTGTTATTAGGGTTTTAATTTTTTTTTTTTTTTGACAGAGTTAGACAATGAGAGAGAGAGACAGAAAGGTCTTCCTTTTTCCGTTGGTTCATCCTCCAAGTGGCCGCTACGGCCAGTGCGTTGCAGACTTGGGCCATCTTCTACTGCTTCCCCAGACTATAGCAGAGAGCTGGATTGGAAGAGGAGCATCTGGGACTAGAACCGATGCCCATATGGGATGCTGGCGCTTCAGACCAGAGTGTTAACCCGCTGCGCCACAGCGCCGGCCCGAGGCTTTTAATTTAAGATTTAAACAGCATGTGATGTTGGTGAAAATGATCCAGAAGAGAGGTGGAAATTGGTGATGCAAGAGAGGACAAAATTACTAGACCCATGCCTTTGAAAATATAAGCAGAGTTAGGATCAAGTGTATAAGTGAAAAGGTTTTACAAGGCTGGCGTAGTGGGACTAAGCTGCTGCCTACAATCCTGGCATCTCATATGGGCATGGTTCGAGTCCTGTCTGCTCCACTCCAATCCAGTTCTATGCTATTGTGCCTAGGAAAGCAGTGTAAGATGGCCCAAATGCTTGGGCCCCTGCCATCCATGTGGTAGACCTGGATGGAGTTCCAGGCACCTGACTGTGACGTAGCTCAGCCCTAGCCATTGCAGCCATTTGAGAGGTGACCTAGCAGATGGAAGATCTCTCTCTGTCTCTCTCTTTCCCAGTAAGTCTGGCTTTCAAATAAAAAAATAAATCGGAAGGAAGGAAGGAAGGGAGGGAGGGAGGGAGGAAGGAAGGAAGGGAGGAAAGATTTTGCATGAATAATTCATTCTGGCAGAGGTTACAAGCAAAGATGTAATAGGTCAATGAAAATGGTAGCAGAAGAGTAATGATTTTCTCTTTTTCACATAATTATTTAGGTATAAATTTGTTTCTGGAGTGAGAACAGTGGTATTTAGCTGCTTTTCCCTTGTTTTGAAGGTCATATAAAAAGTTTACCAGTTCTTTGGAATTGCAAGGAGTTATGCATATGCAAGCTGGTATTAAAGGTGTTTATAGGATATGAAGCTTCACTTTGTTAATGTTCCAAGTTTTTCCTGAAGAGATAGATTACTCCTTAGCTTAAGGATAAAGGCCTTACTCTAAACAGTACAGTGTGCTGTGGGGATGGAGATGGAAAGAAGAGCTGCAACAGGAAGTGGGTTTCTTGAGTTTAGGAAGACTTAGAAAATAAAAATTAAAAATATTTAAATTAACACTAGTTGGCACTGATTACCTAAAACTAATACTTTTAAGGAAGATGTTCTAAACTAATGGAAAATCCAAATATCACCTTTAATGCTGACTTTGAAATATATTTTGAGTTTTTATTTTGATTTTTTTGGCTAGTAGTATGTTTCAGTCTGTTTGATAGTAGAACTGATTTGAATCCCTGGAAGTATTGTCTGAGAATAACTAAACTGGAGCAGGAATGAATGACTAACAATGGCAAGGATGTCCCAATAATAGGTGACACTTAATGGGAACTTACTGTGTACTCTGCACTGTTAGAAATGCTTTGTGTGAATGAGCTCATGTGATGAGCAAGTGAACATGCCATGCATGGAGAGAGAGGTCAAAAACGCATAGTATATGGTTAATTGAAGGGTGATTTGTTTTTGAGTGGATGATGGTGCAGTCTATAACTGACATAGCAACTTTGCTCATCTCATACAGTCATCCATTTTACTTTTAAGTGCTAGATTTTGCTAAATGAGAATATGAAGAATGATCATGTTCTGATCCTCAAGTTGTAGTTTAGTGTGTTAATCTGAAGGTTAATCTGGGTTAACCTGGCATTTCTTTTAGGAGCACTGGTAGGGTGCCATTGTCAGACATGTTACTTCATCAGTGTATTTTTGAGTAAAGACTTGAAAGCCCATCTGATCAGTTTCCTAACTTCTCCAGCCCAGTACCTGTGCACAGACACAGCAAAATATCATTTTGATAAATGAATGAAAGTGACAGAAGGTACTGAATGACTGACTTTGACATAATATTCATTAACTACAAGAGTGATTGGAATTAGTAAGAACAAGTTAAAGAGGTAGAATTTAATTAGAACAAAAATGAATACCAACTACTGAAGCTTAGTTTTGGGAAGATAAAATAAAAGCTTACAGATTATCTTTGCCTGCACATTTGAATCTGCATTGTGTTGTGGTTGCTCCCAATAGCTGTAGAGTTTATCATTCTATTTATTTTATTAGAACATAGCTGGAGGGCTGAATTTTGTTGTGATGCTATTTTTGAATGAACATCGACAAGGTAGAGTATATCTGGTGGAAAGTGACAGTATAGTACTAACACTATACTTTAGCCATTTAGTGTAATTCCCCCTTTAAGTCCTTTCATCTGGAATTATGATTCCAAACATAGGGAGGTTAATTTCAGCTCAATCCAAAATAGACGTTTTGACATTTTAAATTCTATTTTTTTTAAACAATTCCTTCTTGCCCCATCAGAGTCTTCTTATTTTTTAAGATTTTTATTTATTTATTTGAGAGATAGAGTTACAGAAAAGAGAGGGAGAGACAGAGAAGAAGGTCTTCCATCCAGTGGTTCACTCCTCAAATGGCCACAACAGCTAGAGCTGAATCATTCCAAAGCAGGGAGCCAGTAGCTTCTTCCAGGTCTCCTGCACTGGTGCAGGGACTCAAGGTCTTAGGCCATCTTCCACTTCTTTCCCAGGCGATAGCAGAGAGCTGGATCAGAAGAGGAGCAGCTGGAACATGAACCAGTGCCCATAGAGGACACTGGTGACGCAGGCATAGGCTTAGCCCACTACACCACAGTGCGGCCCCTTAAAAAAGAGTAATTGTCAGCCGGCGCCGCCGCTCACCAGGCTAATCCTCCACCTGCGGCACCGGCACTCCGGGTTCTAGTCCCAGTTGGGGCGCCGGTTCTGCCCCGGTTGCTCCTCTTCCAGTCCAGCTCTCTGCTGAGGCCTGGGAAGGCAGTGGAGGATGGCCCAAGTGCTTGAGCCCTGCACCTGCATGGGAAACCAGAAGGAAGCACCTGGCTCCTGGCTTCGGATCAGCGCAGCACACCAGCCATAGCGGCCACTTGGGGGATGAACCAATGGAAGGAAGACCTTTCTTTCTCTCTCTGTCTCTCTCACTGTCTAACTCTGCCTGTCCGCAGTACAAAGATACTAACAGGTAATGTATGGAAGCTTGACTGAGGTGCTTCTGATGTCTCTTAAATGTGTGATTCTGTGAACCGTGAGTATCTCTCACATACAGAATTAAGACTTTTCAGGTTAGTGTGCACTGCTCATCTTACCCCGTCTCTCTTTACCACAGTAATGAGTATTACCCAGCAGATCTGCAGATTGCTCCTACCCAGGATTTGCGAAGAAAAGGCAAAGGGGTAGCCGCAGAAGAAATGGAAGAGGAACCTGTCCCGGTAGATGAGGAAGAGTTGGAGGAAGAGATGTTGCCCCAAGATGAGCCCTCACAGAAGAAAAGGACAAGAAGGGCAGCAGCAAAGTGAGTTCAGCGTTGCTGGGAGGCCACAATCCACAGTCCTAAGGACAGGAAGAGCTCTTAGGTCCTAAATCCGGAATAGCGTTGCATAAGATTAACTGCTCAAGTTGTTGTTTACCTGAATACCACATCTTCCCAGGGCTTTCTTTTATAGCCCAAAGAAAACTGTCTTCTGAGTGGTTTGGTTGCTTGCCTTTTTTTTTTTTTTTGGTTCAGCTTCAGAATGTTAGTTGGGAGGACCTTTGCAGTCATCTAATCATATTGTTTTTTGGTAAATGAGAGCTTGGGGCTTGGAGCATTTGAATCCTGTTTGACCTTTGTTGCCCGTTTTCATTGCCCTGGGGCATTATTTATGTTTGGTGTTAAGGGAACACGTAATGGAACATCTTCTCTCTCATAAATGAGCGCCTCAGCACTTTGGCTCTGCCTTTTGGCTTGTCTCCTACTTGTTACTATTTTTTTCTTGCTGTTGTTATACTCTTATTCCCTTGGTTATTTGTTTACCTAAATTTTTAGAAACCTAAAATAATGACTGTAGTTTCAGAAGTTATTTCAGCTTACTTGAAAATTGTCTGAAGTGAGGTGTCTAAGACCCCCTGGATTTGTGTTAACACTTTATGTCTCAATCCCATGTGCCCATTTGTTGAGCATTTCCTGTGAGCCAGTTATTCATTCATCCATTCAGCAACTGTTTCAAGTGTCTTTTGCAAAGTACTGGGCTACAAAGGCCTCTGGGGTGCAGGAGTCACAGGTCAGTGCCTGGTGAAATATTTTTATGGGAAGAGTATTTTTAAAGGCATTACTGGAACACAGACAGGCATAACCTAACATTTTGTTACTTCATTCTCATAGCAAGACCCAGTTCCCCCAAAGAAGACACCTCTGATGCTGACAGAAGAAAGTTGCCAGGCAGCTAGGGTAGGAAGGGATGTTCCAGCCAGTTGAAATAAGGTGTGCAGCAGAGGGGAGGGAGATCATGGCCAGTTTTCCTGTGGCTGTCATTCCTGCTCTGCCTGGACCTTCTCACAATTGAACGTTTCTTTCTTCTGCTGCTTCCCCTAAAGACAAAGATTCTTTCTCGTCTTGAGTCCCTAGCAAAATATTAGCTTTAGTACTTAGTTGTGGAATGAGTGAGTAAACTGTATCCAGTCACGCCTCTTTCTTTCTCAACCCGAACCTTTCCACTGTGCCCTTGCCTCACTGCTGCCAGTTGAAATTTCTGTTCATGCTTCAAGGTATAATTTTAGTGTCATTTCTTTACTGAAGTTTTCTTCCAGTCGTTTAACAAGTTACGTTACTAAAGTTTCAAACTTTCATCACAGCCTTCATTCCTCCATCGTGGCACTCCTTGCCTTGGTTATTGTTAATTGTTTCTTGACCTTCCATGGAATCAGAAATTTGAGAGCCAGGTCCATATCTTAAATTGTCTGTCCCTGTGTCCAAATCTAGAATATTGTGACCAAACGCCATCATCATTGGAAATGTGAGTAAGTTGATAGTTACATTCTTAATGCCTTCTAAATATCTTCATAGCCCAAGTTTATATTCCTTCATGAAACACTAATTTAGCAAGTATTGACTGAGAGTATGTACATTACCTCTTGTACTCTCACACGTTAGGGAGTTGAATGGCATATAGGAACTACTTAATGTTAAGGAAAAGAATGGCTGTTTCAATAGAAAATTTTAAAGTTTATAAAACTATAGGATATTTCTCAACAACATCTAAAAAGGTCATGATTTCTAGCTTTCTCTTTAGTTTATTAATCAGTTTTTCATCACTGTAACAAAATACTGGACATAGTGAACTTGTAAAGAAAAGAGTTTTGCAGGTTCAAGGGCACGATGCCTGCATCAGCACAGTTCTGGTTAGAGCCCCATGGCAGATAGCAATGACGGGAGCCCCTTTGGGGATAAGTGATCTCATCTTGAACAGGAAGCAAAGAGTTGGGTGGTGCTGAGCTTGCTCCTTTTTTTTTTTTTTTTTTTTTTTAAGAGTATTTATTTGAAAGGCAGAGAGAGAGGCAGTTCTTTTATCCACTGGTTCACTCTCATAAAATGGCTGCAACCCAAAGTGAGGAGGCTTGAACTCCCACATGGGTGATAGGGGCCCAAGCACTTAGGCTATCTTCCACTACTTTCCTGGCTGCATTAGCAGGAAGCTGGATCAGAAGCAGAGCAGCTGGGAGTCAAGACTGGTGCTCTGATAAGCAATTTTGCTCAAGAGCAGAGAAATGCATGGTTTGGTGAACACTTAGGAGCAGAAGCGCCACAACTCTTTCTTTGATTTAGTCCTCACAGAAAACCCAGGAAGCCTTATGCTTCTCAAAGGGAGGAAACTAAGACTCTGAGGCATAGTTAAGTAACTTTCCCCAGAGTCATGCCCTGAGAATGGCAGAGGTTCATGTCCATCTTGCTTTCTACCTGTCTTCACTTCCTGCTCATGTTCTTAAATGGGCAATAACATCCTTCATATCTTAGGTTTACTCACCTAGGATTCTTTTAAAGTCCTCATAGATCTTGCAAAGTATACATTGTTATAAAACAGTTTTCTCCAAGTGTTTTTAAAGTCTCACAGAGCATAAGGCAGGTAGGTAAATGCAGTAGAAGCCCATTTTAGTAGATGATGTGATCTACATCTTCAATTTTAATGTGATCCCAGAATATCATTTTTTTTCTTCCTCCTTTGTAAGCAAGAGCTGTGGTTAGCTCGGCTCAGATTATTTGCCTGACATCAGTCTATGTTACCTGCAAGGGAGGAGGAATATAGTCAACCAGTTGCATAGAACTTAGATAAGGAATAATTCCAAAAATTCCATCTGTGTTCAACTTTGGAATATAATACCATTTTGATTTCCTTCTTTTGAGTTTTAATTTAATTTAAATCATTTTAAGCACTTCCTAAAGAATTCTGGGGAGTGAGGAGCCTGGATTTGGAAATTCTAAGAATTTGAAAGATTTGGAAATTTTGTAGAATAATATCCTAAATGCAAAAACTTAAAACTTGGTTGTGTGATTACCACTGAAAGTATAGACAATTTGGAATCAGAGAGAGTAAACTGTGAAGACTGTCTCAAGAAAATGATTTCCATTCTTTAATTCTATAATTCTCTTTTTTGTTTTTATGTAGGCAATTAATTGCTCATTTGCAAGTTTTCTCTAAATTTTCAAATCCACGGGCATTATATCTGGAATCCAAATTGTATGAGTTATATCTTCAGGTAAGTAAAATAAATTCTTAACACTATAATTATTTGTGGACCTTTTTCTGTCATTTTCTTCAATGAAGTAACTGAGTTTTCAGTAATTTTTTTTTTTTTTTTTTGATAGGCAGAGTTAAACAGAGAGAGAGAGAGACAGAGAGAAAGGTCTTCTTTCCGTTGGTTCACCCCCCAATGGCCGCTATGGCCAGCATGCTGCGCTGATCCAAAGCCAGGAGCCAGGTGCTTCTCCTGGTCTCCCATATGGGTGCAGGGCCCAAACACTTGGGCCATCCTCCATTGCCTTCCCAGGCCACAGCAGGGAGCTGGACTGGAAGAGGAGCAACTGGGACAGAATCCAGCGCCCCAACCGGGACTAGAACCCAGAGTGCCAGCACCACAGGCAGAGGATTAGCCTAGTGAGCCATGGTGCCAGCTTCAGTAATTATTTTTTGAATAGGGCTAGTGTCTACATTTTAAGTAGATTTTTTCATTAATAGACATTTTTCAGAAACGATTTTAGAATAGCACTAATTTAATTTATTTTAAGGTTGTTTTGGGTTACTAAACATTGATGAGTTGTATTAGCAGTGAGAATAGAAAACGTGAATTGTGTGGTGGGAATTGCATTTTAGAAAGGAGTTGGGAGGTATACCAAAAATGATTGGTTGCCTTTCTCTTCTAGTTAAGTTAGCCTTTAGGAAGGATTAGGATTTCAGGATCTAGCAGAGTGAGTGGAAGCAAATAGTTGGACTAATAGTCTCTTTCAGTCACAGTGTATGACCCTGAATTGCAGAAAAAATTTAATGTCAGAAGTGCAGTGGAGGATGGCCCAAGTACTTGGGCCCTGCACCCCATGAGAGTCCAGGATAAGTACCTGGCTCCTGCCATCGGATCAGCGCGGTGCGCCGGCCGCAGCGCGTTGGCCGCAGCGGCCATTGGAGGGTGAACCAACGGCAAAAAGGAAGACCTTTCTCTCTGTCTCTCTCTCACTGTCCACTCTGCCTGTCCAAAAAAAAAAAAAAAAAAAAAGTAGAGTAAGTATTGGATATCATTCTAAACTATTTGGAGAAGTAAAATTTTCTTTGTGTACTTGAATTGTCTTAGATCAAACATATATCATTGCAGCTGAATTTATTCATGCTCTGCCCATAATTCAGTTGGACCTTGTTCTAAAGCCAGAGCTCCAAAGTCTGTTACGTACAGGAAGCAAAATTTCTAAGTCACTATTTAGAGAGACCGCAGAGCCAGATCTCCATTCCTGGCATATTTTTATTGACTGCCACTCCTTAATAGTATGAGAGATATCACCATCCCTGACCCTTCCACTTGGTAAATCCAGATTCATGTAGAGAACTGGCCTCCACCAAAAAAAATTGAGGGCCTGCTGTGTGATGCAGGGGCCGCAGTTTTGCTTCTTTTTTTTCTTCGCACGTATTCTTTTTCATCTTCTTTGACCTCCAAGAAAGTGTAGAACTGTTGTCAAGAACCAACTCTAGACCTTGTCTAAAAATGTAGATTTTTTAAGAAATGTGATTTAACAAATTAACTCAAGTAAAATATCCCATAGTATGTGTGCATATATATGACTTCATTAATTTGTTCTATAAAATATCATTCCTAGTTATTGCTACACCAAGATCAAACAGTACAAAAAATAACCCTGGATTGCATAATGACATATAAACATCCTCATATCCTCCCTTACAGGTAAGTTACATGTGAAACTAAAAAAAAATGCCATTTCTTTGGCTGATTTTCACCTTTCTACATATGGACGCTGTTACAGAATACTGAAGGCCTGGGAAATTTCCTTTAAGTTCTCCCTAAGTATTGAGGGAAAAAAGAAAATAGTAATTTAATATTGTGAAGGTTATTTCATTTCTTTCTCTTTGCTAATATAATGCCATAAAATCTTGGTAGTAATTACTTAGGAAATCATAATCATTTGGAAAGCTTTTGTATCATGCCTATACACAGTTGACTCATTGACTCAATCTAATCCCCTCTAATCCATTTTGCCTTTTGAAATGTGAAAACTTGTCATGTTAGAAGATGTTTTTGTGGAGACTTTCCTTTATTGTTATCAACCACAATATACACTATATGCTGCTTTATTTTATTTATGCTTATTAATCTCTGCATACTATTCACTATCACATTTTTGAAGGTACTGTTGATGAATTGATAATTTGTTCTGTTTACTGTTTTTAAAGGGAAAACTTACAAAGGTTGCTTGAAGATAGAAGCTTTAAGGAAGAGATAGTGCATTTCAGCATTTCAGAAGATAATACTGTAGTGAAAACAGCCCACCGAGGAGATCTGTTTCCTATTCTCATGAGGTATTTATACTGTTTAAAAATGATTCTTCTAGAAGTCAGTTACAAGTTACAATTGTGAGTGTAGTATTATTCTGGTTCTTTCAGCAACTGTAATGGATTTTTTTTTGTTTTATATTCTTTTTGGATTTTTTAATTATTATTATTAAATTGGACCTCTGGGGGAAGTCAAACTGTTTTAGGTACTTATTTAGAATATTTTTTCCTAATATAAAGAAAGCTGTTTCTATGGCATTCTTTTAATAAAAGGGTTAAAATTAAATTCAAGTATTTCCTAAGTTATACTGTTGAGATACAGTAGAAATAATTCATTCCAGTGTCTCAATATTGTCTAATATTTAATGATATTAATTGTCTATTGATTACTATTGATAGAGCAGAAAAATGACCCATAAGCAATGCAGAAATCATATTTGCTGGGTATAAAAAATAAAATTTGGATCTTTTGAGCTCATCAGCTCTGGGGTGGTAGAAATTGGAAGGACTTAGATTTTTTTTTTTTGACAGGCAAAGTTAGACAGTGAGAGAGAGAGAGACAGAGAGAAAGGTCTTCCTTCCATTGGTTCACCCCCAAGATGGCCTCTTACAGTTGGCGTGCTGAGCCGATCCGAAGCCAGGAGCCAGGTGCTTCCTCCTGGTCTCCCATGCGGGCACAGGGCTCAAGCACTTGGGCCATCCTCCACTGCCTTCCCGGGCCACAGCAGAGAGCTGGACTGGAAGAAGAGCAACTGGGATAGAATCCGGCGCCCCAACCGGGACTAGAACCTGGGGTGCCGGTGCCACAGGCGGAGGATCAGCCTAGTGAGCCGTGGCGCCGGCCAGGACTTAGATTTAACATGCCTTTCCTTGTCATCCAGCTTTGGGACTGCATGGTTGTATAAGCTAAGACAAGTTTTTTAGATTCATTGGGCTTTTGTTCACTTAATACAGGAACTATATCATATATGTTCTTAGGCCTCAGCCAGCTGTGATCTGATGGTTCTATTTGATTCCATTTATAGCCAGCATTGAGAAGTTTGCTATAATGGACATAAAATATTTGGATGAATAAAGGATATGAAAAGTTAAAATAAAATGGAACATAGAAATCACTTTATCCAAACACTCAAAAATAACCACTGGTAATTTTGTAATCTGTCAAAAGCAATAGTAAATAGTAAACTTCAACAACACTAATGCCATAATTTAGATTTCTGTAAGTAAAAAGTCTATGGTTATATGAAGTCCAGAATAGTTCATTACAGGCTGCCAAGATTTATCTGAATGTATGCATACATATAGACAAACAATTTTTTTGAAAGATTTGTGATCATATTGTGTAAAATGTTTTATTACCTTCTTAAAATAAATCATCTTGGCTCATGAGAAGTTTCAAAATACAGTTTAAAATTTAATTAGAGGGGCCAGCCCTGTGGCACAGCGGGTAAAGCAGCTGCCTGCGGTGCCGGCATCCCATACGGGCACCAATTCAAGTCCCAGCTGCTCCAAACACTCCACTTCCGATCCAGCTCTCTGCTGTGGCCTGGGAAAGCAGTAGAGGATGTCTCAAGTCCTTGGACTCCTGCTCCTGCTTGGGAGACCCAGGGGAAGCTCCTGGCTCCTGGCTTCGCATCAGCGCAGCTGTGGCCATTGTGTCAATCTGGGGAGCAAACCAGCAGGTGGAGGACCTCTCTCTATCTCTCTCTCTCCACCTCTCTCTCTCTACCCCTGTCTCTGCCTCTCTCTCTGCCTCTGTAACACTGCGTTTCAAATAAATAAATACATTTTAAAAAAAAAATTAGAGATAGGTAGATTGACAGAGAACTCCCATCTGCTGCTTCACTCCCCAAATGCCTACAGTGGCTGAAGCTGAGCCAGGCCAAAGCAGGGAGTCAGGAACTTGATCCAGGTTGTTGGTTGGTATCCAACTACTTGAGCCATTACCTGCATTAGCAGGAAGCTTAAATTGGTAGTGGAGCCGGGTTGAATCCAAGCATTGTGGTATGAGATGCAGGTGTCCCAAGCAAATGTCTTAACTGCTCCACAAAATGTCTACCTCCAAAATGTGATCATTCTTCATAAAGATATGCCTTAAGTTATATAGTGAAGCCTATTTTATTGAGCATTTTGCTCGTCTATAGTTTTCAGGTTTTGTTTTTTTTTTTTTTTTTTCAAAATTATCTGTGTGGAATATATATGAATCTTTATTAGGTTAATTTATTGGAATAAGCTCTTATGGAAAGTTGATGAGCATATTAAAAAAATTTATATGCTCATATTATCAGAATGTTGTCTATAACTATCTTCCTTCCTTTCTTCAACAGTTTCATTTTCCTGTATGAACCTTTGACCTAATCTCTATTTCCAAAATAGATACCAAAAAGATACATGCCCAATTCCTTTGAAGAAGTTTCATTTCTTTGTATTGCTACTAGCCATTTTCCCACATCATTTCACTAGTGGAAGTTTATTTTTGTTGTTTGTTTTAATTTTTGCTAATTTAGTGAAGGATGATAGCATGTTGTATTGCTGCATTATTTTTAGATTAGCACATTATTAGAGATGCCTTCTTGACCTCTCTTTATAAAAATCACACCTTCCCCTATTTGCTTTTTAGCCCCTCGCCTCGTTTTATTTTTTCTTAGGGTATTTACCCAACGTGGTCTCATTGTTTATCTCCCCTCTCAGCAAGTAAACTCCAGTATTTACTATATTGGTTGAATTAATGTGTGTTCTCCTTTGTGGTAGTAAGCCACATTTTTTGTTGTTGTTGTTAATATGCCTGTTGCCTACATGGCATAGAAGAACTAACTCTCGTGGTAGTGGTAATGATTATCTTCATCTTGCTACTGGATTCAACAGTAGTGGTTAAGTCTCCTTGTTCTTGGGTGAGAAGTCTCTAAGATACCTTTAGAAGGTGCATGAACACTAGATTGTTTTTTGTAGTATATACTGCCATAACATTGTCTTTTTCTACTCTGTTGACATTTGTACTGGCAAGGTTGAAGCAACGGTAAGTAAAAACTCCCGATACCTTGGAATGAATCAGGACAGTGGCACCAAACTTTAGTAGTCAGTTTTCATTGCCACCAATTTGGAGTTTAAAAACAAAAGGATTCACTTAATAGCCTTGGTGAATCTTGACCTTTGAGTACATATCTTTTTACTGTGCTCTATGACAAAGTGGGAAGTACTCATATATAAAATACTTCCACACATAGGTTGTCTTAGGGAATGACAGCTGTGTAAGTGTTTGAGTTACAAGATAAACTAGTCACTTTTTCACAGGATAACATTTTTGTGTGAAAACTCACTGATGGACTATGATCTTTTTCAAAATTGAGTACTTCATAGGAATTTTCTTGAACACACATGCAGTAAGCCCACCACTTCAAGGAAAATCACAGATAGCATTTGTTTCCAGTAACTAAATTCTGGCACTCAGTTGAAAATTAGGATTTGGGAAAATTTATCTGCTTCTGTGAAATTTAGCAGGTTCACCATACTTAAAAGACTTCTGGGGTGCTGTGGCATAGTGAGCCAAGCCTTCACCTGAGTTGCTGGCATTCCATATGGGCACCGGTTCTCCTCTTCTAATCCAGCTCTCTGTTTATGGCCTGAGAAAGCAGTGGGAGATGGCCCTGGGGGACCCAAAAGAAGCTCCTGGCTCCTGGATTTGGATCAGCCTAGCTCCAGCTATTGCAGCCATTTGGGGAGTGAACCAGCAGATGGAATACCTCTCTCTGTCTCTCTCTCTCTTGTCTGTAGCTCTACTTCTCAAATGAATAAATAAAATCTTAAAAAAAAAAACCTTATGGGGATTGATGTTTTGGTGTGGCAGTTAATGCCACCACCTGTAATGCTGGCACCACATGGGCACCAGTTTGTGTCCTAGTTGCTCCAATTCCAATCCAGCTCCCTGCTAATGGCCTGAGAAAAGCAGCAAAAAGTGATCCAGGTGCTTGGGGCCCTGTCACATGGGAGACAGAGATGAAGCTCCTGGCTTTGGCCTGGCCCAGCGCTGGCCATTGCAGCCATTTGGGGAGTGAACCAGTGTATGGAAGATCTCTCTGTCTCTGACTCTCCCTCTATAACTCTTTCAAATAAATAAATCTTTTAAAAAGACTTGCATATGTTAATAAACTTGTTTCTCTTTTTGTTTATAATGAAATGTGTCAGCACTTGACATTGCATAACTTAGTAATGTTTTCCATGTAAATGACACAATATATAGACTCATGTATGTATAAAACATCTGTTTGAAGTGCAAGACAGATTGTACTGTAAAAGAATTTATGAAGTTGCTGTTAACCTTTAAGAAGCCACCAGTTGATATTTGGAGTAGCATCAAAATGCAATAGCTTCAGTTATCTGAAATTTTTAAAAATATTTCTTCCCTCTCCAGCTGTCCATCTGTGTGAGGCTAGAAGGTTGTCAATCACAGTGTTTTACAACAAGTTGAATGCAGAAGCAGATCAAAGAATCCAACTGTTTTCTGTTAAGCTAGACAAAAAATTAAATAGTATTCTCAGTCTCGCTAGTGGAGGTGGCGAGATTTATCAAATATAATTAGTTTTCATCAAATATTTTATTTAAGTTTATTGATATTTTTCAGTGTAATAATAAACTAATTATTTTAATTCCTCAGTTTTAATTTCTAATACAGTAACTATCAGTAGTAATATTTATGTACATAAAAGTTCTTTAGGAACCCTGGTAATTTTTAATAGTATAATGGGATCTTGATATCAAAAAAGGATGAAAAATAATGTCTGAATTTTCAATGTTTTCTTTCTTTTTTTCTTAATATTCATTTATTTATTTGAGAAGGGGGGTGGTTACAAGAGAGAGGAAGAGTGAGAGGGAGAGATCTTCTAGCTGCTGGGGAACCAGGTGCTTTATCCGGGTCTCCCACATGGGTGGCAAGGGCCCACACACTTGGACCATCTTCTTCTGCCTTTCCAGGCACATTAGTAGGGAGCTGGATTGGATCAGAAGTGGGACAGCCAAGGCTTGAATTGGTGCTCATATGAGATGCTGGTGTCATGGGCAGGCAGTCTCTTAACCCGCTGTGCCACAGTACTAGCCCCAAGAAATAAGTTTTACCATGTTAAGAAAGTAAATTCTGTTTAGGTTATTTCTAATTTTATCAAGAATAGATGTTGAACTTTATTAGAGTGCTTGTTAAGCATGAATTAAAATGAACACATTAACATTTACTCTGAGCCATTTATCTATATTAATCTAATAGCTTTTACTAATGATGCTTGCATTTCCTGGGATAATCCTTACTTGGCTTTGATACAGCAATGAATACTCCATTTAACAATGTTGTAATTTATGTTTATAAGCAAAATTGGTATGTAGTTTTATTTTTTGTCATTAACCTATTTCAGTGTTACAGATTTACCATTTTGATAAATGAAAAAGAACTGTTTTTATCTTTCTCTCTGCTGTGAAACCATAATATGAAAATTATTTCTTCCTTAAAAGTTTAAAAAATTTACCAAACTGTTTGAGTTCAGTATTTTCCAGTGGTTATTGATTATTTATGTTTTTTCCCCTTTTGCTTATTTTTATGTTTTTGAAAATTACTTAACTGAAATCTTGCTAGCTTCCTTATTTGCTTTTGGTTTTAATCTCTTACTTCCTTGTAAGGTATATATTCTTGTTTTCATTTTTTCCTTGATTACACTTACCTTTGACTTGCTTATTTTAATGCTTTTTCTCACACAAAGAATCACATTCTGGCCTTTGTCTACTATTTTCTTCTTCCTGCTTCCTTTAGCTTCATTTTGTTCTTTTTCTAAATGTTTATGTCGAATATGTCATTTCTGTTTCCTTGTTTTGAGTTTAGCCATTCAGTGTTGTTGAGTTGCTCTTCTAGTCGTTTGCGAATAAAACTAGTATTGCGTTTTAGAACTAATGTACAAACCAATAATGTCCTTTTGACTTTTCAGAATTCTGTATGGGCGAATGAAGAACAAGACTGGGAGTAAAACTCAGGGGAAATCTGCTTCAGGCACCCGCATGGCCATTGTCCTGCGCTTCCTCGCTGGGACCCAACCTGAGGAGATCCAGATATTCTTAGACCTGCTGTTTGAGCCTGTGAAGCACTTCCAGAATGGTAGCTACTGAACGGCTGTTGGAATGTTGCAGACTTCTGATGTCTCAGGAGAGGTCTCCCCCACTCCCCGCCCTCTCTGTAATGGGACTGTTCCTCCTCCGACCTCTGTGCTGATCTTGCTGATGTGCAACTCACTCAAAACTTTGATTTAATTAGGTGAAGCTCATGCTTGGCCTGGGGATTATTGCCCTTGTGATAATAAACCCCCCAATCGGGAAAAATGCATTTTCTGTTGTTCACCTAAACTATTTGAAATATGATGAATGCTTAGCCATATACAAAGAAAGGATGTTTTTCTAAGAAATTCAGAACATGCTGCAAAATTAATCTTGATTGTCCTGGCATTTATTAAGTCACCAAGTCATTTACCCATTAAATATGATTTGTTGAATTAACACCTGTGCTGGAGACATGTTAAAACTAGAAAAGTATGTATATAACCTGTGCCCTCAACCTCACAGATGTATTAGGGTAGATACTGAGCTGTAATACTGTAATGCTCTGAAGTATGTCCTCTGACATATGATGTTAGTAATTGTTGCTAATAATAATGACTAGCATTTATTGAGTGCTTTATTCCATTCATTATGGCGACCCGTTTATAGACAGTTTTGTTGATCTTTACAACAACTACATGAGCTGTCATTACTTGATTATTCCCATTTTACAGATGAGGAAACTGAGGCTTAGAAAGGAAGTGTTTTGCCATGGCTACTTAGCTGGAAAGTGATGGAGTTGGGATTAGAACCCAGACCATTGTGACTACAAAGCTTATGGCCGATCCCACAGTTGCTTTACATTAGGCAAACATAAAAGATGCTTATTTGTAGTGGAGTATGTTGCATTTGCTTTGCATTTTTCTATGATAGAGGTCCATCTGTTAACATAGGTTTTCATCCAGTATAATAACCTGTGAAGGAGGCTAGCTGTAATGAACTCAAAAGCTTTCATTCAGTGTAGAGTCCCTGGTATAGGAGGGTAGCTGGAAATGATGCTTTTAGTGGCTGGACCATTTTGGTATATGAATCAGTAAGCTCATAAGCTCATGTCAGATGGTTTGAAGTAAAGCTCAGACAGTAATAATTCATACCTTTTCAGTAAACTCTCAAATCAATATTGCATCAACTCTTGATAAAGGACTATTTAAAGGACTATTGTTTTATTTATTAACTGGGGACCACAAAGAGAAATAAAACACTTGATTCTCAGCCCTCAAGAAGCTTATAATGCAGCCAGACACTTACTATGAATCTGCCAGACTCAGCATAGCTCAGTGAAAGCTGAGAATAAGAAAAATGTGTGGGTTATTATTGCCAGATAGAATAAAAGACTATTAGTAACTTAGATTGCCAGGAATAGGATAAAAAATTGGATGAGAATTGGGCTTAGATACATAGTTCTCTCACAAGTTTCTTACCCTCCTTTATTCTTCAGTTTCCTCATCTGTAAATGGAAATAGGTAAACCTAACTTACCCAGCTCACTGAATCCTTTTAAGAGTTAGAAGGCGATGACTATGTAAGAAAAGTGGATTGTCATCTGTAAGTACCTAGCAATAGAAAATACAGTATTATTGACAGAAGTTGGATGTAGGCTCTAATTATACATAGCAACATACTTCATGAAATTTCCTTCTCCTTGTTTCATAGGCGAGTGCCAGTCTGCAGTCATTCAAGCCGTAGAAGGTTTGGATTTATCTAAAGTTCTTCCTTTGGGCCGTCAGCATGGTGTCTTAAATAGCCTTGAAATAGTGTTGAAGAACATTAGCCATCTGATCAGCGCGTACTTACCCAAGATTTTGCAGATACTGCTCTGTATGACAGCGACCGTATCACACATCCTTGACCAACGGGAAAAGGTGATGGATGTGCCATAGATGCTTTTTTCTTGTGCTGATGAGTCTGTGTTTTACTTGTGAATTGGGTTGGGGCCTGAATTACTAACTTTCTTCTAAGTTAAATCCTTCTCATGTAGCCCTTTGAAAATGTTTCTTTAAAACAATCTACTATGGAGGAGAAATCTTCATTGTTATATTTATGCTTCACTATGACTAGAAAATGCAAATTTTAGGGGCTGGCGCCGTGGCTCACTTGGTTAATCCTCCACCTGTCATGCCGGCATCCCATATGGGCGCCAGGTTCTAGTCCCAGTTGCTCCTTTTCCAGTCCAGCTCTCTGCTGTGGTCCGGGAGGGCAGTGGAGGATGGCCCAAGTGCTTGGGCGCCTGCACCCGCATGGGAGACCAGGAAGAAGCACCTGGCTGCTGGCTTCGGATTGGCGCAGTGCTAGCTGTGCCAATTGGGGCCATTTGGGGAGTGAACCAACGAAAGGAAGACCTTTGTCTCTCTCTCTCACTGTCTATAACTCTACCTATCAAATAATAATAAAAAAAAAAAAAAGGAAAAAAGAAAAGGCAAATTGTATTACATGTATATTTTAATAAGAGGCAGAATACTAGAAAGTAAGTTACTTCTATATTTGAGGTATCTTCAAAACTTTATGGATAATTTGTATTATGGGTGGGTATTGGGCATAGAAGTGAAGAGACGGCTTGGGCTTCCTACATCTCATTTCAAAGTATCTGGTTCAAGTCCTGGCTTCTCTACTTCTAACCCACCTTCTTGCTAATGTGTACACAAGGAGGCAGCAGATGATGGCTCAAGTACTTGGGTGCCTGTCACTTATGTGGGAGATTTAGATTGAGTTCTGGGCCCCAGGCCTTTATCATGCTCAGTCCTGACTGTGTCGGGTGTTTGGGGAGTCAAGCAGTGGATAGAAGATCTCTCTGTGTGAGAGTTGACACCCTCCTAGTGAAGCAAGAAGGAGGAAATTTCATGAAAAGTGAAATGTTAGTTTGTTGCTATTTATAATTATAGCTTCCTTTCAATTTCTGTCTCTGTCTCTACCCTTCAAATAAAATTATGAAAATAAGTAAAATTTTTAAAAATTAAAAGATACCTCCATCACCGTGCCAGACATACACCCTTTGTTAAGTTGGTGAGGATAAATCCAGTCCCTCTTATTCCATCTTGATTGGAAGCAGAAAATCAGTCCTCTGTTCTCTACTCCTCTCTGTTCTTCTCTATAGTCTGCTGTTTATGCAGAGCAGGTAGAACAGGCCTAAGCCAGCATGGGATTGGGAACAGTTCATATTCCCAACAGTCAGAGTAGAAGCCAAATAATACATGGAACATGAGGAATTCTTTGGAATTTCCTCTGTAGTGGAACCAACTTATCCCTAGAAAAAAATCTGGATTTACTTATCAGAGCTTTAAAGTAAATTAACAGAACAAAGCCCAAAATCTTTTATGTGATTTAAATGAAAATAAAATTAACAGTGTGTGACATACAGCCCATATTACCAGGCATGCAAAGGAAGAAAATTTTGCCTACAAGGAAGAAAAAAGCTAGTCAGGAGAAACAGACCAGAAAGGACACATATGATAGAATTAGAAAAGGACATTAAAACAGCTATTGTAAGTATGTTCCATATATTCAGGAAAGTAGAGGGAGGCATGAACATGTTAGAGAGACATGGAAGATGTGAAAGTTTTAATATAAAATGAGGAAATACAATAGTGACTAGGGTTTGGATGAATAGATGCTGCCTTTACCAGAGTGGCCAGGGTCCTCTCTAAGGATGTGATGTTTGAACTTACACCTACCTGGCCATGGGAAGACCATCTCAAGCAAAGAGAACAGCCAGTGCAAAGTCCATGAGGCATGAGCAGTATTGGCATGGCTCTGCTGAGCAGAAAGAGTTGCTCATCTGGGAGGCCAAGAGTGGAAGTAAAAAAAAAAAAAAAAAGAGAGAACGAGAGAGACTTGGAAAATTCTTTGTTATATAAGTACTTAAGGGCTATAGAAAAAATTATGTGAGAATTTTATTTTGGGCCTTATAGTGACTGATAATGATTTTATCTGGGTATGCATATATTAAATCATGAAAGATTAGAGGCTTTGTAAAGCCTCTATAAATCGTTGAATTTTTGGTAAACTGACAAGTTACTCAGTAATACAGCTCTACCCCCAGGTCAACAATAAGTAACTGAAAGGATCATTTATGCAATTTCACAGTTCATTAGTTGGTGAGGTGTTAAGCTTGTTGACAGATATGAGCTTTGTTACTTTTTTTTTACAAGTCCAAGGAATTCCTTAAACTGTGGCAATAAATTATTTCACAGTAATTTTGTCTAAGTGAGTTAAAATTCTACATTTATGTGTTTGAGTTCAGTTATACATTTACTTTTTTATGCCTTTGTATGCTTCAGGGCATTGACTGACATTGAAATAATGTATTAATGAAGGTTGTTGGTTTTGTTGTACATTTTAGCAATATGGTAACTTGTGAAAAATATATATAATCAGTCGTGGACTATTTCTATAGAAATTAAAAAATTCACAATTGCTCATTTTCAACAGTTCTTGAGTAAACTAGGCAGCTGGAGCTGTAGTTTAAAAATGAATAGGACATGCAGATCTTACCCAACAGAAGGGAGCTTGTAGGGGTGGGAGAAGGGGAGGATGTATCTTATTTAAGAGCATATTTGTTCCTGCTAGTTTCTTATTTGCTCCAGATGATCATGATATCATGTTTTATTTTGTTTTTTTCAAATATCAGTGGTGATTTTTATCTCTCACCAAAAACAATACAGCTATAATGGAAGTATTGCCAGTAAAACAGGCAGAACAGAATGGTATAGACTGTGTTACCTTCTTGAGCTTGCTGCCATTTCTTCTTTGTAACTTGTATAATGAAATAATTAACTGGATAGATTCTACTTGAGATGCTATGATTCCTCAAGCTTGCACAGCAAATTAGTGGCATACTTGTTCATATTCACTTAAATTTCAAATTTGCTATTTCGAGGGCTGGCATTGTGGCACATCAGGTTAAGCTGTTGGTTGCGATGTTGGCATCCCATATTGGAGCACTGATTTGAGTCTTGGCTGCTCCATTTCTGATCCTGCTCTCTGCTGATGCTTCTGGGGATGCAACAGAGATAGTCTAAGTACTTAAACTGCTGACACCCACATGGGTTACCAAGATGGAGTTCCTGGCTCCTGGCTCCTGGCTCTTGGCTTCGGCCTGTTCTAATCCTAGCCATTGTGGCCATTTGGAGAGTGAACCAGTGGACAGATGGAAGGTGTGTGTGTGTGTGTGTGTGTGTGTGTGTTTGTGTGTTCTGCTCACCCTTTCAAATAAATAAATCTTTTAATACAATAAAATTTGCTGTTTCAAATACCTCTGTTGATCAGAGTTTAGATTCTCATGATAGCTAACTTTACTATAAATTCTTTTCATGTTAAGTTGGCCACAAGACCTAATATTTCCCTCTATAAGAGCGTTTATATTGTCTTCATAGATTTCAGGGTGGCTTTACGTTTTTATACAGGTAATTAAGGTTATATGTAAAAATAATTTGCCACTTTTCTTCCTGGAGACTAAAATATATTAATCCAGTGGTAAAACAATTAGGGGTTGAATCTTTGCCTTGGTTGGTTGGTTTTTATAACATTCTAAGCTTGGGAGAAATCTCTGAGGCCTTTGTCTCTCCTCTGCCTGGTCCTCTTCACTCTTTAATATCTAGTGGAAATTCTGCCTCGTCCTTAGTTTACCCTTCCCAAATTTATAGTAAATCCAGCCCCATTCTATATCTTTGGTATTTTCATTCTCCAGTGTCATTTATTAAATTTGTCTTCAGTAAGATTTTAAGTTGAGATCAGGAGTATGGCTGTAATGCCTATAGTGGGAACTCAAATTGTCCCACTTTGAGCTTCCACAAACAGGCTGCACATTGGTGATTTTAGAACCTATAAGGAACAAGATACCAATAGAAGTTGCAATATCTGTTAGAGAAAAAGTTTGCTCTGAATTCAGACCTACTCCAGCCCTTGTGCCTCCTAACACAAATCTTTTCCACATTGCATTTTTATGTTGAGATATTTGCATGCCTTACTTCTGTCTCCTCATTCTCTTAGAACACAAAGTATGCTGTACAGAAAGACCATAAGTTCGTTTTTAAAAATTTTATTTTTATTTATTGGAGAGAGAGAGAGAGAGAGAGAGAGAGAGAGAGAGGGAGCTCCTATCCACTGGTTGATTCCTCAAATGCCCACAGTATCAGGGCTGGGTGAGACTGAAACTGGGAACCCAGAACTCAATATAGGTTTCCCCATGTGGGTGGCAGGAACCCGAGTGCTTGACCTATCATGTGTTGACTCTGTAGATGTCCATTAGCAGGAAGCTGGACTCAGAAGTAGAGCCAGTACTTAAATCCAGGCATGTTGATATATGGGTGGCCCAACCCAAGGCTTAACTGCTAGGCCAGATGGTGCCTATTTAGAAAACTTTGTATAAATTTAGTTTTATTTAAAAGGGAAAGAGAGAAAGAGAACATATATTATTTAACTTGTCCCCTAGGCTACTTTTAATAAGAAAAATTTCATCTTTAAAAAGGTAAATGACATATTTTTGTAATATGAATCTGAAAACAAAAATTACTTCGAGTTGAAATGCAGGTAAAGTGAGCCTGTACACTGTGGTACAATAGGTTAAGCCACTGCCTGCAGTGTAGGTGTACCATATGGGCACCAGTTCCAGTCCCAGCTGCTCTACTTCCTATCCAGCTCCCTGCTGATATGCCTGGGAAAGCAGCAGAAGATGGTCTAAATTCTTGGCCTCCTGCCACCCATGTGGGAGACTTGGATGAAGTTTCAGGCTCCCTAACCCTGGCTGTTGCAGCCATCTGGGGAGTGAACCAGTGGATGGAAGATTTCTGTCTGTCTCTCCTTTTCTCTCTGTGTAACCATACCTTTCGAATAAATAAAATAAATTTTTAAAAATTGCAGATATAGTTTTTCTTTCCTAATCTAAGACACTGTGGTGGGGGAAAAATTGTACTATTTAGAATGTTCTGTTGGGAGAAATCAGGATTGTATTTGAGAAAAATACCCAAATAAAAAAAATAAAACCATGTAAAATACAAAGCAAATGTGATTATGCTTTTTCTTAAGGACAAGTAGTGTGATTTTACTGGACAGTAATGGTGAAGCACATCTCACCATCTGATTTTTTTTTTTAATCTTTACCTTCTCTTCTTGTTCAATGAGAAATGCAATGTGATTTTTGCCAAGCTAATGTCCTCCCATGAATCAAAGATTTATTAACAGTACTTCCAGTTTGATTTCTCAGCCATCTGAGTGAGCGCAAACAAAAACGCTAGTTACACATATACATATCTTTTTCTAAAACAGAAGCTTTTTGTTTTGCAGATACAGCTGAGGTTTATTAACCCACTGAAAAACCTTAGACGTCTTGGAATCAAAATGGTAACTGATATCTTTTTGGATTGGGAATCCTATCAGTTCAGAACAGAAGAAATTGATGGTGTATTTCATGGTGCTGTCTGGCCCCAGGTAAGCCCTCTGACTCCTGCTTCCTTTATTTCTTAGTTTACCACGCGGGTGGGAGTGCTCATCCTTGTCCTTTCTTTTACAGTAAGCTTTTCTTTATTTCTGGAAGTTTTTACTTTTATTTGCCTATAAAACCGCACCTTAAAAAAAATCAAGAATTAGTTTCTGTAATATCCTGGTATTTATCCTTAAAGCTAATTTGAATATGATTATGTCTCTCCTATCTCTTAAGCAAGTGTATCATTAACTTTCTTAGAACCTCATATAACGTTGCTTCTGGTGTTTGACAAAGGAGGAGAAATGGGCAGGTGTTTTATTATGTGTTACCTTGCTAGGTTTCTCTAGTTGTAGCCATTTGATGATGATGGCTGGTGTAGTTATAGCCAAGAAGCCTATAGAAGAGACTTGATTTTCTGGGTACATGAACTCTCTCAGTCATTTCTGACCATGAGAATCTAAAATGCTTGGTTCCTCTCAAGAGTCTAGAGTTTCCAAGCACCATCTTTGCCATTTTTTTCTATAGATGTTGTGTAGGATTCCTTTATTTTTTTCCTCATTCTGTCTTTTAAATGTTCATCTCTGGGCTGTTTCATCGTCTGGTTTGGCCTCTCTGTTTATTTTGTTTATCACTTGTTTTTGTTTTTTGCTCCTAAAATTGTGTATATGTGTTTAATTTGTATTCTGATTTGATTTTATCTCCTAGATCTGCAGGCTTGGATCAGAGAGTCAGTATTCTCCTACACCTCTACTGAAACTAATTAGTGTCTGGAGCAGAAATGCAAGGTATAACCTTTTTTTTTCTCCTTTAAAAAAAGCAATGTTTTTGACTAATTTAATAAAAACTATTTAAAAACTAGTCTAGGGAACTAATCATGTAATTCATGGTCTTCCTGTACAATGAACTATTTTTGGTGCAGTTAAGGAGAATAGGCAGCTGTGTAAAAGCATAAAAATAGGTTTAAAATGTATATTCTAGGCCCGGCACCGCGGCTCAATAGGCTAATCCTCCGCCTGTGGCACCGGCACACCAGGTTCTAGTCCTGGTTGGGGCACCGGATTCTGTCCCGGTTGCTCCTCTTCAAGTCCAGCTCTCTGCTGTGGCCTGGGAGTGCAGTGGGGGATGGCCCAAGTGCTTGGGCCCTGCACCTGCATGGGAGACCAGGAGAAGCACCTGGCTCCTGGCTTCGGATCAGCGGTGCGCCGGCCGCAGCGTGCCAGCTGCAGCGGCCATTGGGGGGTGAACCAACGGAAAAGGAAGACCTTTCAGTCTGTCTCACTGTCCACTCTGCCTGTCAAAAAAAAATGCATATTCTAAAGAAGAATACAAGTTGCTAAATAATACATGTAAGGCTTTTCATGATGCATCCTTTGTAGTATTTAAATTATTAAATATAACTTAAACAGGAAAATAGGTAAAATATTCTTACAATTTAATGTAAATTTGAAATGTGAAGCCAGGAGCTTCATCCAGGTCTCCCATGTGGGTACAGGGGCCCAAGGACTTGAGCCATCTTCTGTTGTTTTCCAAGGCACATTAGCAGGGAGCTGGATCAGAAGTGGAGCAGCCAGGATGCAAACCAGCACCCATATGCAATGCCAATGTTGCACAGGGGCTTTACCCACTACACAACTTCAGCCCTGAAGTTTTTGTTTTGATTCAGTTTGGTTGATATCCCACCATTGGTTTTCAATTTGTTCCACACTGTATAACTGGCTTTTGATTTTGCTTTCCTCCTGTACCATTATATCATTAACAGTTTCCCATATCATTCACTATCCTCCTAAGAAATACCCTCAAACCATGGCTTTATCTTCCCAGGAAAACCTGTTAATTAGTAGGAAGGGCTTTTTCATCCATTTCCCAATTTGATGGCACAGTTTCGTATCTTGATATTTCTTGATTTAAAAGGATAAGCCATATTTCATAGGCATAGTTGAGAAATGTTTTATAGTTGTACAATTTTAATGCAAATCATCCATGAAGGACTTTCATCGAGGAAGACTTTAAAAAGAGAATCAACTTTTATATTATTTTAGTTCCTTATTGAAGGTGCAGATTCACAACCATCGTTGATGTTACTTTGTTCTCTTCTGCAGTTTCTCTCTCATTTTTTGATGGGCAAATGGAAGACGCATGACAGTAGAAGAGATAGCATACTTTTTCTTTTATGTTTAACACTTGAAAGAAATATCTAGAAGGATTACCTTCCTTTGGAATCCTTATAGCAATAAATAGGCATGTGTTGTTGTGTGTGGGAGAATTTAATTAATGAGTATTTCAGAATCACATCATAAGGGTGTTAGTATTCAATAAAAAAGTTTTTATTTTGAAGTGTAGTCTATATAGTGTCAATTACTGAAACAAGCGTCCCATCTATGGAGAAGACTAGCATTTTATTTTATATTTGTATAAATGCAGGTAGACCTGAACTTTAAGCCAGTATATTAAAGTTTACAAATCAGGTTAAATCATCTCAAAAATCAGATAAACTCAAGACAACAAAATTTCACTAACTAGGGTGATAATGTAATGTGTTGGACAAAGTGAAACATTCATGAGAGAGAAAGAGGTGCTATAAATAATTAAGCCAAGAACGCTCCAGCCTAAGTTGGGACTGCTCCTGACCACTCTCAGCCGCCCTCATGCTGATCACCGTGACCCTGCGTGACTCAGTCTCCTCCTCCTCAGAGCTCTGTTCATTCCTGCAAGGCCCTGAGGTCACCGCCTTCATTGTGCTTTGCGTCTTTGTAGCTTATCTACTTCTTGAAGGCATGGACTGTATCTCATGTTATTGTACAGATTCAGTATCCCTTATCCAAAATCCTGGGGACCAGAAGTATTTAAGATTTCCAAGTTGTTCAAATTTGGGAATATCTGTACATACTTTACTGCTTAAGCAACTCTGATACAAAAACCAAAATGCTCTCAAATCTGAAACTTATTGAATAGAGTGTCATGTCAGAACTCAAAAAGTTTCAGATTTTGGATTTTTGGATAAGGGATGCTCAGAACCCTATCTTTCTCCACAGAGGGTTATACCTGTTCAATCTACATTTCATTAGTATTCATTGCATGTTGAATGAGTATTTGAAATTTCTCGTTGAGCCTTACACTTTAACGTGAAGGTGGCTTCTCCAAGCCTTGATTTTGCCACCTGTAAGATGGAAATAATAACAGATCTACTTCATTGATAATGGAGATAATAGTATATCAAGTAGCTTACTTGAAGTCTGCCCATACTCGGCCCTATATTTGTTGGACAGAAAAATATGTGAATAAAAACTCTTAGTACTCTCCCATCAGTTTGTGCTAAGGATATTAGTTCAGTTTGTGCTAAGGATATTAGTGCTTGAATTCTTTTTCCAGTGATGAAGAATTGATAAAGCCAAACTGTCTGAATGTTTTAGTTTGACCTTCCTACTGACAGGATTGCACCTTCAACTGTAAAGCAGTCGCTGGCTTGGCCTTGGCTTTTAGAAAGCCATTGTGCTCTCTGCTCCTTGGTAGCTTCCATCAGGAGAGAGTCTTTCGAGTGAGTCACTGGGGATGGATTCATTCCTCCTATCCTAACAAATGATCTTGATCTCTCAATGTTGCTTATCCTGATATAACAAATTATTTTTGGTGTCTACTCCCACTTGGGTTTTTATGTGACTATATATACTTCACAAAAAAAATAACCTATCTTAATGAAGTTTCTTTTGAAAGGGCTGAGACTTTGGAGTTAGACTATGCTCAAATCTCATCTCTACTGACTAGCACAATGGCTTTGGACAAGTCTCAGTTTTCTTCAGCTGTAATATGGAGATAATGGTACTACCTTACAGAGATGTTATAAGTATTAAATGAGAAATATACATGAAGCACTTAAATAATATGAGGTTTTTAAGGTGCTTAGAATTCAGACCCATCAAATTTTAGATTTCAGTATTACTAGGGTTTACATATATACATGTGTTAAACTCAGTGTGCAAATTCATTTGAAGCGTATTTTTGGAAATAAACATTGAAAAGTAAAATTATTCCAATGTTTTCTCTCGCAGATATTTTCCTTTTCTGGCCAAACAGAAGCCTGGACATCCAGAATGTGATATTCTGACCAATGTTTTTGCAATTCTGTCAGCAAAGAATCTCTCTGATGCCACAGCCAGTATTGTGATGGATATAGTCAATGACCTTCTTAACCTTTCAGATTTTGAGCCCACAGAAACAGTTTTGAGCTTGCCAGTAACTGGATGCGTATATACTGACATAGCAGAAGACATGGACAGTATGTATTTATATAAAGCAAACGATTGTTAGACTTCTGAATAGTTTCCTTAGAAAAGAAAAAGCCAATGTGGTTGTTAAAATAACTTACGCCCAAAAGTTTTGTTTCTCTGAAAATTAACACTGATTTATATAAGCTGGATTTCTTTTCAGATGTAATTTCCTCCAGGGAATTACCAAATGATTTCTGCTGTTGTAGCTCTCAAATCTTCCACCATATCATCCTGACAGTTCCTCTATTACTAGCAAAATGGGGTCTCTTACATATATTTTTAGATTAGCTAATGATACAGCTCTTGATTAAGAAGAAAGTTAATTGATTTTCTTGTAAGATTTATTTATTTATTTATCTGAAAGGCAGAGTCATAGAGAGACAGAGAGAGATCTTCCATCCTCTGGTTCACTCCCCGAATAGCTGCAACAACCTGGGCTGGGCCAGGCCAAAGCTAGGAGCTCATCCAGGTCACCCACGTTGGTGACAAGAGCCCAAGAATGTGTGCTGTCTTCCACTGATTTCCCAGGCATGTTAGCAGGGAACTGAATCAGAAGTGGAGCACCTGGGACTTGAACTGGTGCTGAAATGAGATGCCTACATGAGTATGTTGTAAAATTAGAAATGTGCTGTAAGAGAGTTAATTAAAATGAAAACACTGGTCAATGTTTATTTCAGAGTCTATCACTATGGGAGGAAGATTAATTTTGCCTCATGTACCTGCAATTCTTCAGTATCTCAGCAACACCACAATCAGTGCAGAAAAGGTGAAAAAGAAAAAGAATAGAGCACAAGTCAGCAAGGAACTTGGCATTCTTTCAAAGTAAGTAACTTAAAAAATAACATAACCATGGTGGTTTTGATTTTCTAGTTGAACATAGTAAAAAGAAGCTAAAGAGATTTTCAGTATTATAAATGCAGTCCACTAAGTTAATGCAGAATGCTGAAGTGATTATTAGAATCCTTTTATGGTATCTACCTTCATTTAATATATTAAAGGGAACAGACTCCAGAGTCCTAATGTGGGCTAACAGATTTGCTTATTTGACCTTTATCTTTTTTTTTAAGTAAAGCTTTGAGTTTTGCTGGAGCACATCATTTTTGTTTTATTTTGTTTTTTAGTTTAATTGATAAAAATAATTAAAAGAGCAGATTGTTTATTTAATCAAGAATATCTTACAAGGCTTTTCCAAGAGTGTTTGACAATAGAGCTCATAATACATGATATGATTTCTGTAAAGGTCAAAGTTAGTAAAGCTGAATGCAAGAAATGATTCTGTCTTGAATTGACTATTAATGGCTTAATTGTTAAACATTTTTTTTCTGTTAATTTCAACAACATCAAAAATTATATTAGAGTCTTCTAGAAACTTCTTTACAGGATTTATTTATGCTGTTAAATTTCATCTCAGGCTATGTAGTATCAGAAGAAAGAAAAGAGATTAGACATAGAAGGACTCACAAAAGAGTGTGAGAGACCTGCTCAACTTCCTCCTGGTTGTGTGATATCACACTTTCTGAGTCTCAGTGATTATCTGGGAAAACTGGAGCCAATAAGTCCTACATTGTTCTGTGTTGGGGGAGTTCAAATTAAAACACTATACATAAAACCTTAACTGCAAAAAGTTACACTTGAAAATGCTATTTCCTTACAAAATAAGAAATTACAAATTGCTAGAATATAGTGCTGGAGTTTACTATAATTCATCTACACAATTACATATTGCAAAAGAAATAAGGTTGTAGCCATGAGCTTAATGTTAACGAGAAATAAGAGTGAACACTGCTAAACGACTGAGTTGAACTTTTAAAAATGCATGCATAGTTCAAAACCACCTGTGTTTTAGAACATTAAAGCTATTTTTAGTCACTTATGATTCTTAGAGAACTGCTCTTTAACTTGTGTATCTTCTTTGCCTATCTGTTTTATTTTTTTTCCTCCCCCAGGATCAGCAAATTTATGAAAGACAAAGAACAAAGTTCTCTGCTCATTACACTTCTCCTTCCTTTCCTACATCGTGGCAATATTGCTCAGGTACAAATTCTTGAGACATTACTTTGTATTGAGAGTGACAGTTCATCACTAGATTTATTTATGAACAGCAGTTTTATTGGTTAGTTTTTATGATGCATTTGTCTTAAATAATTTAAAAGAATTTCATACAAAAATAAAAGCTTAGAAATAGAGAGAAAAATTAGTTGGAACAGAAGAGGGAATGGGAGCAGAAAGGTAGGTGGAGACACCATCATGTGCCATAGCAGGAAGCATTGGCACTTTATTATCCTTCGGTTTGCTTCTAATTCATTGTAGTGGTTTGCTTTTTCTCTCTTTGACTTCGATCATTTACAGTTATGAAACCCAAGAAGTGCATTATATAATATGAAATACAGATGTCACTGACAAACCTGAATGAAAACTGGACTTTTTTAATATTCAGAAAAAGCTATAGTTTCTGATATAATTTTTAAACCTTAGTTTAATCCTTGCACAAGAATCATCCAATGACTCAAGCTAACTTGTAAGATCTTAGTGGGGCCAGTGCTGTGGCTTAGGGAATAAAGCTGCCACCTGCAGCACTGGTATCCCATTTGGGTGCTGGTTTGAGATCCAGCTGCTCCATTTCTGATCCAGCTCCTTGCTAATGCACCTAGGAAAGCAGTGGAAGATGGCCCAAGTCCCTTGGGCTCCTGCACCCACAGGGGAGACCTGGATGAAGCTCCAGGCTCCTGGCTTCAGGCTGGCCCAGCCTGTGTGTTGTGGCCAGTTGGGTAGTGAACCAGCAGATGGAAGATTTCTCTCTCTCTCTCTGGCTCCCTCCCTCTCTCTGCCCCGCCTCTCCTCTGTAACTCTTCCAAATAAATGAATAAGTCTTTAAAATAATAATAATAGTTTTGAAAAAGACCTTAGTCATGCTGAATATCTGTTACCATTTAGTAATTCAATTTGGAATACCACAGATCTGTAGACAAAGCATCTTAACTTTACTTCAACAAGTTCATTTGGTTGGCTGTCTTAAAACTATACAGTATAAGAAATTAGCTTTCAAAACCATATATATTCTGTTAGAATTAGAGGCATAAATAGGACATTATTATGGGTTTTATGTTGGCAAAGTGCTAAAAACATTAGAAACTATGAAGTAATTTTTCCAATTACTACTCTTACTTTTTATCCATAACCAATTATTTTCTGTGCTATAGTAAAGTACAGTTCACTAGTTTTATGAAATTACTTAAATCTGATGATTCCTTTATCTTCTTCCTTCAGGATACAGAGGTGGATATTCTGGTGACAGTGCAGAACTTGCTGTGTCATTGTCTGGACCCTGCAAGCTTCCTCAAGCCACTAGCGAAACTCTTCTCAGTTATTAAGAACAAGCTGTCGAGACAGCTGCTTTGTACAGTTTTCCAGGTCTGGGATGCTCATTGTTTACCCCAAAGCACTCTTTTCTTTAAAAGATACCTATGATACATAAAGCATGTGAGCAGTTCTTTGTTTACGAAAGTGAAGGTTTTATATGAATTTGGATGGGGCAGGAAGCTGAGGAAGGCAGGAAAATTAAGGTTTTTATTCACTACTAAATATACTGTTTTCTTTCCTTTAGACTCTTGCTGATTTTGATAGTGAACTAAAGTATATCACTGATGTTGTCAAGGTAAGAAAGAAATCTGACTTCTCTTTGCCTCCAAAAGAATGATCATTTTTATTTACTTAAGTTTTATATGCCTTCATTCATATTGTTTCAATGACTTTTCTTGTAGCTTAACGCCTTTGATCAAAGACATCTTGATGACATCAACTTTGATGTCCGATTTGCAACATTCCAGACCATTGCCTCATACATTAAAGACATGCAGACTGTGGATGTTAACTACCTAATTCCAGTTATGCATAATTGTTTCTATAATATGGAGGTAGGTTTTTGTAGCCAACATTTATTAATTCTTTATTGTTTTGATAATACAGCTACTTAATGCAGTGATATAGCTTAGTAATTTGGTTTTTAAAGGGTATTAGAGTTTTAGGATAAACTTTCTTTTATATGCAGGACTTTTTTTGGTTTTTTTGCAAATAACTTAATTATTACTCTGATGATTTGAAAGGCAAATGTTTTGAAAGCAAATAAAATATGTGGTAGCACTTTGAAAAAGTAAATATTTATATAGTAAAATAGGGAAATCCATAGAGACAGAAAATAATTTAATGGTTACCAAGCAATTTGGAAAGGAGGGAAGTGGCCTATCTTCTAATGGGTATAGGGTTTATTTTGGGAGAGTGAGATGGTTGTACAATTTTTTTTTTTTAAGAAGAAAAAGTATCATTTATTTATTTATTTGAAAAGCAGAGTGAGAAATCTTTGATCCTCTAGTTCACTCTCCAAATAGCCACAATGGCCTGGGCTGAGCTAGACCAAAGCCAGGAGCTACAAACTCCATCCTGGTCTCCCACACAGGTGGCAGGAGCCTAAATACTTGGGCTATCCTCTGCTGCCTTCCTGGGTGTATAAACAGGAGGCTGGATTAGAAGCAGAGGTGCTAGGACTGGAACTGGCACTCCAGTGTGGGATGCCAACCTCACAAACAGTGGCTTAACCTACTGCATCACAACTCCCACCCCTAAGCTTCAAGTGATTTTTATCTTACTGTCAATTTTACCTCGATTTGTTAAGTTGATGTGAATTATTTATTTTTCCCTCTTTTTGCTCAGTATATGATACAAATAAAAGGTACCTGGATTATGTTAAGTACCATGTTTCTGAACTGAAGTAAATCCCAAATCCCAAAATGGGTTTTTGTTAAACATATACTCCTAATAGTTGTTCATCTGATAATTCAGGATTAGTTATTATATATATATATAAATATATAACCTCCCTATGTTTCAAGTTAAATTTCAACCACAAGGAACTCCCCTCTTTTTTTTTTTTTTTTTTTTAAGATTTATTTATTTGTTTGTTACGAAAGTCAGTTTCAGAGAGAGGGAGAGACAGAGAACAGTCTTTGATGCACTGGTTCACTCCCCAGATGGCCACAATGGTCAGTGTTGGGCCAGGCCATTAGTAAAGGGCTGGATTGGAAGTGGAGTAGCTGGTACAAGAACTAGCACCTGTATAAGCTGCTGCATCACAGACAGTGGCATTACCCATTATGCCACAACACCAAGCCCCTCAATACAAGGAATTCTGAGTCAGTGCCTGGCTGGCTGACTTGGGAATACCTTCTCTACACTCATTACTTGCTTTCCTTAAGCCAGGAGCTTTGGAGCAACCAACCAAAATTACAGTAGCCGACTCTCTCTCAGTGATGTCCTGATACTGAATATTGAAAATTGGCTTTAGTGAACCTTTTGATCTATATTCCTCCCAATCCCGTATTTGGTTCTTCCTTAGGGGACATTGCTTTATAGGGCTTTTTACACTGAGCAGTGATAAAATGTCACTTTCTTTGAAAAATAGATGTTCCACAGAATAATTTGTGTTTTTTGGATTTTTTTATTTCTAGTTAGGAGATATGTCTTTAAGTGATAATGCCAGCATGTGTTTGATGAGTATCATCAAAAAACTATCAGCTTTAAATGTCACAGAGAAAGAATACAGAGAAATCATTCATCGTTCACTACTGGAGAAATTGAGGAAAGGGTTGAAGAGCCAGACAGAGGTATTGTAACTCTGTTTCTTAAACACTGTCATCTCAAGTTCGGTTCGATTGTGTTTTCCTACTTCTGCTCTTACTGTGTAGAAGAAAACCAATTAGGCCTGGTATGTTTGATTAAACACTTGATTGGGTAAATAGTCACCAACTTTTAGCAGGGCAATGGGAATAGAAAGGAGAGCCGTGGTTGCTTTTATGTAGTTGTTTGATGTTTTGTAAAAAAAAAAAAAAAAAAAAGTGGAAATCAGGTGTGATTTTTTTTATTTTATTTTAATAGCTTTTTGTGTGTGTCTTCATATTACCTAAGAAACAGAATCTTTTTAAAATAAAAGTGTTTCTCCCTCAATTTGATATTTGCAGAGTGTCCAACAGGATTATACCACAGTACTTTCTTGTTTAATTCAAACCTTTCCAAATCAACTAGAATTTAAAGACTTGGTACAGCTTACTCATCACCATGATCCAGAAATGGACTTCTTTGAGAACATGAAGCACATCCAGGTAGGTGACAGTTCTGCTTTTTTGTGCCTACAAAATAAGCATTTCACACTATTCTGCCTCATTTAGAAAGATGTATTTTAACTTCCCAGAAAAGCTAAAGCTTCTCATTTGTAACCATGAGTCAAATTTGCATCTGAGATGATCATTTCCTGAGGTCTGATTTCTCCAGTGGTATCACAAACCACAGCTAATAGTAGAGTCACCTTTTCTCTGCTTTTTCTTAAGAAGTTTAAATGTTTTGGGATCTATTGTTAAACAGAAATCATGAATTATGTCTGTGTAAGCAAATCAAGTGTTTGCTTATGTAACACAGGGAGTGTGTTTCAGTCTAATCTCTTCATTAAAAAAAAAACGATACTAAAGTGAAGCTAGTTGTCAATGAGATTATTCAGTAGCTAATTTGTAATTTCACTGACTTGTAGATCCACAGAAGAGCCAGAGCCCTGAAGAAACTGGCGAAACAGCTGATGGAAGGCAAAGTTGTGCTGTCCTCCAAATCTCTTCAGAATTACATCATGCCTTATGCCATGACTCCAATTTTTGATGAGAAAATGCTCAAGGTAGGGCATCAGCTCTAGAACCAACAAATATCTACCCCTGTCTTGACATATTGCACCAAAATGTGGATATAGCTGGTGACATCCATACCCATGTCATCACCATGATCAGATGCTTAGAATTGTTCTAAAGCCCTTTAACTGTGCCTAGTACAGAGTGAATCTTACATGAATGGGGGCTGTTATTTGTATTTTCCACTATTGTTAGCTCACAAAGGCTGACCACAAAGTGTTCTCCTAAAAGTGTCGTATATTCGCTTTTATTTTTGTATCATAGGACTTAATTTTGGCAAACTCCACTGATGAGCAGAGTAGATCATTATTTCCCCAAATGCTCATAAGAAATGAAATAAAACAATAACTGTTTTTACTACTGTACCAGATACATAATCTTATTTATCTTTCTTTAGCACTGTATCAGCTATCAGGTGCTATTCTGAGTGCTTCAGTAAGTCATGTTACTTCATCCTCATCACAGCTCAACCCTACAGAGAGTTAACCACTATTTTAGAGGAGAATGAGAATAAATGAGGTTATGCAGCTTCTGAAAGACAGAGTCAGAATTGGTATTTGAACTTGGAACTGTATGGGCCCTTATACTCCACAGTGCCCAGAACAGTGCCTTGCAGATGGTATAGAATAAATGTTTTGTGATTAAGTAGATTGATTAATGAATGATGACATTTCAGATCACAGAAATTCAAGTCTAAATGCACTGATGTCAGAATTTATATTTTTGATTGCATAGCCTTCTACAATAGATTTTCTTTATTTCAGTTTATTTTAAAATGTTTGAAAGAATTATCTAAGGGGGTAATTATCTAAGGGAACTATTTAGATTTTCCCTTTAAATTACAGTTTAAACATACAGTAAGCACAGCAAACTCATTTGTAGATGGTATTAGAATGCAAACAGGATGCAAATGGGGAAAAATATGGTAGATCACTTTCTAACCTTTTTAACCTGCCTGTGACTTGACTTTTTCTGATCTGAGTCTTACTGGTAGCACTTTTTAAACAGTCCAACAGTGTCTGCTTTTAACTATTTACATTTAATGTAATTATTGAAGTTGAGTCTAAGTCTGTGATTTTTTTGTTTTCCGTCTGCCCCATGTTTTTCTTTCTCCTTTTTCTTCCCTCTGTTGGATTAATTGGACAGTTTGTATGATTTTTATTTGATTTCTGTTGGCTTATTAGTTATTTATTGTGGACTTTAGTTTTAAGCCAGATAGTAAGTACATTGTTGTTATTTTTACTTTAAACAATGATCTTTTAAAGAGATCTTCAAAAATAAAGAAGGAGCAGGCATCTAGCCCAGCAGTTAAGATACCTGTGTCCCACTTTGAAGTGCCAGGGTTCAATTCCAGCTCAGCTCCTGATTCCAGCTTCCTCTTGATGCAGACTCCAGGAAGTAGTGGTGATGGCTCAAGTGACTGGGTTCCTGCCACCTGTGTGGGAGACCTGGGTTGGGTTCCCACTTCCTATCTCTGGCCCTGACTATTGTGGGTATTTGAAAACTGAACCAGTGGGTAGGAGCTCGCTCTCACTCTCTCTGCCACTTAATTAAAAAATTATTAAAAATTAAAATAAAGAAAACTTAGGTTGGTTTTTGTTCTTTTTTTTGGTTTATATATTTTTAATTTTATTTATTTGAGAGACAAAAACAGTTAAAGATCTTCCAACTACTGGTTTACTCCCCAAATGCCTGCAATAGCTAGGGTTGGGCCAGGCCAAAGTGAGGAGCCTGGAACTTAGTCCAGGTCTCCCACAGGGTGGCAAGGATCCAACTGCTTAAGCCATCTTACTGCCTTCCAGGGTACACATTGGCAGGAAGCTGGAATCGGAAGCAGAGCCAAGACTGGAACCCAGGCACTCTGATATGGGATGCAGGCATACCAAAAGGCACCATTATTGCTGCACCAAATGCCTATCCAAGAACTTCCTTTAAATTTTTGTAGTGCAAGTTTACTAATGATTAATTCTTTAAGTTTTTTTTTTTGTTTTTTGGGGGGGGGGGGTGGTGTTTGTGTTTGAAAGGTAATATTGATGTTGCTGGATATAGAATTCTGGATTGAGAGTTTTGTTTTTTCTTTTGACAGTTCTCTCTTCTGTTGGCTCATATTGTTCTACATTGATGCTCTTGATTTATTTTACAGCATGAAAACATAACCATTGCTGCCACAGAGGCCATTGGAGCCATCTGCAATCATCTCTCTTGGCCAGCATATATCTATTACTTGAAACATTTTATTCATATCTTACAGACTGGACAGATCAACCAAAAATTGGGTGTCAGGTATGAGAAAGCATTTTTATTTTCTTTTTAAAAAGTAATTTTAAAATTGTTCCCTGAATTAGTCTGTTCCCTTTTACATTATATTAATGAGGTTATGCTAATGCTTATTAATGTCAAAAATACTGATAAAAATTTATGTAAGTCTTTTTAAATTTCCTCTCCTTTTATTGTCATTGATAATCAAACATTTCTGTGTACTTTTTTTTTCCAACAGTTTGCTAGTAATAGTGTTAGATGCATTTCACTTTGACCACAAAACTCTTGAAGAACAAATGGGGAAAATTCAGAATGGAGAAAGTAAGTTTTTAAAACTTCCTTAAACTGTATTTCCATCTTACTCTTGGATGATTTATGACCATGAATTAAAGATGTCAAAATTCAATATACTCCTGTTATCTGCTCTTGTAGCAGACTGTTCAGGAGGAAACTAAAACAAATGGTTTAAATATTCTAATGAGACTATATTTAACTGTAGGTCAAGCTAGTACAAATTAGTGAAAAAATCTGAGATGTAGATTATTTACTTGGAAGACACAGGGTAAACAACCAATGGTATACAGTATATTGTGTTACTAATCTATAATGACTGGTAGGTTGGGTAGATTGAATGCATGTTTGATTAAGGATATTTCCAACTTATTGATAGATTTATGGGGACATATTCACAAGCTAAGGAGCATCTGTATTTTTTTTCATGAACCTACATTTTACAATGTTTTGTAAACATAAGTATTTAAAAATTAAAATACTTAATTTGTGTAATTATTTCTTCTTAGATAGTATGGTTGGATTCTTTCTTCCAAACTAGCTTAAATTATCTGGGTTTAACTGTGTCCAAATTCATATGGTGTGATACACTCACAAAGGTAACTTAAATCTGGATATGTTGTTGGTTCCAATTAAGATGTGTTCTACCTCAGCACAGTTCTGTTACATACTTTTTTATTGATCCTATGATATCTCATTTAAAAGCCATCTTAAATCTCAATGAAAACAATTGCCAAATGTTGATATTTCCCAATATTAGGGTTTTTTTTTAAACACCTTATGTTTGGCATAATTGTGAATTAAGTCTAACCTTTTCCCCAGTAAAGGTTTCAAATAACAAATAAGCAGTGTTATTGGCAAAGGCTAATTCCGAGGGTCTGAAACACTAGGAAAGTCAATAGGGATATTTCTCTCTCCTGAGTGGACTCATAGCCTCTCTGAAATCACCCACTCCAGGCATTGCTCATCCTGGATTCCAGCCTGTCTTTGGGGACTAGCAGTATCCAGTAGTCCAGTTCCAGGTCTGAATAAAATAAATCCTCTACCTCAGAGCTCATCGTCTCATTACCACTTGGCTCCCACCCCTCAGAACAGCTTCCCTGTCTTCATTTCTTCATAGTTAATCTCTTCTATACCACTCACATCAGAAACTGACAAAGCAACATGAAAGAATGTCCATCACATGATGCAACCCAGAGTCTAACTACCAGTTATCACCAGTATCCTATATTAGTGTGAAGCAGAGCTGGAGCAAACTCAGGGTAGAACATTGGCCTTCAGGGTGAGGGTAAGGCAGTATTATTGACTTACAGTTATGTGTGATGTTGAATCAAGAGTTTTCATTTCCTACTTCTGGATTCTACATGTCAGTGAAAGTTTGCCAACAAAATAAGATGGTGAATTAAAGAAAATAATGGGCTTTTTCAGGAAGAGGAAAATAAGAGGATAATGAAGATCACCTTTGTAGATTTGTAGATCGCCTTCTGTGGGCCACATTTTTATAAACATTACCTCATTTGTCCTCATAAGAACCTTAGTATTAGTAACCCCTAGTTTTGTTGTTGTTTATTTATGTGAAAGAATTATAGAGAGAGAGGAAGAGAGACGGAGATCTTCCATCTAGTTCATTCCACAGATGGCCACAATTGACTGGGACTGGACCAGGGTGGAGCCAGGGTGCAGGGACCCAGTCACATAGGCCATGCCCCACTGCTTTCCCAGTCACAGCAGCAGAGAGCTAGATCAGAAGTGGAGCAGCTGCAGTTCGAACCAGTGCCGTCATGGGACTCTAGCATCATTGTGGTGACTTGACGTGCTCTGCCACAATACCGGCCCTGCCCCATAGTTCTGATGTGAGAAGCTGAGGTCTGAAGATGTAAAATAACTTTCCCAAAGCTACACTCTCAGTAAATAAAGACTAATAACTACCATTTTCTGAAACTCAGTGAAGAACCAGACATGTATTTTAGGCAAGTATAAACTTTATTACATTTAATCATCCCAACAGCTTTACAAGGTAGGCACCATCTCTATTTTTCTGATGAACCCAAAGCCCACTGGAGTTTAATTGACTGAATACGTGGTTTGTTAGCCATTCAAATCTGGACTTGCCCTATAATACTGTGCTGCCTCATTTTGTTTAAGATGAATCCTAGAATTAGAAATTTCTGTGTAAAAACTGTTGGCTTCCATTATGATTTTCACACTCATGAGTGTAGATTTTGCTTTAAAAACCCCAACCACAGTACTGTGGAAACTTTATAACTACCAGTTTCCTTGATCCAGTTCCTCATGAGACTCTAAACCAGGCGTGGGGAACCTTTTTCTGCTGAGGGCCCTTTGGATATTTATAACATCATTTGTGGGCCATTCGAGATTTTCAACTTTAAAATTAGACCATTATAGACTTATTGAATTTTTGAGTCCTGCCTGTGGTTGCCTTTGCAGGGTTAGGCCAAATGATTTTGCAGGCCTTATATGGCCTGTGGCCCAGACGTTTCCCACCCCTGCAAGAAAGCAAAAACCATAGCCCTTCGTACATTGCCATTTCCCCAGCACATAACCTTGCCTGCCTATGGTTGGTGATTAGATAGTTTATATTGGGTATTGGGTGCAAGTGGAATAGACCATGATCACAACTGTGTTTTCCTTTTTTGGTTCCAGGTGTAAACATAGACACACCAGAATTGACTGAATTACCAGAGCATGAGGCCATGGAGCTAGAAAACACGGATGAAGGAGAGAAGGAAATTACATGCACGAGTTTGTCAGATGACGAAAAAGAGCCAGGGAACCTTGAACCAGCAGATTCAAAAGGGACAGCACCTAAGGAATCAGAGTGCACCGCTAAGTCTGTCTCTTTCCTCCCTCGAAATAAGGAAGAATTGGAGAGAACGATTAAAAATATCCAAACAACCATAACTGGGGAGATCCTACCCAGGCTACATAAATGCCTCGCTTCCACGGTAATGCGTCTGTTGGGCCCTGTGTGAACTCAAGCAGTGGGGGACCCTGTCAGACTGAGATTCCTGTTGGTTACTGGTTGACTTCAACCTCTAGGTCTCCCGTTAGCCCAGCATTTCATGATTCACCTCCCTTATCAGCTTCAAGCTCCTTGCCTGCTATTGTTAGGCAGGAATGCTCCCTCACTGTTTTGGTTTTTTTTTTTTTTTTTCTCGAAAGTCAGAGTTACATAGAGAGGTCTATCCATCGGATGATTCACTCCCCAATTGGCCACAATGGCTGGAGCTGCACCGATCCAAAGCCAAAAGCCAGGAGCTTCCTCCAGGTCTCCCAAGTGGGTGCAGGGGCCCAAGGACTTTGGGCCATCTTCTACTACTTTCCCAGGCCATAGCAGAGAGCTGGATGGAAGTGGAGCAGCCGGGTCTCAAACCGGCACCCAGATGGGATGCCAGTGCTTCAGGCCAGAGCATTAACCTGCTGTGCCACAGCGCCGGCCCCATCCCTCACTGTATTTTGTTATGACTGATAAATGCCCCTGCATCTCTGAAGTACACGGTCAGATGACAATTTCCTAAAACCATATTAAAAATCAATATATTTCCCTCTTCTACTCCTTGGCTACTTTACTATTCAAACTCCATCTTTCCCCTGATTAATAGGGGTAGCATTTGGCAGCACAGTCTCATGAAGCAAGAGCCTTTCCTCCCAGTGTAAGATATGGGTCAGCAAACTGTGCCCACCAGCTGCAGCCTGTTCTTGCAAATAGTTTTAATGGAACTTTACACCTATTCATTTGCAAATTGTTGAATTCTGCTTTTGTGTTAAAACAGCAGAGATGAGTGGCTTTACTAGAAAACCTGAAGCCAAAAATACTATTATCAGGCCCTTTATAGAAAAAAACTGTCACCCGCTGGTGTAAAATATTGACATGGTGTATGTGTAGATAATCTTTATTTGAGGCACTGTATGTCTTATGTATCAGCAATATCATTCAAACACTTGAAAGTGCCAATCAAGATAAGTTTTATGCAAGTTGTATATGTTTCACTATGGTCTCAACCCAAGTCAGTAAAAATTAGGCTTTATTTTTTTTCTAGGTGTTTCTTTGAAAGGTAGAACATTCTCTGTCCTGCTCTTTTTACAGTTTTTAGAGATTTATTCTCAAATTATATCTTTAGTTTTTTAACAGATACGAAAGTTAGAAATGGGCTTAAGATATACAAAAAGAGCATGTCTTTCAAATCCAAGATTACAGTGTTTGTTAAGTCCTTAATCGATTATATTTATTTTAGTTTCACCTAGATTTTTCTTACAGACTAAAAGGGAAGAAGAACATAAGCTCATCAAGTCGAAGGTGGTGAATGACGAGGAAGTGGTTCGAGTTCCTTTAGCTTTTGCCATGGTTAAGCTAATGCACTCCCTTCCAAAAGAAGTTATGGAAGCCAACCTGCCAAGGTCTGTTGTGTAGCAAATTGGAAGAGTTCAGTGAAAAGGGAAAATTGGTTCTTTCCTTCCTGACTTGAATCCTGAATCCATTTGTTGGAAAGAAAAATACAATTTGCTATGGTTTAGAATCCTAACTGGGAAATTTGGATTATTAATAATTAAGAGACAAAATTTTATTTTCCTGTTGCTACTGTTTATTTGAGTGGTTGTTTTCACCCTCTCATTTCCTAGTATTTTGCTGAAAGTGTGTGCCCTCCTCAAGAACAGAGCACAAGAAATCAGAGACATTGCACGCAGCACTCTGGCAAAAATAATAGAGGATCTGGGGGTGCATTTCCTACAGTATGTCTTAAAGGAATTACAGACCACCCTTGTTCGTGGGTATCAGGTAAATGTGTCCTGTGCTTCTTATTCAACTCGGGTTGGAGTTCAGATATTTCCAGGTGAACACTCGAAGTCATGGTACTTTGGGCCTATCTTCAGTAAAGATCCACTGAGATAATAGACAGCAGAATTCAAATATTTCTGATTAACATTAGACATTAGTTGTATAGAAGTCCCTGTTTCTGAATTTTTTTAAGATCTTATAGGCCTGGGTTACATGACCCAAATTACTTCATTCCAAGTTTTGTATTCCCTGAATTATTTAATGTATATTGGACATATTTCCACACATATTAAGGATAAAATCACACACATTTGTTTAAGAGTTGAAACATAAAAATGATAAAAACAATAAGAGCACAAGGCAGGATATAAAACCCCTGAGTGGCTGCAGGGCTGTCAGCCCCTCCCTGCTCCCTGTGTGGGCCCTGGACAAGCAGCGTCAGGGAGTTTTAGAAATTGAGGGATCTGACAGAAAGTGCATTTTGGTGCGGTCCCCAGGTGACTTAACCTTGAGGAACACTGCGGCTTGTTCTTCTCAAGAGTTCAGCCCAGACTCCTGCTAGTTAGCTTTACCCTATACATTATAGTTTGTTGATAGGCAAGATCCTAATCCATAGGTCCTAAGTCTAGCACACGAGCAGGTCAGTGTTCATTTTGATTGTCTCTCTTCGTGTGGTTTTTTAGCATTTGCTCCAGGGATTGCCATTCTCACACTTAACTGCCTTACCACTTCAGAAATGATTTATTCAATATGTTGTCCCCCTTTAAGTAATATGGTATTCTCTGGCTGGTTTAAAGACTTTTTCTCTGTATTTGTCAGCAGCTCGATGGTGATGTGTTTGTGGATTTCTTGGGTGGACCCTGTTTGAGGTTTGCTGTACTTTGTAACCGAACCTGAGAGATATTCAGCCAGTGTTTTTTTGTTTTTGTTTTGTTTTCAAATATTTGTTCTGTCCTGCTCTCTTTCTCTTGGGACTCCAGTTAAATCAATGTTAGATCTTTTGTTTTTCTCACACTAGCCCCTGAGGCTCTCTGCACGTTTGTCTTTTTGTTTTGTTTTTGTCCAGTCGTCTTTCTGTTATTCCGCTCAGATAATTTCTATCAGTCTGTCCTCAAGGTTACTGACCCGTTCCTTTTGAATCGCCATCCTGCTGCTGGACCCATCCAGTGAGTTTCTTATTTCTGTTCTTGGGTTTTTCAGTCCATTTAGTTCTTCTTTCTGTCTTCTCTTTCTTCGTCAACACTTTGTTTTTCCTGATCGTTTCCGTCTTCCAGCTAGAGAACTGAAGCTTCTCCCACTTTGCCATGTATTCATGACACCTGCACCCATGTCAGGGGCCCATCTGTGGTGAGCGAGAGAAAGAGAAAAACAGTGAAGACTGGCCTACTCTCTCAGCACTGCAGTCTCATTGAATGAAGACCAAGGTGCCCCTCTCATTTGGGGCCTCTGCCAGTCCCTGTTACCCAGACACTGCCACCACCACTACAACATTGCTTGGGGCTACAGTGTAAGGGAAGAGAAAAAAGGAGAGATTTCCCCCTACTCTTCTTGAGGCTTCTGAGTTCCCTGTCCTCTTCCAAGCTAGACAAAGGGGCTTCTGCTCAGGTTTTCTCTGTGTACTGTTTTCCATTTCTGTGTGGGCCAGAAGATATTGGACAGAAAATGCTGGTAAACTCACTGAAAGCCTACTGGTACTTGGGTTCTAGTTTTCTTTCCCCATAGCCGCTCCATAAGTCCTGTCCAGGTTTTAGGGCTGCATTCAATGGTGAGACAGGGTAGAGTGTGCTTTCCCCGTCTTACAGCTGGAACCAGAGCCCCGTCAATATTCATCTTTATTCTCTTCTTAGAGCCAGCACTTGATTCGTGGCTACTTCGTGTGAGGCACTGTTAGGTAGTGGGATACAGGGATGAGGGCAGTGCATCTCTGTCCTTCAGGATTTATTTGTACATTTTAAGGAGCACCCAATTAGCCCTCTTTTCTCTAATCACCTGTTCTTCAAGTCCATGTCATGATTCATTGAAATAGCTGAAATAGAGCTAAGAGAACAACTAGTTTGGATTTTAGTATTAGCCATGTACACACTACCAAAATTTTATTCTTCAAGTGTCACTCTTCACCTTGGCCAACCAATTAAAAAACTTATAAAACTAGGTAAAGCCCACAGCAGTTATTTTTATTAGACATTATACTTGTTTCCTTCATACCACTCTTTTTTTTTTTTTTTTTTTTTTTTTTTTAATTTGACAGGTAGAATTATAGACAGAGACAGAGAGAAAGGTTTTCCTTCCATTGGTTCACTCCCCAAATGGCTGCTACAGCCAGTGCTATGCCAATCCGAAGCCAGGAGCCAGGTACTTCCTCCTGGTCTCCCATGAGGGTGCAGGGCCCAAGCACTTGGGCTATCCTCCACTGCCCTCCTGGGCCACAGCAGAGAGCTGGACTGGAAGAGAAGCAACCGGGACTAGAACCCGGCGCTCATGTGGGATGCCGGCACTGCAGGCGGAGGATTAACCAAGTGAGCCATGGCGCCAGCCCCACACCACTTTCTATCCTAGTTTTTATTGCATTCAGCACAGTCAAGCATCTTATATCACGGCTGGTTTTTCAGGACACTTGAGTCTTTCTTTATAAACCACTGCCCTGGTGTAGTCATGGTGATCCATGTTAAACATGGTAATATGTTTCTGAATGTCCTTTGTACAAAGTGATCATTTACATCCAGGATTTTAGATGGTGGTGGAAATATGTGTCATTGGTGAAAGCCTCTCCAAGCAATAGCAGACATAGGAACTCTTAAGTGCTCCTTTGCACTGCTTTATAGATAGTGTATTTTTTTAGTGTGCTGTTCTTAATCATTTATATGTTTACCATACTTCTCATTTTAGGTCCACGTGCTAACTTTCACTGTTTACATGTTGCTACAAAACCTCACCAACAAGCTCCAAGTTGGGGATTTAGATTCTTGTTTGGATATAATGATTGAGGTAAGATTTATAGGAAGGAATTCCAGTTTTTTCTTACGTAGCAAAAGATGCAAAAAGTTGACAAAATAAGAAATAATAGTAGCTATAAAAATGAAAACAACATACTATTATCTTTTAGATTGGTAAAGGTTTAAAAAACTAAGGCTCAAAGGGAATGAGCACTCTGCCAATGCTAATAAATTATAAAATGGTGTAATCTGTCTGGAAAGAAAGTTGATATTTTGTATCAAGAGCTTTTTAAGATTTATTTATTTATTTGAAAGGCAGTGTTACAGAGAGACAGAGGCAGAGAGAGAGAGAGAGGTCTCCCATCTGCTGGTTTACTCCCCAAATGGCCGCAATTGTTGGAGCTTGGCTGATCCAAAACCAGGAGCCTGGAGCTTCTGGGTCTCCCACATGGGTACAAGCACTTGGGCTATCTTCTGCTTTCCCAGGCCATAGCAGAGAGCTGGATTGGAAGTGGAGCAGCCAGGACTTGAACTAGCACCTATATGAGATGCCGGCACTGCAGATGGCAGCTTTACCTGCTATGCCACAGCGTCAGCCCCAAGAGCTTTTGAAATGAGCAAAAATGTTTAAGTCTCTTCCAAGAGTCAGTGTTAAAGGAATAATCAGAGATGTGGTATGGGATTTAGGTAAAAATGTGTTCCCCTGAGCTTTATTTAGAAGAGTGAAAAATTGATGATCAACTTTTTAAATTGGGTAATGTGATAATTGGGGGGATTGATTAGGAGGAGAATAATTTTGCCATATAACCTTTTGCTAAATTTATTAAAAAGAAACCTACACACTAGTATTTTGTATCTTGATATTAATATTTACATTACTTAAGTCTCACAGCATAGCAGGTTAAGCTGCTGCCACTTAGGACAACTGTATCCCATGTTGGTGTGCTTACTTTGAGCCCAGCTGCCCCACTTAATACAACTGTCTGCTAATGCACACCCTCAGAGTCACCAGATGGTGGTCCGAGTCCTTGCGGCCCTTCCACTCACAAGAAAGCCTTGAATGGGATTCTCACCTCCTGGCATCAGTCTGGCCCAGCCCCAGCTCTTGCAGGCATCTGGGGAGTGATCCAGCAGATGGAAGATGTCTCTTTGTCACTCTTTGAAATAAATAAAAATAAAGTTTTTAAAGTTCATGGAAAAATGGGATCAATAGATAAATTCTAGTGTAAGAAAAGTTTGAAATCTTAGTTTTTTCATAAAACACATTTTCCATGAACTTTTTGTGGATGCGCTCATATGCATAAATTTCAGAAATTTTTTGCCTGAAAATAAACTTACCTCTTAATTCCATTTTCCATGAACTTTTTGAAGTACTCTCATATGTCTATGAAATATTTTTCTTTTTGTTTCCCATTAGTATCTGCCTTCATTTCTCTATGTGTTTCTTTTCTAGTAGTTAATCCCCAACCTTCATTGAAAACAAGAGAAATTTAATAAAAACTACCATCCCATTTAGTCTAGTCCACCTCGCTTTCCATTGATTTGGACATGCCAGTGCTTTTGTCAAAGTTTACCTATGTTGCAGCATCTTCCTGAGTGTGCATAATGACCATTTGTCTTTGCTTCCCCCAAGATTTTTAACCATGAGTTGTTTGGTGCCGTTGCTGAAGAGAAGGAAGTAAAGCAGATCCTCTCTAAAGTCATGGAGGCACGGAGAAGCAAGAGTTACGATTCCTATGAAATCCTGGGAAAGTTCGTAGGAAAAGATCAAGTTACAAAGCTCATTCTTCCATTAAAAGAGGTAAGGACTTGAATGTGATACAGGGAATCTGAACATTAGCAAAATCATAAGCTCCTAAAACAAGCTTTGTAGCCAGCCTTCTGTGTATCCAGGTGTTCTACATTAAAAATTTTGGGGAAAAAAATTTATATCTGTGTTGAGCATGTACAGACTGTTTTCTTGTCATTCCCTAAACAACACAGTATAACAAGTATTTACAGAGCATTTACATTGTATTAGGTGTTATGAGTAATCTAGAGATGATTTCAAGTGTTTGAGAGATGTGTGTAGGTTATATAAGAAGACTTCAAAAATTTTGTGAGAAATGCAATGAGAAGACAATGTGAATTTTCCATGCCCTCTTGTATGAAACTACTGCATCATTTTTCTATAACAGACTTGAGAAACTGTGTTTTTCGGTGTCCACAAGGCTCTTGAATCCAAATCCTGACAAATACCAAAGGACTAGCAGTACTGATCGCCCATGATTTTCTTTGATGCTAAGGCCACCAGTACCAGATGGCCACTAAGTGGCAGACCTGAGTCAGATTCTTTAAGAGTCTTAGTCCCTGATGTGAACCAGCAGATGTGCAAGGAAAGACAATAAAAACCTGAGTACCTGTGGAAGCTGTAGCTGGATCAAGTTAGTACCTAAGAACCAAGATGTTGGAATCACACTACTGCTCCCAGACTGCCAAGAGGATGAGAGCTGGCATTTATTGAATATATAAATGATGTTCCAAACAGTGATATATTGTCTCTTCTCATCTGCACAACCATCCAACGAGGTCGATGATACCTGAATTTTACAGATGAGGCTTAGGATCAGGATTTAGCTCCAGATCCTTAGCTTATGGCCGTTCCACTGTTTGATTCTGCTTCATAGAGAGCAGGGAATATCATTTACCCACCTTCCTATCATTTTCTGTGCCTCTTACAGGGGCAAACACTCAATAAATGATATTAATTCTTTTTATACAATTCTATGTACTAAAACTAGAGTTAAAAAACACCATTTTTTCTTTCTAAATTATTTTATCGTTTTTCATTTTTATTTGAAAGGCAGAGAGAAAGATCTTCCATCTAATGGTTCACTCTCAAATGCCCACAATAACCAGAGCTAGCCAGTATCCCAGAACTCAGGCCAGGTCTCCCACATGAATGACAGGAATCCATGTACTTGAGCTATCACCTGCCTCCCAGAGTGTGTATCAGGAAGCTGAAATTGGAAGCAGAGCCAGGCACTCTGATAAGGGATGTGAGCATCCCTAACTGTTGCACCAAATAGAGCACTATTCTAATGATGTGAATTACTCTGAGTTCAAATGTTTTTAACTGCTAGACAAACTCTCTGGTTGTTCTGAGAGTGAATTCAGTTTTATCTGAGCCTGATCTAGGAAATGTTAGGTGTACTTTGAGCATGAAAAACAGCCACCAGAACACACATATATTTGTATATTATGGAATCTCTAAGGTAATGAAAATTATTAATACTATGTCTTATGCAGTGTAATCATTGTGAAGTGCCGATTATCTTGCTGAGGTTGATGATCCTGAATTTCCTGTAAGTTCCTCTGATTTGGCCCAGAGCTAATAGCAAACCCTGATGTTTAGCCATTGCAGCACTTCTTTCAAGTCACCTCATTTAATACTCTAGGAGGGTTGATGTCTGAGAAGCCTTGCTTCAGGTCTGGGCTGTGTGTCCTGAGGTCTCACGGACAGGGTGCAGGGAGAGAGTGAGAGGAGCACAGAGCCACAGTGCTCACTTCCTTTCTCAAGGCTGAGGTTATGGGTAACTTACTTTATAAGTTTTATCTGTATTTGAAAATTTCATGAAGAATGGACTTTTTTTTTAATTAGAAAAAAACCCATTTATTAGAAAGCACAAACATTTAGTACATATGTTATAAAACAAAACTGTCAGTACAACAAATCAAAATGCATTGTGTTCCATTGCCATAATGCTTCTCTTTGCCTTTAGATCTTACAAAATACCACGAGCTTAAAACTGGCCCGCAAGGTGCATGAAACCTTACGCCGAATCATAGCAGGATTGATTGTAAATCAGGAAATGACGGCAGAAGCTATTCTGTTGCTCAGTTACGGTTTGGTCAGTGAAAATCTTCCCCTGTTAACAGAGAAAGAAAAGTAAGTTTGGGGCAAAAGAAAGAAAACCTAAACTCCCTTTAGGTGCTTATTTCTGATTTACTTATTTATTTTATTTTCTTACTTCCTCTTAACTGAGTTAATTTAGTCATTTGCTTTAGGTTAGAAATTATGTTCATCTGAGTTGCAAGATGGTACTATTTTGTGGTATGATACATTTTTTTAAAGATTTATTTATTTATTTGAAAGTCATAGTTACACAGAGAGAGGAGAGGCAGAGAGAGAGAGAGAGAGCAAGAGAGAGAGGTCTTCCATCCAATGGTTCACTCCCCAATTGGCTGCAACGGCTGGAGCTGTGCTGATCCGAAGCCAGGAGCCAGGAGCTTTTTCCAGGTTTCCCACATGGGTACAGGGGCCTGCAATGGCCAGAGCTGCGCCAATCCGAAGCCTGGAGCCAGGAGCTTCATCCGGATCTCCCATGTGGGTGACAGGGTCCAGACACTTGGGCCATCTTCCACTGCTTTTCCCAGGCCATTAGCAGGAAGCTGGATTGGAAGTGGAGCAGTTGGGACACAAACCAGCGCCCACATGGGATGCTGATGTTACAAGCGATGGCTTCACACTCTACACCACAACACCATCCCTTTCTCTTACCATTTTTACTTTATTTAGGATAGACTTTAAATATATATCTCTTATTCTAATTAAACAGAGATTTAGACCTTGAAGAGTTTTAAATACCTTAAGTATTAGTAAACTTCCTTTGGATTTTGCTTCAGTGTTCTAAAAGAGACTTCTTAATATTTGTTTTCAGAAATCAGACAAAGGGACTGTCTTACTCATTTTAGTTTAGATGTAGGTCTTTCAATCTGACATCTGTTTTTGTATGTTAACCTAGAAACCTCGATCACCAACCTAATCATCTCTCTGTGTCTTGTGGTTAAGGAGGGTTAAGCAGCACATGAAGAAGTGCTGGGCTCCTGTCACCATGCAGAGCCACCGTAGCTTCTTGAAATTCAACTGACAGTGTTCTTCCTGCTATTTTCACTCCATTGTGATTGACAGAAACCCAGCACCCCCTGCACCAGATCCACGCCTGCCACCCCAGAGCTGCCTTCTGCTTCCACCGACTCCGGTTCGAGGTGGACCAAAAGCTGTTGTGAGCAAGAAAACCAACATGCACATATTTATTGAGTCTGGGCTTCGGGTAAGAATTAGCATTAAAGAGATCTGCTGCCTTCCGGGACTGCGTACCTTTTAGTCCTCTGTGGAATTAACCAGTAATGCACATTTCCACTGGAAATGCCTTACTGTAAATAAATAATAGAATTTTTTTTTAAGATTTATTTTATTTATTTGAAAGACAGAGTTACAAAGAGGCAGAGTCAGAGAGAGAGGGAGAGAAGTCTTCAATGCACTGGTTCACTCCCCAGATGGCCACAGTGGCCAGAGCTGCACCGATCTGAAGCCAGGGGCCAGGAGTTTCTTCCGGGTCTCCCATGCAGGTGCAGGAGCCTATGGACTTGGGCCATCTTCTGCTGCTTTCCCAGACCATAGCAGAGAGCTGGATTGGCAGTGGAGTAGCCGGGACTCAAACCAGCTCCCATATGGGATGCTGGCACTGCAGGCAACAGTTTTACCTGCTACGGCACAGCACTGGCCCCTAGAATTTTTTTAAAGGTTCATTGGTTCATTTACTATGTATCTCTTCCAGTGCTTAACTCTCTTGGAATTAACAATTCTGATATAGTATTTGTTAGGATTTCACTACTGCCTTGCTCAGGAGGCCCCCTAAAAGACTGAGTATTTTTAAAAGATGGGAAGATTTTCAAAATACAGATATGATAGTTTTATGTCCTTCAGCTCCAGTTTTCCCTAGGAGAGATCCCAGCCCTTCCTTTGGGCAACAGGGTCTATCTAGCCCCACATTGTGCCCCTGCAACACACCATACAGCCAGCTGGCTGCCCTTCAGTTCTACAAAGTCATCATACTCTTCCCTACTCCAGGACTTCCCCACCACTCTCCCCAAAAGCACCTAGCATTTACACTTAATTCTTTTTTTTTTTTTTTAAGATTTATTTATTTATTTGGAAGTCAGAGTTAAAGAGAAGCAGAGGCAGAGAGAGAGCAAGCGAGTGATCCTCCATCCGCTGGTTCACTCCCCGAAATGGCCACAACAGCTGGAGCTGGGCCAGTCCAAAGCCAAGAGCCAGGAGCTTCTTCCAGTCTCCCACATGGGTGCAGGGGCCCAAGGACTTAGGCTATCTTCTACTGCTTTCCCAGGCACAGGAAGATGGATCAGAAGTGGAGCAGCCAGGACTTAAACCAGTGCCCATATAGGGTGCCAGCACTGTAGGTGGCAGCTTTATTCACTACACCACAGCACCAGCCCCAGTTGTTTCCTTTGAGTCTTTCTGGCTAACTTCTTTCAAGACAGTGACCATGTCAATTGGCTATTCCTGTGTCCTGCTTGTAAGCTGCTGCCTGGGATCATGGTAGACTCTGAGTAAACATTTGGTAAAGGGACTTAGCATCTCAATTGCCTTCTTGGCTCACCGATAATCCCAGGCGGTTTCTCTTTTCTTAAAAGTGTTTGTCATTTTAGATAGAAGCATTTTTTTTTTTTTTTTTTTTTTTGACAGGCAGAGTGGACAGTGAGAGAGAGACAGAGAGAAAGGTCTTCCTTTTGCCGTTGGTTCACCCTCCAATGGCCGCCGCGGCTGGCGCGCTGCGGCCAGCGCACCGCGCTGATCCGATGGCAGGAGCCAGGAGCCAGGTGCTTTTCCTGGTCTCCCATGGGGTGCAGGGCCCAAGCACCTGGGCCATCCTCCACTGCACTCCCTGGCCACAGCAGAGGGCTGGCCTGGAAGAGGGGCAACCGGGACAGAATCCGGCGCCCCGACCGGGACTAGAACCCGGTGTGCCGGCGCCGCTAGGCGGAGGATTAGCCTAGTGAGCCGCGGCGCCGGCCTAGATAGAAGCATTTTAACATTTCTTGTTTATCTCCTAAAATCATTTCACATTTACCTAGTGTATTTGGTCTTATGGGCATCTTCAGTGAAATACCTCTGTCAAACCTTCTAGCTGTTACATCTGAGTCTAAAGACTTCCAAGATCAAGTCTTCATGTGAACATGCCCTGGAAATGTTGGATCCTTTTGTGGCTCTCCTTATCGACTGCCTGGGTTCCATGGACGTGAAGGTGAGCATCAGTTTCTTCACAAGAGCTGTGTCATGCAGAACACCTAGAACTTACTTCTAAACCTGTTTCAAGAGGCATTTGGATTTTTTAAAGGGATTTTCACATGCTGAACCACCACTGTTCCCTGCATTAATTATAATCCTGTTTGGATTGCCAGCAACAATTACAAAAGCCTTTCTAGGGATATTAATTATCTCATTTGATCCTCACAACTTTGAGTGTCAGTGGTGTTGTCCCCATGCCAGTAATCATCGTTATCACGATTGTCACTACTCCATGCTATGGATCCTTAGGATGTTATCTCTGATCCTCTCAACAACCCCTGAGACATGCACTTTTTTCTCCTTTCTTTATTTGGAAGTCAGAATTATATGGGGGGCAGTAGGGGAAAGAGAGAGAGATCTTCCGTCCTGGTTCACTCCCCAGGTGGCTACAGCATACATCACTGGGCCAGCCAAAGTCAGGAACTGAGAGCTTCATCTGGGTCTCCTGCACATGTGGCAGGGGTCCAAACACATGGCCATCTTCAGCTGCTTTCCCCAGACCATTAGCATGGAGCTTGATGGGAAATGGAGCAACCATATGGGAAGCCGGCATTGCAGGTGGTGGCTTTACCTGCCATGCCACAACGCTGACCCTAGGCATACATTCTTAATGTTTCTATTTTATAGATTAGAAAACTAGGGCTAGGACCATATCATAGATCTAGGATATAAACCAAGTATATTAGATTCCAAAGACTACACGTCTTCCACTTGGCATGTCACCTATTTTACAGATAAAAATGCTGAGGGGTTAAGTAACATCTCTAGAGTCAACAGGTAATCAGTGGCACAGCTAGGATATAAGACCAGGTCTTTCTGACTCCCCTGCTGTTGCCTCTGCAGCTTCATCTAATCCAAGCCAAGGAGGCCATCACAGCAACCAGAGTGGGAGGGGTTACATTGTAGAGAGCTGACTAGGTGATCTCTAAGGTTTGGCCTCAGGGTTCAGTGATTCTATGCAATCACATGGTCCCAGCATACTTTTCCATGTGTTTTGTATAGCAATTAACTGTATTAAAATGATGGTTAATGGTTCCCAGGCTTAATTTCTGAGCTACCTACTTCCTAAATGCAGAAGTGTATCCTTATCTTCACTTTTATAATACCCAGTAGAGTACCTTCTATCAAAATACAAGTTTAGTAAGAATGGGTCACATTGAAGGGGCCAGCGCTGTGGTGCAGTGGGTTAACACCCTGGCCTGGGGCACCAGCATCCCATATGGGTACCAGTTCTAGTCCTGGCCGCTCCTCTTCCAACCCGGCTCCCTGCTATGGCCTGGGAAAGCAGCAGAAGATGGCCCAAGTCCTTGGGCCCCTGCACCCACATGGGAGACCCAGAAGAGGCTCCTGGCTCCTGGCTTCAGATCGGCGCAGCTCTGGCCATTGTGGCCAGTTGGGGAATGAACCATCGGATGGGAGATTCTCTCTCTCTCTCTCTCTCTCTCTCTCTCTCTCTCTGCTTCTCTCTCTGTGTAACTCTGACTTTGAAATAAATCTTTTTTAAAAAAAAAAGAGTGGATCATATTGAAGTACCAGTCTAGAAAATAGAGAATTCATTTAAAATCTAGAATTTTTTTTAAAAAAATTATAAAATTGGCCCGCTAATCCAAATTGTTTACCCATAGGTTAAAAATATGGTAAGTGTGCAATTTTTCTTACTTGCTTATGATCTGCCTTCACTTGGCTTATGGATAAGCATTAAGTTCTTCCACACCAGGGAATAAGAAAGTTACTACACTTTGGCAATGGTTCTTCCAGAGTGGGCTGTACAAAGCATTTTATGTATTCAGATCAATTACCTGTAGAGTCTTTGCAGCCTCAGCTCCTGAATTGTTGGGATTTGTCACTTCATACATTGATTGTTTTGTTTTGTCTTTTCAGGTGATCACAGGTGCTTTACAATGCCTAATCTGGGTCTTGAGGTTCCCTCTGCCTTCCATAGAAACCAAAGCAGAAAAGTTGACGAAACACCTCTTCCTTTTGCTCAAGAACTATGCAAAACTTGGGGCTGCCAAGGGTCAGAATTTCCACCTGGTGGTCAACTGCTTCAAGGTGCGCCATCTTCACTTTGCATTTAGAGAAAGCCAGGACCACAATTAATATCAAAGTTAGTCTCCCCCATTGCCCTTTGTGGCCTGGGCCAAGTTTTCTCCAGGATAATTTGCTAAGGCAGTTGCTCTCTTGTGTGGATAGTGTTGCTGTATTAAGTCTTACCTCACTGTATCCGATGTGTAGAATGTGCTGGCTATGACTTCACTGTTGTAACTTGCAGTGTGTGACCATCCTTGTAAAGAAAGTCAAGTCGTACCATATAACTGAAAAACAGCTTCAAGTTCTACTGGCGTACGCTGAGGAGGATATTTATGACACTTCAAGACAAGCTACTGCATTTGGTCTTCTCAAGGTAAAGTATCACCAGAACATTGGCTCTTTTAGTTTATAAGCCATACATCATATGACAGATTGTTTTTTAGAGGCACAGGAAGCTCCTATCTGCTTGTTCCAAATTCCCTCAAGGGCTAGAGCTGGGCCAGGGCCAAACCTAGGAGCCCGGAACTCAATCCAAATTGCCCAAGTGAGTGGCAAGTACCCAAAAACTTGAGCCGTCACTGATGTCTCCCAGAGTCTCCATTAGCAGGAAGCTAGAAACAGTAACCAGAGTCAGGCAGTGAACTCAGGTGCTCCGATGTGGGACATGGGCATCCTAACCAGCGCCTTAACTGCTTGGCCAAATTCCCATCCCATTTTTTTTTTAAGATTTATTTATTTGTTTGAAAGGCAGAATTACAAAGAGGCAGAGGCAAAGAGAGAGAGAAGTCTTCCATCTGTAGGTTCACTCCCCAAATGGCTGGAGCTACACTGATCTGAAGCCAGGAGCTTCTTCTGGGTCTCCCACGCAGTTACAGGGGCCCAAGGACTTGGGCCATCTTCCACTGCTTTCCCAGGCCATATCAAAGAGCTGGATGGGAAGTGGAGCAGCCAAGACTCGAACTGGCACCCGTATGGGATGCCAGCACTGCAGTTAGCAGCTTTACCCACTTTGCCACAGCACCGCCCCCCATTTTTTCTTTTTTATTTATTTTCTTGAGAGAATCACACACGTAGACATATCAGTGTTTTTTGTTTGTTTTTGCTTTTTGGGGTTTTGTTTTTGTTTTTTAGATTTATTTATTTATTTGAAAGGTAAAGTCACAGAGACAAAGAAGGGGAGACAGAGATTTTCCATCTGCTGGTTCACTCCCCAAATGGCCACAGCAGCCAGGCTGTGCCAGACAGAAGCCAGAAGTTTTTCCGGGTCTCCCACGTGGGTGCCAAGGGCCCAGGACTTGGGCCATCCTCTGCTACTTTCCTAGGCCCATTAGCAAGGAGCTGGATTGGAAGTGGAGCAGTCGGGACTTCTTGGTGTTTTGAATTTGAACTGCTGCCCATGTGGGATGCCAACACTGCAGGCCATGGCTTAACCAACTCACCACAGAACCAGCCCCGGTTTCTTTGTTTTTAAGATTAAATAGCTGGCCAGCGCTGCAGCTCACTAGGCTAATCCTCCGCCTGCGGCGCTGGCACCCCAGGTTCAAGTCCCGGTTGGGGCGCCGGATTCTGTCCCGGTTGCTCCTCTTCCAGTCCAGCTCTCTGCTGTGGCCCGGGAGTGCAGTGGAGGATGGCCCAGGTGCTTGGGCCCTGCACCTGCATGGGAAACCAGTTGGAAGCACCTGGCTCCTGGCTTCGGATCGGCGCAGCGCGCCAGCCATAGTGGCCATTTGCGGGGTGAACTAACGGAAGGAAGACCTTTCTGTCTGTCTCTCTCACCATCTAACTCTGCCTGTCAAAAAAAAGATTAAATAGCTGTATATTTCTGAAATTAAGTAATAAAATAACTGATATTGCTTTAACATCAAGGCTGCAGAACTTTCATCTATTCTAAAACACATTAAATGAGTACATAATTTTCTTTTATGTTTTAGGCTATTTTATCAAGAAAGTTGTTGGTCCCAGAAATTGATGATGTCATGCGGAAAGTATCCAAGTTGGCTATTTCTGCACAAAGCGAACCTGCCAGAGTCCAGTGCAGACAGGTTTGTACAGAGAGCCTAGTCGGACCACAGCAGGGCTGGAGTCCTGCCTTGTCTGCTCAACTTTTGATTAGAGAAGTCAACATTGGCTAAATTCTGAAGAGCTCTTGGGGTCATGTGGGTGCTTTGTTGTAAAACTCAGGCACCTTAGTTCAGGAGATCAGAGAAGGTTTTCCTGAGGATTGACAATAGCTCAGCCAAAATGTGAAGGAAGAACATGGCTTAGCCATCCAGGTGGAGGGGCAGGCAGTAGGTGCTGTGGAAGGTGAGGCTTGCAGTGCATAGGAACTTAGCTTTCCTGGGGAGCTAAATGAAGGGGAGTGAGGTGGGGGAGAGAAGCAGTCTGAACTTGCGATTGAAGGTGTAATTGGGCTGCTGAGGAGGCCAGGATGGAAGGGAGAAAGCAAGCCTTCAGGAAAAAATTGCTTGACTACCATTAGGAAGAAAGAGGGTTAGCTGCTACTCCACAGGTTATGGCCTCCTCCGCTCCACTCGTAGTTCCTTCAAAGAAAATGGTGTCCTTGTTTGATTCCTAAGTTGGAGGGAGGAGCAAACCTTGGAAAGTTTAATGATGTGCTTTACTTCTCATAGTTTATTAATAAAGAGGAAGATGATAATGGCTTGAAAATGAAGCCTTTGGACACAGATGAATTACAAAATTCTGGGCTTGTCACATGAGCCAGATATTTAACCTCTCTATGCCAATTTCATTCTCTCACTATTTAATAAGATAATATCAGCTACTTCCTAAGGGAGTGATAAGAATTAACCAAGAAACAGTAACATAGTGCTTAGTGCATAGAAGAGATTTAATAAATGCATTAGTTATTTTCATTACTATTGATATAATCACCATATTCTAATAGTTATTCAGGGGGAGAAATGGGGTTGAACCGTAGTCCATACTAGTCCACCCCATTATCTGTCAGAGAGAGATCAACTTCAACATGACAGTGAGAGAGTTTTAATTGAATTGCCAATGGTGAGCCAGGACGTGGCTCCCCTCAATAGGGGAGAGACCCATCATGTTGACTTCACAGGCAGACTTAGCTGGTGTCCATTGAAAAGCCTGATGTATGACTCTTTGGAGAGATTTTTATAAAATACCAGTGTGTCCCAGAAAGCAACTTAGAAAACAGAAATCCTAGAGAAAGGAGACCCAAATAATCATCTATGTGACTTTTGTTCCTAGGTTTTTCTGAAATACATTCTTGACTATCCTCTGGGAAACAAATTGAGACCCAACTTGGACTTCTTGCTTGCTCAACTGAAGTAAGCTTAAGCCATTAACTATACAGTTTCTTCTTTCCCTTTAATATGGCAGCTGTTGGGATAAGGACAGACCCTGAACATAGAGGCACAGTCTCTAGGGATATTGTGAATGACTCGGGCTTAATTTATCATGCATTGTGCTGGGTTTCATTTGTGAGTTCTTGTGTGTTCTTATTTATCTATGAGTGCTTTGAGTTGCTTTTTAATCCATCTAGTCTGACCATTGATTGTCATTCAATCCATGTAGGAGAATGTTGAAAATTTAACAAAATGGCATTTAAAACTGTGCAGTAGCTTGATGGAAATACACAAGGATTAAAATTAAGGAAATAAAAGTAGTTTTCATTTTCTATGCAATAGACTGACACATTGATCCATTATCTTAAATTCCTAAAATAATGATTAGTTAATCTTAGAAACCCTAACATATTCCTCCAATGTTCTTGCCCTAGTTATGAACACGAGACCGGCCGAGAGTCCACCTTGGAGATGATCGCCTATCTCTTTGAGACATTCCCTCAGGTACCGTGACTCACACTGCTCACCCGTGCTGCCCCGAGCCCAGGAAGTCCTCCATCCCCCCTTGTCAGAGCATCTGTGGGAATTCTCCCAAGTGTGGTCGTAAATACCTCTGTTCTTTCAGGGACTTCTTCACGAGAACTGTGGAGTGTTCTTTATTCCTCTTTGTCTAATGGTGGTGAATGATGACTCTGCCGTGTGCAAAAAGATGGCATCCATGACCATCAAATCCTTACTCAGTAAAATCAGCCTTGAGAAAAAAGATTGGCTATTTGAAATGGTCACCTCCTGGTTTGGAGCAAAAAAGGTAAGCAATGTTTTTCTTCATAGTTCAGTGTCAAGACTTGGCTTTTGGTGTTCATACTTCAAATAAGAAGATATATCATATATCCCATATAAGTTTATTTTTATCTGATTATGCAAATAATATATAGTCTCTAAAGTTTTAGGAAGTGTAAGAAGTTATAGAAAGTAACATAAAAATCACCTGTGTTCCTGTTGGTGGATAACTTTATTACCAATTTGCTTCTTTTGTTTCTGAGACATAATTTGTGTCATTCTGTCTGCTTGCTGACTCTGTGTCCACCATCAGTAGCCCATCTGTGTAGACTATAAACAATCAGTATCTTCTGTTGTGATTATTTGTTGCATGCCCACAAAATTTAGGAGTAAAATGAGACTTCTTTTTAAATTAAAATGGGAAAAACATGTATTAAAGTACTCAATAGATAATAATAAAAAACCACATACAAACATTATTCTTGGGTGGGAAGATTTCTTCACATTTTTATGTTGATCATCAAAGCTCCATATATTATTGATTTTTGACATCAGAAATGTTTTTATTATCCCTGAATGTTAATAAAATGTCCACCTCCATTTAACAATTTTCAGAATGGCCTCGCAACCTGTGCTAACACTGTCTTGTGATGGTTTATTTTTGATAGAGTCTGAGTAGACAGCTTGCTGCCTTAATCTGTGGAGTGTTTGTGGAAAGTGAAGGTGCTGATTTTGAGAGAAGGCTTAAAACTGTCCTTCCTGTGATTGAAAGGGAAATTAATCCTGAGAACTTTGAAGATGTAAGTACTTCTCTAGAGAATAGAACTTCTACTGATTTTTATTGTTTTACTTAAGACAGTATAGCTAATAGCATATTACTTGTGTTCAAAAATTGTTCTTTATTGGTAAAAGCAAAAATTCATTATAATTGAAACTTCTCCTAAAAACCAGCATCCCGTATGGAATGCTTCAGTTTGAGTCCTGGTCTACTTCTGATCCAGCTTTCTGCTAATGCACATACTGTGAGGCAGCATATGATGGCTGTAGTACCTGGGTTCCTGACTCCCATGTGGGAGACCCAGAAGGAGTTCCAGGCTCCTGGCTTCCGTCTGGTCCAGCCCTAGCTATTGTAGGCATTTGAGAGTGAATCACAGGTAGAAGATCTTTCTGTCTATGTCTCTTTCTACATTTAAAAGAAATATAAATAAAAATACATTTTAAATAAACAAATAAAAATGAGAGTTAAAGTATTTGTTATAATATATGGGAATCAAAAGTTCTCCCTGGGCAGTTTTACCTCCCAAAGGACAGTTGGCAATATTTGAAGACTTTTTAAAATTGCTACATTGAATTTTTAAATATTATTTTATCTATTTATTAAAAGGACAGAGACAGGCAAACAGAGCACTTCCATTTATTCCCTAAATGCTTACAAAAGCTAGCTACTGGGCCAGGCCAAAGCTAGAACCAAGAAGAACAAAATCCAAGTCTCCCACAAGGGTGGCAGGATCCAAATCATTTGAGTCACCACTGCTGCTTCCCAGGGTGCTTCAGCAAAAGCTGGGATCATGAGCAGAGCTAAGACTAAAACCCAAGCACTCTGATAAGGCTTGTAGACATCCCAACTAGTGTCTTAATTGCTAGGCCAAACACCTAGCCCTCCAGAAACATTTTTGGGTATCACAACTTAGGGGTGGGGGGCGCCACGGGCATCTACTAGGCAGAGACACTAGGGGTGCTGCTAAACGTCCCATAGTGCATGCAGCAGCCCTCCACTGCCCAGTGAAGCATTATCCAATCTAAAATGCCCGTGACGCTGAGGTTTAGAAGCCCTGGTGTAACTTTACAGGCTACAGTGAAAGTGTGCACCAGATGCCTTCCGTTTGTTTCTACCGATCGTTCCATTGACTTGCACCCATCTTGCTCTTAGATCATGGAAGAGACTGAAGAGAAAGCTGCAGATCGCCTGCTGTTCAGTTTTCTTACACTGATGAGCAAGCTCATCAAGGGATGTAACATTATTCAGTTTACCAGGCCCTCAGAGACTTTGCGTAAAATCTGGAGTAAGTGGTTTCTTTTTATATGAATCTGAAAGCAAACACATTAGTTATGATAGAGTTGCTGAAAATAGATTTGGAAACTTAGAATAAGAACGCTTGAGAAAAATCTGCAAGGTTCTTTCAGACTGCTTACAGTGAAAATGTCTCTTGCTGGAAAAAACCGTATGTATTACTTTTTAGGTAATACGAATGTATGATTTCATTTATACAAGAAAATATTAATTATTATATAATAAAAGGAAGGGAAAAATTCTCAATCCGCTTACCATGCATGGATAGTTTGTATATACGTATTTATTTTTCCTTTTATTTATTTATTCCTCTTCCTTTGAACAGTTTTACTAAGGTATAATTAACAAATAAAAATTTATATGTACTTATGGTTCACAATGTCATGATTTGATAGATGTACATGGCCTCTATTTCCAACCAGTCTTTCTTTAATTAGCCACAAGGTTTGTAGAGGCTTCTTAGTTACGTGTAAACTTCAATATCCTGTTTGCTGTGCCTAAGTAAGTTTACTGCTGTACTATAACACACTTAGTAGGTATGTTTCTTTTTTAAAAAAAAAAGATTTATTTATTAATTTGAAAGAGTTATATACAGAGAGAGAGGCAAAGAGAGAGGTCTTCCATCTGCTGGTTCACTCTCCAATTGGCCGCAACGGCTAGAGCTGTGCCAATCCGAAGCCAGGAGCCAGGAGCTTCTTCCGGGTCTCCCATGTGGATGCAGGGGCCCAAAGACTTGGGCCATCTTCTACTGCTTTTCCTAGGCCATAGCAAAGAGCTATATAGGAAGTAGAGCAGCCAGAACTCGAACTGGCACCCATATGGGATGCTGGCACTGTAGGCAGCTGCCTCACCCACTACGCCACAGCACCGGCCCCAAGTAGATATCTTTCTAAATTACTACATAGTACTCATCATGTAAATATGCCTAATTTACTTAAACTTCTATGGCATTCTCTAAAATGTTTAACATACTCAACTCTGATTAGCCAGAAAGTGGACATCGGAATGAATGTTTAAATTACCCACCTCTTAAAGAGCCAGAACTCATGAGCCTATGAGAAATACTATGGTCACTGGTGACCTCTTCTGCTATGGCTTCACTGAGTCATGGCCAGCCAGATTATGCAGAGGTTTGTGTAGAACAAAAGTTCGTGTTCATGAAATGGAACAGCATAATCTAAAACTGAGATATGACAGGGTTAATTTCTCCTGTTCCTCAACACTCACATTGTAAGACTTTTCACCTCAACTTTCCAAGTGTGGCAGGTAGAGAGTAGCTTATAGCCTAATGATGAAGAATCAAGAGTGGAACTGGCTCGGCCCTCTCTAGCTTAGCATATCACTCAGCCTCCCTGGAACATTACTTTCCTCTCTGTAAAGTGGAATTGACAGATTGAACCTCACGGAATTGGTGTGACGTCTAAATGATATAATATATGTAATACACTTAGCCCTGTGTCTGGCACATAGAAAGCCTTAATAAATAATAGTTTTCCAGACAGCTACTTGGAGCCACAAGCTTCCCTAATTATTAGACACAAATGTGTATCTAAATACGTATGTATATCAGTCATTTCAGAAAATGTGTTAGTGCTACTCTTGAATCTGAAACTAGTCCTTGTGGAACTGGTGTGATTTAAGTGTCTTTTATCGTGCTAAGAGTTGGTTTCGTAGTTGTTTCCAATGTCTCTACCCCGATTCTACCTCCTTTTGAGCTTCTGGGAAATAGGAACCATTTTATTTGTCTTTGGTTCTCCCCTGAGGCACATAGTAGTTACTCAGTGAATGTGTGAGTTAGATTTCCACCAAAGAACCAGGAAAGCTCCTGAAATGTCTGAGAATGCATTTCGTTTCCCTTAGGTCATGTTCATTCTCACTTGAGACATCCACACAATTGGGTGTGGCTCACTGCAGCCCAGATTTTTGGATTGCTCTTTGCCTCTTGTCAGCCAGAGGAGCTTGTTCGAAAATGGCATGCCAAAAAGACAAAAAAGAAACACTCAGAACCTGTAGCAATCCAGTTCCTAACGGGTGACCTTGACCAGAAGGTAAGATTTCTGTAAAACTTTCTGTTTCTGTGGTGACCTTTGTGGAATTTCTTTCTGGTTCATGGTAACTATTGAAGGGTTGGCCCTTGGGAGAAAGTCTTCCAGCTAACAACTGTTGGCCATGGGAATCAACAGGAGTGTTAGTAATTGGAATGGGGTCACCCCCAAGACTAAGGTTTACCAAAGATAACTTTTAGATCATGAGTGTAGTCAGGCTTGGATTTGCTCATTTCTCGTGACCGTCTTCTTTCTTTAGTAGCGTTGGAAAATAATAACCGTCTGTCCTGCTTCCTTCAGAAAGTTGTTGGTCACTAAATGAGAATGTGTTCATGAACATGTTAGGAAGGGACCAGTTATATTTGTCTCTGACTTTCTAGAGCCCAGCACAATGTCTGGCTCCCAGAGGGAACTCTAAATACTGAATGAGCCAAGAATGGAAAGGAAGAAATGAGGAAGAAAAACAATGGAGTGATGTGAAGTGCTCTACTTATAATATAAGGAATTAATATTCCTGGGTAGCAAAAATACTCCATGAGCTGAAATGCTAAGGGAAGGTAGAAAGAAGCAACTTCATCCTTGCTGGGCAAGAATCTTTTTCTTTAGATCTCTGCATTGAAAGCAAAATATAGTACATCAGTTGTGTGATGATTAGTTATTATGGTTAGTTGTTTTTTGTTTTTGTTTTTTTTTTAAGATTTATATTTGTTTTTTTCTTTGAAAGGCAGACAGAGAAAAAGAGAGAGAGCTTGCATTCACTGGTTTATTCCCTAAATGGCCATGATAGCCAGGGCAGGGCCAGGCTGAAGCCAGAAGCCAGGAACTCCATCCAGGCCTTGCACTTGGGTGGCAGGGACACAAGTACTTGGGCCTTCATCCACTGCCTTCTCAAGGCATGTAAGAAGAGGGCTGTATTGGAATAGAGTAGCCAGGACTTGAACCAGGCACTCCAGTATGAGATGCTATCATTGCAACAGGCAGCCTAATGCACTGTGCCACAATGCCAGCCCCTATGGTTAGCCTTTTAAAATAATCTTGAACTGTTCTATGTTATGTCTGCCATTGTCTATTTTGTTTTCACAGATGAAAAGTATCTCTCTAGCCTCTTGCCATCAGTTGCATTCCAAGTTCTTAGATCAGTCTCTAGGAGAACAGGTAAGAACTGTAGTCTAGCTAGTTTAATAGAAGAGTCTTATTATTATAACAGTCTAGGAATATGCTTACATTTGTTTTTGTTTTGTTTCAACATGTTTTAATGCTTGGAGAATTAGATTGAATATAGACATACATTCACATTCCCGTTCAGTTATACACATGTATTTAGTCAACTCTTGGGTCTGCTTTGGGATAACTTGACTCCATTTAAAAATCTCCAATAAAGAGATGCATTGGTAAACTGATAATCATTTCCTCTTTGCTCTTAGCATATCTGTTCCACATTGTGACTGAAACTTTGAAGAAAATTAATTGTGTGATTATTTTCTTATTAAACTATAATACTGAATTTTCTGCCTAACCTCTGGAAGTTAAAAACAGTCATATTCATATTACAGTGTGGTATGAGAATTGTCCATACTTAATAAAAATGTAGAAAAATCATTTTATCACTAAAAGTTTTTATGTATTTTGATGTCATGAGATGTAATTATGAGTAAGTGTAAAGAGAAGGCCTCTAAAAATATTTATGGTGAAAGTAAATTGGGCCCTTTGATTTCTTGCTCTTTTTCTAGAGCAGTTAGGCTAGGAGTTGAACCGACACAGCTGTGATATCTGGATGTGAGCAAGGCCCTTGACCATGTCATTCATGAATCATACGAACAAAATGGAGCAATGTAGATTGACTGATAGGGACAACAGAAATTAGGTCAATGCTGTAACTAAAGAGTGACCTTAAGTGGCATGTCATAAATACTGAAATTGCTGTCAAGTTTTGCACTAAGGCTACAACATGATTCACTGTGGCAGGATCAAGGAAGGAATTGGGTGGCAGAGGGAGTCAAAGAAATCCTGCCAGGGTAGACGGAGGTCAGGTGATACCAATTTTAACCATAGAGAAGAGATTTACTAATATTAACTCAACATGAGAAAAATTGGAGAATTTAATTGATCATAGGTCTTAGGGTAAGTGAACAATGTGAAGTGGCTACCATAGGGTTTGGAAAAGGCCTCCAAACCTCAACTGTATTCATGGAGGCCAAGTGTCCAGAAGAAGGAAATTAAAATTCTGGCACTAACTTGATGGCCAAGCTAGCCTTGGAGAGGGTGTGGAGTTCTGACTACATTTGGGGGAACTTTTGACCCACAGCACATCTAGTAGAGTAGCCAGATGATGAAAGAACTCATAACAGGTTTGTCTTCCTCTCTCACATAAGGGGTGTGAAATACTTACATCTTAGATTTACAGATATCATGGAGTTAGGGACTCAGTAGATCAGTCTTTCGTGTTAAGACCAAAATCAGTCCACTCTACTGTTTAACCAACTGGATCAGATGGGATTTGAGAAGAGAAGAGCTCAGGGGTTATGAAGTTGGGCTTGAATTCTAAGGACCTTTGAATCCTGACTGGCCAGTTACTTTTTTTGTTTTTATTATTGAGTCATTTAATAACTCTGAGCCTTTGTTTTACTCCTGAAATTTTACGTGACAGGAATATTTTAAAGTTGAATTGAAATGTTATATATAAAGCAACTATCAGTACTCAATAAATAGAAATTATTTTTATGTATAATTTTTGAAGGAATTTAATGGAAGTGGGGCTGAAAGCTCACTTCTATAATAAAAATGGATATTCCAGAAAGAAATTGTTTACTTATTTTGTATGGCCTTAAAGGACAGAACTAGACCAAGTAGGTGAAAGTTCTGTGGAAATAGGTTTGGACACAGTGTTAAGTATATTATCAAAATAGTGTAATACCAGTTGGTTTTATTTTTTAATTTTAGAATATCTAGTTTAGCTTACGCTCTAATGGGCCACATTTGTTTGAAAATCAAAGTCCAATCCACCTTCCCCCACCTTTTTTTTTTTAAAGGTTGTTAAGAATTTGTTGTTCGTAGCCAAAGTCTTGTACTTACTGGAACCTGATTCTGGACATAAGCAAGGTGAGGTAAGAGAAGACATGGAAGAACAAGACTGTGGGGCCACAGAGGCAGAAGAGGACAAAGCATTTGCAGAGGAGAAGGCCAAGGGTGACAGAGAAGAGAGGGAAGAGCCCAGCAAGCCAGCCACGCTGATGTGGCTCATCCAGAAGTTGTCCCGGGTTGCAAAACTGGAAGCTGCTTATTCACCTAGAAACCCCTTAAAGGTATGACAAGGGCACAGAATGAAATGGAGTCATTTTTTAAAAAGTATCTTAGTGGTATCAGTGATGTCTGAAGTCTCTAGGAAATTTACCTTTTAGAACTAAACTGCAGCAATAATAAAATCTGTCCCAGACAGACAGACATCCCTGCTTCCTAAACTAAGGCTGTGTGTTGGCAAGACTGTGTATTAGAGAAACTTTCCCAGTGAAGGTGATCTCTCCTTCCAGAGAACATGCATCTTTAAGTTCCTTGGCGCTGTAGCAATGGATCTTGGGATAGACAAAGTGAAGCCATATCTCCCAATGATCATCGCTCCTTTGTTTCGAGAACTGAACAGCACCTATTCAGAGCAAGGTAACCCTCCTCCTCCGTTCCCCTGGATACTTGTTTCTCTCCTGACTGCTTCCTTCTTTCTGTCCTCCCTCCCTGCCAGAGCTTAAGAAAGGAAACTTGGGAGGTTTCAAGATAATTAGTAGCAAATACATAGGCTTATTTCTATTTCTATTATATTTGACCTCTTTTTTTAAAAGATTTATTTATTTATTTATTTGAAAGGCAGAGTTACAGAGAGACAGAGAGAAAGAGATCTTCCATCCACTGGTTCACTCCCCAGGTGGCCATAACAGCTAGAGCTGTGCTGATCCAAAGCCAGGAGCCAGGAGCTTCCTCTGGGTCTCCCATGCAGGTGCAGGGGCCCAAGAACTTGGGCCATCTTCTGCTTTCCCAGGCCATAGCAGAGAGCTGGATTGGAAGTGGAGCAGCCGGGACTCGAACTGGTGTCCATATGGGATGCCAGCACTGCAGGCAGCAGCTTTACTCACTATGCCGCAGCGCTGGCCCCTTGACCTCTTCTGTATTCTTCAAGTCTCAAGAGTGAATGTTTCAGTCCTGAAAGGTGCTTTACACTTAAACAGAATACCAAGAAAACTGTACTTTAGGTGGTTCTATCTCATAGTGCTATGGACAATAATGAACCATAAAATACTACATTCTTACCAATTATAGGGGCCAGCATTGTGGTGCAGCAGGTAAACTGCATGTTCCAGTCCTAGTTGTAACACTTCCAATCCAGCATTCTATTAATGCACCTGCGACAAACAGCAGAAGATGGCCCAAGTGCTTGGGCCCTGCCACCCATGTGGGAGATCAGGATGGAATTCCTGACTCTTGGCTTTGACTTGGCCCAGATCTGGCTGTTGCAGCCATTTGGGGAGTGCATAAGCAGATGGAAGATTGATTCTCCCTATCTCCTTTCTGTCTCTGTAGCTGCTTTTCAACTAAAAAATATTTTGTATAAAAAGAATGATGACAAAAATATTTGCATAATCATTTTTATATGAAATGTCTTCTAAATATCATTTTAGTATTTCCTCTTTTTCTTCTTTGTCCTTACCTGGTATATTTGATAAATTTCTCTCATAGATCCTAATTGTTGGTTTGAAGATTGATTATTTATTTGAAAGACTTACAGAGATAGAGGGAGAGATAGAATCTTCCATCCACCAGTTCACTCCCCAGATGGCCGCAGTGGACAGGCTGAGGCCTGGAGCTTCATCTAGGTCTCCCATGTGAGTGGCAAGGGCCCAAACATTGAGGCCATCGTCTGCTGCTTTTCCCAGGTCATTAGTAAGGAGCCACATGGGAAGTGAGGCAGCCAGGACTTGAACTGGTGCTCATATGGGATGCCAGCATCCAAGGTGGTGGCTTAACCTGCTGTGGCACAATGCCAGCCCCTCTCTTAATTGTTGATAATGGGAAAAGAAGAAACTAGAGGTTGGAAAGAAAGGAAGTATAATGGAGGTTTTAAGACTTTAAAAATAAATGAGGGAACTGGGTTAAGCTTGTCACTTGGGCCATGTGTATTCTATATTAGAATGCTGGTTTGAGTCTTGGCTACTCCATTTGTAGTCCAGCTCCCTGTTAATGTGTCTAGAAAGATGATGGCTCAAGTACTTGAGACCCTGCCACTGACATGGGAGACCCAGATGGAGCTCCAGGCTCCCAACTTACCTGGCCCAGCCCTGGCTGCTGCAGGCATTTGGAGAGTGAACTAGCCTCGCTCTTGCTCTCTCCCCCTCTGTCTTCACTGTGCCTTTCAAATAAACGTTACTGCAGGCAAAGCAGAGTCTGTGACTGTGGATTAGAGAGGCTAGAGAAGCTCTCTTCCTCTCCCCATCTGCCCAAGGCTGAGCAGACTAACAAAGGTAACCCAGAACGTTTCTGTCAGGTTCCCAGATCCCTTTCTTGTCTTCAGAGCCAGGTCCCCAGTGGGAAGTAGGCCCTGTGGTCTCCGATCCCTTGTTAGCATCCTTAGCAAGGTCGTGGCTGGCAGTGCCATGTCCGACACTACTGCCATCTCCTCCAGTGCAGAAACAGAGGCCAGTGTTAGGTTGGCGTTGAATGTTGAATAGTAACAGAATGCCACAGGAGTTTAAATGAGGTGTGTTGTTGCTTGTGTTGATGTTCAGTGTGTCCTATCTAACCTCTGATCATTACTGTATGATTAGATCCTTCGCTGAAGAATCTGTCCCAGGAAATCATAGACTTACTCAAAAAACTCGTTGGGCTCGAGAGCTTTTCATTAGCCTTTGCCTCTGTACAAAAACAGGCTAATGAGAAAAGAGCACTCCGGAAAAAGAGGAAGGCTCTGGAGGTAAGCTCGCCGATTGCAAATATGGCAGGTCCAGGGGGTTGATGACCATTTTAACCAGGAGTGTTTATGCTTGTGTGTCATATGCAGCCAGGAAGGAACGAGGGTTTGGGAGGTGGGGACATTATAGTTGGGGCTCCAGATTTTATTTAATGGGCATATATTGCATTCATGATGTTTAAAGGTGAATAAAATGGCACATTTTCTGTACTTGGATTTTATTTATTGAACTTTTTTAAGTAATTACTTTCAAAGTAATGTTAAATTTCTATTTCCTTTTTAAGTTTGTAACCAATCCTGATATTGCTGCCAAGAAAAAGCTGAAGAAACACAAGAATAAAAGTGAAGCAAAGAAGAGAAAGATAGAGTTCCTGCGTCCAGGCTATAAGGCCAAGAGACAGAAAAGCCACAGCCTGAAAGAGTTAGCAATGGTGGAATAGTCTCCTTAGGCTGTTATCAGAGCATAAGAGGCTCAACTCATCCCAGAGAATGAACTTTCTAGTATATTCTGCTAGTCTAAACTCACAGCAGATTATTTAAGTTAAATTTTGGCATAGATTGTATATATCTATGTAATATAATCATGCTCTTTTTTAATTAAAATATTTCATACTATACTGTATCTTCACTGTCTAAAAAGCTTGTAACACTAATGATAGAGTTTAAAACATTAATTTTTTAACAAAAAGATATGGATTGAAATAGCAAGTAAAAAAACGTAGCAGTTAGGAATAGACCAAAATAAAAGATTTGCAAGAGCTTTATGGAGGAATATCAAGGCATTAAAAAAGATCTGTACAAATATAACCATGTTCACGAATAAGAAGATGCAGTATCCTGGTTCTGGTTCTTCCCAAGTTGATCCCCTTGAGTAAATGCATAGCTGAGCAAAACCAATGGTCGCTAACAAACTTATCCTAAAATTTATATAGACAGTTAAAGAAAAAACCATGACTCTTTTACACAGAGAGTAAGATGAGGGGCTTGCCCTATTGGATACCAAAAGACACTAAAAGTGCTACCTATTGAGGAAATGATAAATTATATCTCATTAAAATTAACTTCTATTTATGAAAAGAGGGATCCGGCATGTATCACATACAGATGGCCCCAGAGTTATGATTGTTTAACTTAAGATTTTCCAACATTATGATGCATTCAGTAGAAACCATACTTTGATTTTGAATTTTGGCCTTTTCTTGAGCTAGCGGTAAGTGGCAGAACCCTCTTGTGATGCCAGGCAATGGCACCAGCACAGTGGCCAGTCAGCCACACAGTCACAGGGGCAAACAACTGATAGACCCCAGGACACTGTGTTGCTAAGCCGTGATGTCCGGTAGGTTTGATGTGTTGAGTGCATTTTCAACTTAAGATGCTTTCAACTTAAAATTAATTTATCAGGACATATCCCCATTGTAAGTTGAGGAGTATCTATGTTGTTAAAGATTTAATAGTACCAGGCTATACTTAGGAGTCAACAAAAATATTCCAATACAAAAAGTGGCAAAAGGGAAAGATAAGCATTGCACAAAAGAAGAGACTTAGTTAAAGGATTAATACCTGGATCTCAGGAATCCTCCTGCATCAAACATATCTAGTTAAGTATTTTTTAATCTTTCCTGTATTTAACCTCATTAGTAATTACAGAAATTCAAATTAACACCAAAATGAGAGTGCATCCATCAGACTGACAAGGCTGGCAGTACCAAGTGTTGGCAAGCATGGTGGAGGAAAAGGAACTTCTATAAACTCTTTTGGAAAATAGTCCAGCATTCCTTATAAAAGTAAAGATGAGCAACTCCCCACCACCCCTATCCAGCATTTCTTATAGAGGAACTAAGAACCATGGGACTGATGACTATAAAAATGTTCAGTGAGTCACTGATGAGTCAAAATTATGAGTTACTAATGAGAATTACAAGCAATCTAAATACTCTTCCACAGGAAAATGGAGAAATAAAATGGATATATTCATACACTGAAATATAGTAGTAGTGAAAATCAGCTGTTAACAGCAATATAGAAGAGCCTAGAAAAAAATGTTGAGTATCAATGTAACAATTTCAGAATTTGGGGATGTGGACACATAATACATACATGATCATCTATACAGAAAATGACAATGATTTGTTACCAGGATATAAGTTATTGAAGGGGGAACTTGACAGGTTCTAGTAATATTCTGTCTTAGCTATACTGTTCAGTTCCCATATTTTCATATGGTTCATTACTTATTTTTCAATTATTATTAGAGAAACAGCTCCCATCTGTTGGTTCAGTCCCCAGATGTCCACAATGGTCGGGGCTGGACCAGGCCAAGGCTAAGAGCCAGGAACTTAATCCAGGTATCCCAGGTGAATGGCAGAAACCAAACTTTTAGAACCACTACCTGCTGCTTCCCAGGGTCTGTATTAGCAGGAACTGGAGGTAGGAGTTGCAGTTGGGACTGGAAACCAGGAACTCTCTAGAAGGGATGTGGGCATCCTAACCAGTGTCTTAACCACTAGGCCAGATACCCACCCTCCTCCATTATTACATTACTTTGAGAATATCAACATTTCGCAAAGTTTTTATAACTAATACAAAGAAAACAAAATGGTTTGTTTTTAAGGCTTAATATTGACAACTTGGGGCCAGAGTTTGGGCACAGCAAGTTAAGCCACTACTTGTTAACACTAGCATCCCATTTTAGAGTGCTGTTTGATGTCCCAGCCATTCTACTTCCTATCCAGCTTCTTGCTAATACATTTGGGAAGACAGCAGGTAATGGTCTAACTGCTTGAGTTCCTACCACCCATACAAGAAACCAGAATGGAGCTCTGGGCTCCTGGCTTCATCCTGGCCTTTCCCTGAAGGTTGTAGCCATTTAGGGGTCAAACTAGCAGGACACTCTCTTCAAATAAATAATCTTTAGAAATACTCATTATTATAGGGGCCGGCACTATGGCGCAGCAGGTTAATGCCCTGGCCTGAAGTGCCGGCATCCCACATGGGCACCAGTTCGAGACTGTCTGCTCCACTTCCAATCCAGCCCTCTGCTATGGCCTGGGAAAGCAGTAGAAGATGGCCCAAGTCCTTGGGCCCCTGCACCCATGTGGGAGACCGGAAGAAGCTCCTGGCTCCTGGCTTCAGATCAGCACAGCTCTGGCCATTGCAGCCAATTGGGGAGTAATATTATTTACAACTAAAATTGCAGTAAGTCACTTTTTGGTGTTCAACTGCATGGCATCTTTTGGTCCATGCTGCACTTGTGGAAGCAATATTCTTTAGTGCCACATCTATTGGGAAGAGAAGGGAGAACCCATGCCATGTGCCAGGCACACAGGACATCTGGGTCTCTCACAGGGCAGCAAGGGCTCAAACAATTGGGCCATCTTCCACTGCTTCCCCAGGCACATTGGCAAGGAGCTGGATCTGAAGTGCAGCAGCCAGGGACACAAACTGACGCCTGTATGGGATGCTGGTGTCGCAAGTGGTAGCTCTTTCCACTGTGCCACAACAACATTGCCCACAGAGGGCTGATTTTAAGTGGCTTAAAGTGAGTGTATGTATTGCTCTCATAAAAAGTTTAAAAGTACTAAAGATCAGAAAGAATACATCAAGGATATTGAGCACATCTGTTTTTAATTCATATTTATTGATTTACTTTGTGCCAGGTACACCACGTTAGATGCCAGGGACACTAACAGTAAATAAGATGGCCCCTGCCCTCACAGTTTACATTTCCATGGTTAAAGTGCATCTCAGGTATTCAGATAACAATTCTGCCACTTCCCCTTTATAGCATAATCACATGACACAGTACAGCTACCAACCAGAGTTATAAAATGTTAGAGCTCACTCAACAAAACCTTTGGTATCATTTCTCCAGGTCTTGTTTTACAGAAAAGCTGAAGTGGTGAGCATTTAAACCCAGAATTCATGTTCTAATACCAAGTTTGGTGCCTTTCTCATTTTCAGTCTTCTCACAAAACAGTATTCAGATTTCCTTTTTGCCTTGCTTTTGTTAAATATCAGCATTCAAATCCTGGTAACCTACCTATGCAGCTGTTTTCTGCTAGACAAAGACCTTATAATTTAAACTCCATTAAATAAATGTACATGCTATCCCATCCAATACTTTGTGACAAACCAGAAGGATCAGGATCATCCAAGTCCTGACCTCTGGGACAGCTGCATGCCCTTACAATTCAAGAGAGCAAAAGCCATGTGCCTTCAGGGAGTGCATCTGCCTGCCTGCCAAGTCCTTACTTCCCTATACTTGTGATTTTTCAGTGCTCCTGACTTGCTAGGGAGTGCTACTTTGTTGCTCATAAGTGAGCTTGTTTTCATGATCTAGCCTGTTCTAGCCTGTGCCACTGACCAGAAGGAATGCAAGTATATATTGTAGCGGTACTATCTTTCTAGCTGACAAATACACATCCTGTCAGTTGTGAACACACCCTTAAATGCCCCTAATGTGCCAGCCACTATACTATTCCGGACACTGATGACATAATGAGAAAGTCTGAAATCAAGAGTAGTAGTTGTACTGAAAATTCTAGTGCCCACAGGAAGCAGCTTTCAAAAAAAAAGACCAAATCAGGAATGGGTGCTGGGGATTGGGCAAGGAGTTTTCTTGGAATCCCACAGATGAAAAGAGAAAGCTGCTTTCATTTGAGCAGAGAGAATGCCCCATCCACAAGGACAGTGAGAGCCAGGAAATGAACTACTAGTGTTCCTGAGATTTGCGGGGCACAATGCAATTATTCTCTTTACCAGCATTAATTTTTGAAATGCTGGTTGTCCAGAATGAAAAAGAAAGAAAAAAAAAAAAAACTTACCCCCCCTTCAGTAATTCCTCAGGACTATATTTACTCTTGTCACACTGTAGCTGATCCTGCAATGGAGTGGACTTGGTAGTTTGGAAAGTTCCTTAATACATAAATTGTTTTTTAAACTCATAGCCTAGCAGAAGGCCCAATTTGAAAGGCAAAATTACAGTCTGAGGGAGAAACAGAGAGTGAAAGAGCTTCCATCTGCTGGTTTATCCCCAGATGGCCAGGGCTGGGTCAGGCGGAAGCCATTAGCAAAGAAAATTTACCCAGGTCTCCCCTGTGGGTGGCAGGTTCCACTGCTTTCCCAGGCATATCAGCAGGGAACTGGATCAAAGGTGGAACAGGTAAGACTCGAACCAGTGCCCACATGGGATGCTGGCATTGGAGGCAGAGGCTTAACCAGCTGCACCACAATGCCAGCCCCGAAAGCAATCTTGAAAAACAAGAATGTGTAATTTTCTCCTATAGAACCAGTAAGATTTTGACTTTTAACCAAATTTACATGTCCAATCACAGGTAAAAGGAATGAAACACAGTAAAGGCATCTTTTAAAATGCTGCTTAAATAGATTTTTTAAAAACATTTCCTTTAATATGAATTTTATGCTTTAATATGCATCACTTCTGCTAGTATGGACAAGTAATGTAGACATTGTTTAGAATATACTGTGACTACTTTAGCATAATTTTATTTAAGAGTTAGGTTGTTTTGTCAATGTTGACATTTTTAGGACTACGTACTATAACTTACGACCCAAGTTTCCGACCTAAAAGTCTTACTTAAAGCCCTATTCTCAACTTACTAGCAGGTGGCCTTTAACAAGCCAATCTATCAGAACCCTGGGTCCACATATCCACACTGAAGACAATGCAACCCATCCCACCTGCTTCCCAGTGTTCCTGTACAAATCCACAAGGTCAATGTGGGTGAACTTTTCTAACTATAAAGTACTATAAAATGACAATTACAGATAAGTCCACCACCAAAATAATATTCATGCCCATAATCAAAAGCTTTTAAACAAAACAGCTTCAAGTCGTCAGTTAAGCAAATGAAGACTATAATACAGCCTATGTCCCACACCTACTTAATCTTATCATTTTTGGGTAGACTTAATTCATTTTAAGGGGGAAAAAATCTGAGTTTATTTGTTAGTGTTTACACAAACAAGCTGCAACCACTAATTCAAAAATAGGAGGATTTTTCCCCCAACAAGAGTGTATTTAATAGGACTCTATCTGAATAAGAATTCCATACAAACAGAATATATATCTTAACACATGAAAGCAAGGAAAGAATATTTTACATTATACAGAACTCCAAGTGATTCAATCAAGTTACCCTTCCAACCAAATACTTATTATTTACGTTTATTACAAACATCGCAGTCAGTTCAGGGTGTGCCAACAATCATACAGTTAAAACACTTAGTAGTGTGAGGCACACTTGACTGTTTCCAGAGATAGGTGACGTAGCCTTCATTTCAGAGGACCTGCTGTGAATGAATTACTGTCTGCTTTTTAATGTTTCAACTAACCTGTGAAAAGAAAATGAAGTTTCACACAATTAACCTTGTTATAAAGCATAATTATTTATAATGTAAATTTTATACTAGAGGTGGATTCTAAAGCAGTTAACATGACGAAAGCTAGAACAGATGATAAGAATCAGATTATGGTCTCAATTTCCCTGAGGACTGCTATGGTTTACATGCTAGTTTGGATGCTGAGTGTCCCCCAAAAGCCCCTGTGTAAAGGCTTGGTTCCACAGTCATGTTAATGGTACTAGAAGGGCAAAAACTTAATCCAATTATGGTGTCTGGACTGGATTGTTAGGGTGGAGTCCCCTAGTGGCTTTGTAAGTCCACACAGACACACACACACTCCCTCTTGCCATGTAATAACTCTGTGCCACCTTAGCACTCTGCCAGCAAGAATGGTTTCAACAGTGGCCAAATCAAGAGGGATGCCCAGTCCTGGACTTTGACTTCTAAAACCCTAATCTAAAATAAATCCTTTCCCTTTATGAAAAGCTGACTACTGTAAGAGGCTTTTAAGTTCTGACTATGCTGCTGATCTCTGACAAGAACATCTATCTACCTTTTATCGTGGCAAGGGAGAAGAAGAAACATCAGGAAAGGATCTAAAGAAGAGAGCTTTAACCTAATTCCTACTTGACAAGAAAACTGGAGGGTATGGAGAGGCAAAAAAAAGGCTAAAAAATGGCAGAGTTGGCTTATTTAAGTAACTGAAATCAGGCAGTGTGGCTAAAATAAAGACAAAGGCACATGGAGACCAGTGGATAAAGAAGAAACTTAGGAGATAAGCTATAAAGTTATCTAAACTTCATCCTCAAGAAAAAGCACACATGCACACAGCTACAAGCACACACTAATGCACAGACATCATCTAGAAACCTGATACTCGCCATTCCATGGCCTCATCCAGGCCAGTGCCTTTGGTTGCTGACGTTTTGAATATCTGCCACTTTCGATCCTTTAAGGCAGGTAACCCAAGTGAATTTGCCATCTCTGAGGGAGTCATGGCCTGCTCCATGTCCTGCTTATTTGCAAACACCACTAAAATGGCTTTTCTCAGCTCTTCTTCCTAAAAAACAATTGAAAATAGGTAGTTTTTTGGTTTTTTTTTTTTTTGACAGAGTTACACAGTGAGGGAGACAGAGAGAAAGGTCTTCCTTCCATTGGTTCACCCTTCAAATGGCCGCCATGGCCAGAGCTACGCCAAGTTGAAGCCAGGAGCCAGGTGCTTCTCCTGGTCTCCCATGGGGTGCAGGGCCCAGGCACCTGAGCCATCCTCCACTGCACTCCCTGGCCACAGCAGAGAGCTGGACTGGAAGAGGAGCAGCCAGGACAGAACCCGGCACCCACACTGACCTCCTTTTGTTTTTGAATACACTGAACTCAACACACTTGGCTTCTGGCCTTCTGTGCTCGCTGATCCTTCTGCTTTCAATGCTTCCTCTGTTCGTAACGTGTTTCTTCTCACATGTCTCTTCTATAAAGAGGAGTCTCAGTTTTCTTCCTAATCCCTTTTTTTTCCCCTGCTTTGTTCTTTGTATCACTTACTATTTCTTTGCTTGGGTTTTTTTCTTTTTTTTTCAAATTTGACAGGTAGAGTTAGTGTGAGAGAGAGAGACAGAGATATAAAGATATTTTTATATCGTAAGAGTAATTCAGAACAGTTGCTTTAGCTTAAGAGAGCTTTGAATGTTCTGGGAATCAAGGAATCTAGATTTTATGAACTTGCAAGGTGTGTTTTTTCTTTTTTTGTTAGTTCTCCAACCCTTTCTACAACTGTATTACTGGAAAATAAAAAAAAGTCTGCGTGAAAGAAAACGATACTGAAGGCATGGTAGGGGAGGAACCCTTTGCTCCTCTTAATCATTTCTACATCTGATAATATACACTGGAAACAGCAAATATAAACAATTTCCCCACATTTTACCAATTTCCTTACCTCCAACATAGCAACTAATTCTGATTTGGAAATTCCAATTCGGTCTCGGTCACAACTGTCCACTACATAAATGACTGCATCTGTGTTTGAATAGTAACATCTCCAGTATGGCCTAGAGAAAATTCAAAATGGGAGAATACATTACTATTAATCAAAAGAAGAAATGGACACACCGATTCACAAGCTACGAATCAGGACAATGATGAGGGGGAGGGATGGAGTTTCAGGCCAATCCTGACCCACCATGGTTCACTATTTTTGATGGATTTAAATATCATCTCCTGGGGCCCGCGTAGCAGGTAAAACCGCCATCTGCAGTGCCGGCATCCCATATGGGCACCAATTCAAGTCCTGGCTGCTCTACTTCTGATCCAGCTCTCTGCAATGGCCTAGGAAAGCAGAAGATGGCCAAGTTCTTGGGCCCCTGCAGCCTTGTGAAAGACCTGGAAGAAGCTCCTGGCTCCTGGCTTCAGATAGGCCCAGCTCCGGCTGATACAGCCATTTGGGGAGTGAATCAGTAGATGGAAGACCCCTCTCTCTCTCTGCCTCTGCTTCTGTAACTCCACCTTTCAAATAAGTAAGTAAATTTTAAAATAAACTAATAAATATCATTTCCTTCATATGCAATAATGTGAAAAGAATGGCAACAAATATGTCATGTGACCAAGGCATTTCAAAATGAGTTCTAGGCCTGGTGCTGTGGCGTAGCCGGTAAATCCGGCGCCTGCAGTGCCAGCATCCCATATGGGCACCAGTTCAAGTCCCAGCTGCTCCACTTCCAATCCAGCTCTCTGCTATGGCCTGGGAAAGCAGCAGCAGATGGCCCAAGTCCTTGGGCCCCTGCACCCACATGGGAGACCACAAAGAAGCTCCTGGCTCCGGATCAGCACAGCTCAGGCCATTACGGCCAATTAGAGAGTGAACCAGTGAATGGAAGACCTCTCTCTCTGCCTCTCCTCTTCTCTTTGTGTAACTCTGACTTCCAAATAAAATAAATAAATCTTAAAAAAAAAAAAAAAGTGAATGCACACTTTAGACTAGAGAATATTATCTCTAAAATCGCTGAATGTGCTTACAGAAAAGTTGTACATAGTAATAAATCTTCAAGAATCTCTTAAGAAGCATAGGCTTTTTAAAACTTTAATGATTTTATACAATCATCATTTAAATTAAGTACTGATGATACCAAGAAGTAGAAATGGCTACAATTAGAAATAAACTCTAAAGTGATTTAAGAAATGAGTTAAGGATGGGGCTGGCGCCGTGGCACAGTAGGTGAATCCTCCACCTGCGGCATCGGCATCCCATAAGGGCGCCAGTTCTAGTCCCGGCTGCTCCTCTTCCAATCCAGCTCTCTGCTGTGGCCTGGGAAAGCAGTGGAAGATGGCCCAAATACTTGGACCCCGGCACCTGCATGGGAGACCAGGAAGAAGCTCCTGGCTTCGGATCAGCGCAGCTCTGGCCATTGTGGCCATTTGGGGAGTGACCCAGTGGATGGAAGGCCTTTCTCTCTCTATCTCCCTCTCACTGTCTGTAACTCTACCTCTCAAATAAATAAATGAAATCTTTAAAAAAAGAAAAAAGAAATGAGTTAAGGGGTTGTTGCTGTGACAAAGCAAGTTAAGCAGCCATTTGCAACACTAGCATCCCATAAAGGCGCCAGTTCAAGACCCAGCTGTTCCATTTCCAATCCAGTTCCCTGCTAGTGCACAGGAAAGCAGCAGATGATGGCCCAAAGTGCTTGGGCCCCTGCACCCATGGTGCAGAAGAAACCAAGGTGCAGACCAAGAAGCTCCTAGCTTTGGCCTAGTCCAGCCCTGGCCATTGAGGCCATTAAGGGAGTGAACCAGCAGATGGAAGATCTCTTCCTCCCCCCCTCCCTCTCTCTAACTCTGCCTTTCAAACAAATAAAAATAAATTAAAAAAAAAAAAAAAAGGGAGAGAAAACAAAATGAGATAGAAGTATACAGGATGTTTGGAAACGCATTACTAATCTTTGAAGATAGTACCACAGGAGCTACTCCTGAAAGTCACCAAGGATTCACAATGGCATGTCAAGCACAAAACCCTGCACAGGACATGTGAATGGCAGAAGATACCACTGTTTCCATTAGCCAGTGACAGTGGGCCTGCTAGGTACTTTTGTGTATTTTAACAGTCTGTTTCACAAAGGAAAGGGAAGACAAGACCCAAATGGAGAGTCCCTTCTAGTTAAACACTACTAAAGTAAGTCTTGAAATTTTATTGAAAAGATCTTCATTTAAGTGGTATCTGAACAACTGGCTTCCTTAAAATTAAAATCTAACAGATGCTCTGAGGCAACAGGTGGTTTCAAATATTGGCTCACTTTTAAACCAGATGACTCCCACTTAAATTACAATAGAAGATATATTTTGGTTTACTGCTATCAAATCTTAAGGAAACCAACAAATGTTAAATACCACAAAATAACCTAGTCTTTATACCATACCTGATACTTGTCTGTCCTCCTAAATCCCAGACTTGGAATTTAAGGTTTTTGTACGTCACTGTCTCTACATTAAATCCGATGGCTGGAAGAGAAATAAAATCAGTAGTATGTGAGAGTAGTGCTTTCTACCTTCCAAGTATCCAGCCTAACTGAGTTTCAACAATTAATGGGAACTATTATATCACATTATTAGTTGGGATATTATTTAAGACAAGCTGATAGGCTGTACTATAGAGAAAGGCACGTGCACACACATGTCAATCAGCAAGATCAGCTCCAACTTCAGTTATTGTGAATTCGATACTTCTGCAAATATGTAATTCTTAACTCAATGAAATCCTGTTATATTACAATTCTCTCAGCACTGGCATACCAAAGTATTCAGAGTTATATTTAGGGAGTATAAATGCAGATGTATAATAAAAACTGCCAATGTTGGTAGCTAGCAAATAAACAGATCAAAATCAAGAACAATCAGGTTCTAAACTTCAGTAAGGTCACATCAACAGCGTTAAGGCATCTGGGCTCCCAGCCTGTCAATCTTGGACTCCCTGCAAACATCCTCTAGGGCTCACTTGTAATGAGGTCACAGCTAGACAGACAGAGGGGAGGTGCCCCATCCTTTTCTCTACAATCTTTCTAATGTGGCGCTCTGGTGCCACACAGCTCTGACAGGACACCAACATTTTCATTGGGAAGAACCTAACTGAGGGTGAAAGAATGCTGAAAAAGCTTAGAAGATCACTAACATTCTACAAACTCAGAAAAAAAAATTCAAAATAAAATATCACTTACATTTATAACTAGATAATTTGTTTTATTTTTATATTTTAAAGTGTGCATTTGTAAATGATGCTTATGAGTATTTGGCAAGTATATCTATTACAACTAAACAAATACTATAGTAAACCTGAGAAACAAAAAAGAAATAAATAATAAATAAGTAAATAAAAAAAGCAAGTTCAGAATGTCTCCCTAGATTTAGGCAGGAATGCAATCACCATGTGCTCTACGGTTAAGAACATCATTTAAAGGCAAAGGACAAGAGTGTGGAGTAAAGCAGCCCTCGCTGAAATGCAATCCACAGTTGCTGTACTGAGCACTGCAGGGGCCATAGCACAGAAGGGAACGATTTTGAGAGGCAAAAGCCAACAGAAATAAAATGTATTTAAGGTGTGGGGCCGGCGCTGTGGCGTAGCAGGTAAAGGTGCCGCCTACAGTGCCAGCAGCCCATAGGGGCACCAGTTTGAGTCCCAGCTGCTCTACTTCCGATCCAGCTCTCTGCTATGGCCTGGGAAAGCAGTAGAAGATGGTCCAAGTCCTTGGACCCCTGCAACCACATAGGAGACCCGGAAGAAGCTCCTGGCTTCAGATTGGCACAGCTCCAGCAATTGTGGCCAACTGGAGAGTGAACCAGCAGATAGAAGACTTCTCTCTCTCTCTCTGCCTCTCTTTTTCTCTCTGTGTAACTCTGGCTTTCAAATAAATAAATTCTTTTTAAAATTGTATTTAAGGTAACACAAAGAAATAACAATGCCGCAAGGTTCAAAAGTTATTTCATAAATGCTAGATTTTTATTAATCTGTAAATTTAAATAGTAATATAAAAATACCCTAAGTTATATAGTGACTTTAGAGGTGTAATTTAAATAACCTGGAGCACACTAAATAAACTCTTACATTTAGCTTAATATATTAATCTTCTCTCAATAAATTCTGGTCAACAAACAAAAAAGTGAGGCTGACACTGTGACGTAGGAGGTAAGGCTGCCACCTGTGACACCAGCATCCCATATGGGTATCTATTCACGGCTTGGCTGCTCCACTTACTATCCAGCTCCCTGCTACTGGCTTGGGAAAAGCAGTAGAAAATGGCCCAACTGTTTGGGACCCTTCACCCACATGGGAAACCCAGATGCAGCTCCTGGGGACCAAAGCTGGAGAAGGAACCAGCATATGGCCTAGTGTTCTCTCACTCTTGCTCTCTTCAAATATATAAATATTTTTAACGTTCATGGATAAACGGAACTAAAAGATAATGTGCATTTTCCATGAATCTAAAAAAAAAAAAAAATCACTAGCTCTCAATAAGATTTAGTGACTTAGGTGAACTCTTTTTCCGCTGTCCCAAGGGGCAGTGTTTTTTTGTTCTTGTTGTTTGAGGCAGAGAGAAAGTGATATCTTCCATCCACTGGCTTACTCTCCAAATACCCACAACACCCAGGGATGATCCCGACCAAAGCCCAGAGCCAGGAACTCCATCCAGGTCTCCCATGTGTCAGGTACCCAAGTACTTAAGCTATCATCTACTGCCTTCCAGAGTACCCATAAGCAGGAAGCTGGATCAGAAGCAGAGGCAGGTCTTGATCCCAGGCACTCTGATACGGGACGAAGGTGCCTAAGCACCCATTTAACCAACTGTTCCAAAATTTCTCATCCCATGCCAACTTTGCAACAGCTTTAAACATTAAAACCCAATAGCACATCAGGACAGGGATCCTATAATTACATCAAATTACTTCTTGGTTTATGAATAAAATTGTTACCAATACTATATGCACACTAGAAGCTTATAAACCTTAGCAACTTATGAATGTTATTTACTCCAAATAGTTATATTAGATAGAAACCAGAACATCCCTGCAATTAGTTTATGATAGTAACACTTACTAGGAATAGTGGTAACGACTTCTCCAACCTGTAATCTATACAAAATTGTGGTTTTTCCTGCTCCATCTAGTCCCAAAATTAAAATCCTCATTTCCCGGGTTCCAAAAAGACTGGAAAAAATACTTGAGAAAAAGCCACCTAAAAAATAAAAGCAAAACTGTGTTCAATACCATTTTATGCACTCTGTCCACAAAACATTTCATTTTGCCCTTTGAAAGCTACAGACCATGCCAAACAGTGTTACAGTTTCCTGGATGCACAGGTGTTTATTTTTGCTCCCAATGAAGTACATCGTTCAACATCAAACAAGTAATTAGTGTGTATGTAATCAGTATGTCTTAAATACTGCATCAGACAAGCACAGCACATGCAATAAATAAGAGAAACAAGACTGCTGTCTTCATGGGACGCCTTAGTATCATCTCCTCACCACCCCTAAAAACCAAAGGGCCGGTCAATACCAGTGGGACAATTAGGTCCTCCCACGTGGAAACCAATTACTACTGTTTTACAGCAGCAAGACCACCTAAGGACCTCCAATCACTCTCAGCTCTCTGCGAAGCAATCGGTATAACTGCAACCAATATAATCAGCAAAAGGAGCTGACACACGGAAGCCAATAACGACAAAAACTACCTTAACAGAAAACTCCTTTTAAGTAATCTAACACATCATAAAGTACTTCCAGAAAGCACTTGGGCCACAGTCCTTTTCCTAGCGAACGCCAATGGAAAAGGAAAAAAAAAATAAATAAAAGTTAGGTGAACAATATACCGTAACAGCTGACAACGGAAGTGATGCCACACTTCGTTCCTGGACTAAAAGATGGCACAGTTCAAGGAGTCTGGAGAAATGAACACAGCGAGCGCTTGGGAAAGTTCGCCAGAGTAGGCGTGCTTAGCAAAGTCCTCCCTCCCCTTCGAGGCAGGAGAGAGGCAGAAGCGCAAAGCTGCAAGGGTCACTGAAGGCCGGCCACCGCTTGTGATGCTGGGGGGCCGGAAGTACATCCCCCCACCCCGCAGGAAACAGAGGAGGGATTTTAAACAAGCATCTTCATTTTGAAGCGTGGTAACGGGCACCTTCATGTGAGAGGGGAGCGTTACCCGATGCTTGTGACAATGGGCGGCCAAGAATTCAGAGTGACATTTCGTTCACTGCCGAGTAACACCCCTCCCACTGTCTCCATCTTAACTCTGTCATCGACTTGAAAAGCTACAGCGGACAAGCGGACAAATGCCCAGGAGGCTACACCTGCCCTCCGATTTTTCCAACTGACGCAGTTCCATTGCTCTAAGAGACTAAAAAATAAAAATCAACCTGCCACTCCGGGGTCACAGCTCGCCTTTTAGCCAAGAAACCTCAACCGACCTACGACGGACACGCTGCCAGGCTTCGCAAGACCGACTCTGCCCAGCAAGGCGAGCTGGACACCAGGGGAAAGTTCGTGGTCCGGGAGAAGGACTCGGGCCCGGCTCTGCGGACCCTGCGGTCCCCGCTGACCCCGCGAAGCGGGCAGGGAGCGGGGCCGGAGGAGAACGTGAAAGCCAGCTCCACCCCCACAGGTGAAAGCCCACGGAGGGTTTTAAGCACTCAGCGCCCCGCCCCCTGAGAAGCTGGCTACTCGGCTTCCCAGGCCGACCCCTCTCCTCTTCCCGACCCCAGCCCTCAACCGCAGCCCCTTCGAGCGCGCGCCAACCCTTGTCTCCGACTCCTCACCCATGATGAACCGCCTGTCTGTACTCGCCGGTCGTTCGAGACAGGCCCCAGCTTCAGCAGCGACTTCTAGTCCAGCCTCGGCGGCGCCGCCTCCGCTCGCCTGGGCCTCGGTTTGCCGCTCTCAGGCGTTTTCCACGCAAGCCTGCGGCGCCAGGAACTTCCACGTCGGACTCCTGGAGGGGGCGGGCGCAACGGGGCCACCGCGACTGCGCGCCGGCCACGATGGCCTGAGCGTCCGCGTCGTCGCTTTCGACGCAAGGCCTCGGCGCGCTGAGTGTGGATACTGTGAGCGCCAGACGAGGGGAAAAAAAAAATCCGGAGCCTCAATCTTTCCTGTTTCTGTTTCTATGGCAGGAATGGCTTCTGCAATAGAGCAAGTCGGATTTTCAATTTTTTAACTCCGCCACCAAGGCATGGGGAATCGGCCAACCAAGAAATCGAGTCGGGCCTTGAGGAGGAGGGCGCGGGGCGCTAGGGCTGTCTGGCTGCGTCTTGGCCGGGGATCCGGGTCCTGCCCGCGGGGGCTGCTTGCCTAATCCCAGGTGCTGTCCCCTGAAAGGAAATGGCACTATGGAACAATAATGGAAGATGCCCGCGCCACCAGTGCGGAGCAGGCTTGCTCCCGAGGCCGCTCTCTGGACGTTGCCAGCCTGAGTCAGGCCCTTCCCCCCGTGGTCGCACCGACTGCGGGCACCTGAGCACCTTTCCGGGGTCGGCAGCGTGGCCGGGCAGGCCGGGTCTTGTGACTGGGGATTATTCCCATCCGTTGGGAGTAATGTGGGTTTGGACAGTGAAATATATCGGAAGGAATGATAGGGAGAAGGGGTTCCCCTAGGCTTGGGGTTTCTTAAAGTTTGGGAGCGGTGTCTGCAAAGTTCCCGGAGGTACGCAGAAATGTCATAACACCGCTTACCCCTGCCCCCTGTGTTCTCCCCGGAACTGTTAGCGCTTTCTTGGATTTCCTTCCAAATATAACAAGCATAATATGTTTTTATTTATAATAGAGACGAAGTCTACAGAAGCTTATGGGACCCTTTTTTTATTTTGGTTTTGAAGAATTTTTCCAGCTTTATTGAGGTATAGTTGTCAAAAATCGTATTTTTAAGGTGTACGATGTAATATTTTCATGTATGTATGTATTATGAAATGGTCGCGGTCAAGCATTAGTTAGCTTATAGCCTGCATTTGTGAGTGTGAGGGGTAACATTCAAGATCTGCTTTCTTAACAATTTCCAGGTAATCCAGGGTACTTCAGGAAGTTCATGGAAATGGAATTTTAAAAAAATTACACGTTATGCAAACAAATTTTTTGAACCCAACAGTTTTTTTCATGATAGCATTTTCCATGAACTTTTTGAAGACCTGTTGCACAATCCATTTGTATTAACTGTGGTTACCATGCTGTACAATAGAACTCCAGAGCTTGTTAATCCTGGATGAAACTTTGTGCCCTTTTACCAACATATCCCCACCCCCCGCCTGCCCTTGGCAATCACATTGTATCTCTGCTTCTACAGATTCCACTTTTTTAGATTTCATATATAAATGAGTTCATAAAATGTTTGTATTTTTATGCCTGCCTTACTTCATTTAGCATGTCTCCCAGGTTTATACTGTGGAAATATTTGTATTTCTTTGTGTTTTAGGTTGAGTCATATTCCATTGTGGATGTGTGTTTATATTTTATGTGTGGCATGGTTTCTTTATTCACATGTCGGTTCACTCTGAGACTGATTGCATATCTTGGCTACTATGAATATGCAGCAGTGTGAATTTGAATATTGTGAAATGCTACAATGAACATAGGAATGAAGATACTTTAATACACTGATTTTATTTCCTTTGGCTGTACACCCAAAGTAGGGTCACATGATAGTTCTGTTTTTAATTCTGGGGGGTAGCTTCCCTCCATACTGTTTCCCATAATGGCTGTCCTAATTTACTGTCTCACTAGTAGTGCCCATTCTGTTTTTGACTTAAATGTTCAGGTATCTCCAGCTGCATAAGCATTGAACTAGATTTGTCTGTTGTTCTCATCCTCACTGCAAACCATGGGTTCACAAAAGTTTGGCTTGCATGGAAGAGTTTCTTTTGTATGGTTTTGGTTTTATTTTGAGAAGGCAAGAGTGACTCACCTAACCACCTGCAACTTTCCAAAACTATCCTTTGTAAACACCATGCTATCCAGCTGTTAGTCCTCCATGTCCTTTCACTCACCTTTCTTGCCTATTTTTCTTTTTTTTTTTCTTTTTAAGATTTATTTATTTGAAAGTCAGAGTTACACAGAGAGAGGAGAGGCAGAGAGAGCGCGCTCTTCTGTCCAATGGTTCACTACCCAATTGGCTGCAACAGCCGGAGCTGCGCTGATCCAAAGCCAGGAACCAGGAACTTCTTCCAGGTCTCCCACGCAGGTGCAGGGACCCAAGTACTTGGGCCATCTCTACTACTTTCCCAGGCCATAGCAGAGAGCTGGATGGGAAGTAGAACAGCCAGGTCTCGAACTGGCGCCCATATGGGATGCCGGCACTTCAGGCCAGGGCGTTAACCCACTGCACCACAGTGCCAGCCCCCTCTTGCCTGTTTTTCATCCACTCCTCATCAAGATTAGTTGCTGCCACTTGGCCAGTCTTGGCCATGGCTACTTAAAAGTAGTAAATCTTTAAAAACAAATTTTCATCCTGTTTAAAATTACAACCTACCCTATGTCCCTCTTATCCTAGTTTTATTATTATGCTTTTTATTATCATATATTCACTATGAAATATAAGTATAGGCCGGCGGCGCGGCTCATTAGGCTAATCCTCCGCCTTGCGGTGCCGGCACACCAGGTTCTAGTCCCGGTTGTTGCGCCAGATTCTGTCCCGGTTGCCCCTCTTCCAGGCCAGCTCTCTGCTGTGGCCAGGGAGTGCAGTGGAGGATGGCCCAAGTGCTTGGACCCTGCACCCCATGGGAGACCAGGAGAAGCACCTGGCTCCTGCCTTCGGATCAGCGCAGTGTGTGGCCGCAGCGCACCGGCCTCAGCAGCCGTTGGGGGGTGAACCAACAAAAAAGGAAGACCTTTCTCTCTGTCTCCCTGTCTCACTGTCCACTCTGCCTGTAAAAAAAAATTATAAGTATGAACATTGAATACATTAGTATAAATTTGAGAATATATGAATGTAAATATTTTGTCTATTTACTATTTTTGTCCTTAAATGTGGACACTAACCAGATGTTTATTAAACTGAAACAAATTTTTGAGGTCAATGCCATATATATTAGTTTAACTCTTAAATATGTGTTGCAGTATTATTAGACTTGTTCCTAAAATAGTCATAACTGAAACCATTTTCCTTATTTAATAAAGTCTTCTTCAAGAAAGTGGTCATACTTGAAAATCAGCCACCAGATGGTGCTATTGCTGTAGAATAATTCTTGAGCTCCTTGGTCAACTTCTTCAGTGGACAGAAATGATTTCCTAAATTTTTAAAATGTGAATTTTGAAGTGTAGCTCAAGCAAATGAGACAATTCCGAAACTCCTTTTAACTATAAAGCCACAATAAGCTTAATTTCAGAGTTTTAAAATTATGAGGAACCTCAATTGTAATCAACTCAGTTACAGATGAAGTAGAAACAAGCCCAGTGACAGAGCCAGGGCAGCAACCCTGATTATCTGAGTTCTAGGCCTGGAATAACTTGATTATGATGCCTTCTATAACTTCTATACATTTGATAAATTGATTTTCAAGTATGTGATCATACCTCAAGATTTTGCTGCAGTTTCCAGAATCAGGAACTTAACATTTATGTGTGATCTATTGTCTAGTGAAGTTAAATTATTTTGTTTGGATTTTATTCCATAAAAAGGAAACCTGTAGGACCAGCATGGTAGGTTAAGCCTCTGCCTGAGATGCTGGATCCCAAATCAGCACTGGTTTGAGTCCTAGCTGATCCCCTTCTGATCCACCTCCCTGTTAATGTACCTGGAAGGCAGTGGAAAATAATCCAAGTATTTGGGCCTCTACTGCTCACGTGGGAGAACTGAATGGAGTTCCTGGCTCTTGGCTTCCACCTGGCCCAGCCCTGACTGTTGAAGCCATCTGGAGAGTGAACCAGCATATGGAAGACCTCCCTCTCTCTGCCTCCTTCTCTCTCTGTAACTGCCTTTCAAATAAATAAATATTTTTTAAAGATTTTATTTGACAGAGTTAGACAGTGAGAGAGAGAGAGAAAGGTCTTCCATCCATTGGGTCACTCTCCAAATGGCCGCAACAGCTGGAGCTATGCCGATCTGAAGCCAGGAGCCAGGAGCTTCTTCCTGGTCTCCCATGCAGGTGCAGGGGCCCAAGGCCTTGGGCCATCTTCTACTGCTATCCCAGGTCACAGCAGAGAACTGGACTGGAAGAGGAGCAGCCGGGACTAGAATTGGCGCCCTTATGGGATGCCGGTGCCACAGGCAGAGAATTAACCTGCGCTACGGCATTGGCCCCAATAAATATTTTTTAAAAAGGGAAACTTATGAAATATATAATACTGGCTTCAGAAGAGCTTTTCATCATGCGATGAAACAAGAACAATTTGATATAACTAGATACGTGATTTTCACAAAATATGTATTCTATTTCAAATGTGGTTTCTTTTAATAAAATATTTTGCCAAAAGAGTAGAATTTCTGTATTATACTGAGGATTTTTTTTTAACTGAGATATAATTCACGTAACATAAAACTCGTTGCAGTTGATTTCTTAACAATGTTGCAGTGGATTAGTTTCTGAGAGGAGGAGCATGGTGGGGGCAAGAGGTGCAGAGTCACCACACAGACCCCTAGAGTCGGGTGAAAGCAGGCTTGAGGCAAGCAGCCCGCAGACTCGTTTATTTCAGTTGGTACAACAGCTTATATAGCCAATCCGGTCAAGGGGTGGTCTATGCCCTAACCAATCACAGCCTGTTGCCAGGCAATTTCCAAAGCCATCCAATCACAGCCTGTTGCCAGGCAGGCTCTGTTGCCAGGTGGGTTTCAAAGCCATCCCTGAGTGATGCTCGCTTGCCAGCGGCCATCTTGGCGTGGGCTTCTCATTCCACCACACTCACTTTTTTTTTTTTTTTTTTTTTTTTTTTTTTGACAGAGTGGACAGTGAGAGAGAGAGAGACAGAGAGGAAGGTCTTCCTTTTGCCATTGGTTCACCCTCCAATGGCCGCCACAGCTGGCACGCTGCGGCCGGTGCACT